CTTAGGTTCACTTCCATAAGCGCTGGCTGGATGATTGGACATCTATAATACGTGCCTACAATACCAGCATTTTAGATTTAATCGTCCTTGTTCTGACCTCCCTTCTCAGCTGAATGTAAAATCTCTGAGTTCCTGATGCATATTTGCATTTATTACTCTCATATTCAGACTGGACTTAGTAGCATTTTAAATCACGAGGTACCATAGCTGCTTCAGGAGGAGTATAAGGAGGGCCGGGGTTCAAACTTCAGGGCCCTCCCACAGCTTCCGCAATATATAGCACGTGCTAGTTGTACCGGGCACTATTGAAGGCCCGGTACTACCATGTGCGCCCCAGGGAAGCTGGCCTGCGCCCCAGGGCGATGGCCCGGGGCGCAGAAGCGCCCCGGGGCAAAATCCTGTCCGCACCCCTGGTATGTCTATGGACCTGATACCGTACTGGTAACTCTTGTGTGCGCACTGCGGCAAAAGGGACAATCTTACACTGTTATATTAGTGTCTCCGGTCGATCTGTCAGAGTAAATACTCTCACAGGGCGTCAATCTGTGCAGGCATTGGTTGATGGTCTGACATGTGTCAGAATGATCTGTTTGCTTGGATGCGGGACTCCGGTCCTCCTCGACCGGGCACCGGCATGGTACCGAGCTACTTCCCGGAGACCTCTCAGTTTTCCCGGTGACATGCCGAGTCACTGCCTTTTCAGTCACAGTCACAGTCACAATCACAGTCACTGTCACTGTTTAGGTACCTATCAAAGTGTCCAGTGTCAAGAGTCACAGTATGAGTCACAATTGGTTTCCGGCAGGTTATAAGCGCCACAGGTTACGGTCACAATTAAAATTTAATAATTTCTCAGTCACAGTCGCACTCACAGTCTCAACCACAGTCACAGTGTCAATCATAAAATCAAAGTTACAGTCACAGTCACCGGATAGCCGTATTAGGTAGCTAAAAAAGTCGAACCTGATTGACACTGGAAAGTTTGCCCCTCGTCCAGCTACCCGGCCGGCGATAACAAGTGCCCGGATGACCGCTGTGCAGGTGTGGTACCTACCGGCCAGCTTCACAGATCTGTTCATTTATGGTCGCGTCACGGGAGGGTGTTAACACTGAAGAAATTCCGGAGACACTAATATAATAGTGTACTTTGTCCTACTTGCCGCACTGCGTAGACCCCGAGCAACCGAACTGAAAACCCTAACCCAAAAAGCTTACACGCTCCGCACCCCAGCCCACCCTACCACCAAGCCGACCCCACCCGTCCCCCGGGCGCCTATCTTAAGGCACGCTGCGGTTAGGGCACACTAGAGTTACCAGAGTTACCAGAGTTACCAGAGTTACTAGATACCTATGTAGTGACAGCTGTCAGCTATTATACAGGGGTATCTAGGGCCGTTCAATCGAATCACGCGGCCCTTGCCTGACTCCCGGACATTCCGGGAGGCCACGCCGGGCCGGAAGCAATGACACTTGAAGAACAGGATCACCACTAATTGACTGATTGACCACCCTGCGACGGGTACCTAGACGGTAGACCGTGCGGTACTTTTCCTTCAATGCTTGCTATCAAGTCACACAGTGTTGCGACATCAGGGCCGGGGCCGGGCGGGGCAACCCTGGGCCAATACGGTCACCAAACTCCGGACCAAACCCTGACCATGTACTCTGAGCGGGCCAAACACCCAGGATTTTGGACGGCCAGGCTGCAAATCATAATCTGCGAAATGGACCGAAATCGACGATATACCAAACGGTAGACCGTAGTACCCAGACTCTCCGCCTCGCGGGAATTATCGAACACTCCGTCGAAAACATCTGGGTTGCGAGGACGAGGGGCCGAGATTGCCTAATTTCAGTTCAGAACAGTGTTGTCCCTAGGCAGAGGCACCCCAGTGGCTTGCCAGGATTGCCAGTGCATTATGTCCTGAAGGACACCGTCCCTTCGTACCAAAGCATTGCAAGCATCTAGTCCAATCCTACACAAAACTTGCGTGAGAAAATGTTTCCCAAGGGTTTATAGATCATGATGAAAGTCGCGGAGGTCGCGGAGTTTGCGGTAAAAAGTTGCAAAACATTTCTATGGACCGTCGTAAAGAGTCGCGGAAAGTCGCGCAACATCGCAAGGAACTCTGGCAACCTCCAGGTCAGGATATGCTATATGGAGAAAAGCACCAAGTAAGTTTTATAAAGTTCAAAGTGGGCATGGGCATCGTGTCAAATCCTTGATGTCTGCAGGGGCGTCCGGAACTCCGAAGATAAAACTGGCCACCAGACCTCCCGCCCTCCTTCGACTGCCCGATTTCACCTAGGGGTAAATCTCTCCCTATAGTGACGGTTGCCTGGCACCAGCCTAGCTAGCGCCCCCCATGCGGGGGCCAATTTTCGGAGTACCGGACGCCCTTGCACACGATGCCGCCATGGACGGTAGTAGCCTGTATCGATTGAATTTTCATTTGAGTACGGGTTGAGTACCTAGAAGTCACTAAAATTGTACGCTCATGCATGATTTGCGACAAATGGACGACATAGTCACGGTTGCACGGATTGAAGAATGAACGCCACAGCTAAGCTACAAAGCTGCACATATGAGAATAGTGATGCAAAATCGCTAAAGGTACGCGTGAAACAAAGTGACGCTCAATCTTGGTCCATATTGAGAGTTGCTGCGTAGGCTGCTCATTTCGATGGGCGTCTACCCGCCATCACATGCGCTTCCGACAGATTCGTGCACTAGCTGCGGCAATATTGCCATAAGAATTCATGTACGTACATACGTACATGTGGCATACGCACACGTGTGCGTATGCCTGTGATGGAAATATTTGTACAGCGGGAATGGGGGGAATGGGCCGTTGCACATTCGACACAGCACGGCGCAGCCGAGCTGGTATATACTATTAAACACCACTGCCGGTATCAAGAAGACGGTCAACCAACCACTGAATTGAACTGCAATCATTGAGCATGCAACCTGGGCCCGGTCTAACCGTCTCTTCATATGATCCGATGTTGAGCGTCCATAATTCTTGGAGTCTTGTAGAATTTGATCAACGCCCCGGCTAGCTTTGCATACACTGACGTTCAATATTGAGCATGATCTATCATTGGCCCAACGGCAAGTGTTTTCGAAACAACTTTAAAATGGCGTTGTGTCGTCTGGATTTACTTAGTCACATGGCATCCAGAAAGAAGGCAAGGGTTTGGTATGACAACAGCTCTCGCCGAGTCTGAGTACAAGCATGGTCTTGACGACTCTTCTGCTGAGTCTGCCGAGGAAAGTGATGCAAGCGATTCTGGAGGCGAAACATGAATTCCCAGTCGAATAAACCACATATTGAAAGGTGCTAGCATCAATGCAAGGGCTTGCAAGTAGGTACTGACAGAGAGTGATTCGGAGAATACCTAAACCAGAACATCAGTACTAGGTCAAGTTCCTTCTGGTTGCGCTTTCTGATGATGTGACTCACAATCGGGGATGCATGGTCCACATTAGTGGACTTGCAGCCAATCTGGTGTTGGCATTGCTACAAACTACTTGAAGGAACTCACGAAGACACGTCTACCTGACCATTTGCCGGTACAGAACCTTCCACGCATCCACATGAGCCTGCTACTGCACTTACTGACATCCACTACATAGTGCACGGAATCCAAACACTACTGCGTAGGAGCTGCCGCGGGCGCCGTTCCCCCCTGGCTATAGTCATAAGTCGCTGCAGGCGCAGCAGCAGAGCCATCAGCCGCTGGCGCCTGATAGTACCCTTGGCTAGCCGGATCCGCTGGGGCCTGGTAATACCCGGGCTGCTGATACCCCTGATACTGCTGGCTGTAATCATACCCACCAGCACCTGCTGCTGGCTGCTGATATGCCGAGTAATCGTAAGCGGGTGCCGCAGCAGGCGCAGCCGGGGCAGCCCCATAGGCGGGCGCCGCATATCCATAGCCGCTCTGATCATACCCTGGGTATGTCTGGGGGGCATATGACGGGGGGGCACCGTAGTAAGAGGCAGGGGCAGGAGCCGAGTAGCCACCGTAAGGGGGGGGACCGCCCGGGGGCCTGTACCCACCCTGAGGACCCCCCCACTGACCGCCGGGAGGTCCGGAACGATATCCGCCCCGACCTCCGTAATCATCATAGCGCCGGGGGGGGGGACGTTCCTGCTCCAGAGAAATTACGGTTAGGGAGGGTCCATGATAAGGGCGTGTTGGGAGACCAGGGGATAGGAGGGAGAGGGCGAAGAAGAATGTCGAGCAAGGGACTCGATAGCCAAAGTCTTTTATTTGGTGAAAGGGTGGGCAGCAAAGAAAGGCTCCAAAAACATAACCGGAGGGAACAATGGAAGGGACGGGTGGTACAACGATGGCAGGAGCGATTGCAGCGCGATGCATGCAACGGAGGCAAGCGCAGCAAGCGTGCGATGCAAGGCCTGGGAAGGTATAGAGAAAGAAGGCAAGCACGTTAGCAAGTCAGAAGATTTACAAGGAAAGCTTTTGTGGGCCGCTGTGTTTCTCGTGGCTTACCTCAACCGACTGGAACCCTCACCTCTAGAGCTACTACAAGCCCCAGCGGGCACCTGATGCACGAAACGATACCAAACGCAACAATGGGAGCAACTGGAATGGCAGCAAGCCCCGTTCCTCTCCGCCTACTGAGACCAGTACTGAGAACGTGCGAGCGCATTTTCCTGACCGCTTTCAGATTAACCCAGTGAACTTGTTTTCAGAAGCCAAGATTCAATTTGTATTTGAGTAGCCCTTCAGATATAAGCAATGTACTCAGTTACCCACTGCACCGGATATACATGACAAAGGAAGTACAGACAAAGAAGACAATCTCCTGGATGTATTCCCCCGGCTTCCCGTTCAATTGCAACTTCTCAACCGATCTTACCCTCTCTTACCTTCGAGAAGGCATCCAAACATTGGCAAAGGCAGTAGGTACAACTTTATTCGAGATTCGCGGAGAAAAAATGAGATGCGCCAATCGATCATAACACGTTTTCATTAGCAAAAAAGTCAGCTTCAGGGGCAGCTGAGAGTCGTGATGTGCTTCAAAGATGGCAGCAACCCAGTAACATCGGATAAGGAGTAAATTTTACGGGTAGCACAAGTGGCAGTTTACAAGGTTACTTGCCGGAATTGAAGTCCACTTCGCTGAGATCGCCTGTTGAGTAGCCTCAGACTTGTTCCGCCTGTTCTTGCGAGTCTTGAAGCTGTCCTAACCAAACCCTTTTCTACTCAACCTCTGAATGACCAGGTCTATGATTTGATTGCTTGTTAGCCAATTCAAGAAGATTGATGCATGGAGTACATCACATACCTTTCCAGTTTCCAGTAGCAGCTGACAATCAAATGTCTCCTATGAGCGCCTGTCGTCGAACACTCAAAGCAAAGGAAGCAGGACCAAAACAAGCAGAGCAAGAAGCAATTCCATCTTCCAACTGTACAAGCCCATACTAGTGTACCACGGCTGCTACTTGATCGTCTTTACTTGCGTGCTTACCCTCTTGCCCAGGACGTGATAATTTGTTGTCAAGGAACAATCACGAGTCAAGGACAGGTTGTTTCCATCGACAAGCTCCTTACAAAGCAGCAGATTCCGAGGCAAGTGGATTTTGGAAATAAGCATCTTCAAATTGAACAACTTGTAGGGAAGCATGTTCTCGACGGATCATGTCGAAGTTGTGACAGGTCGGATCGAAGCGAGTGACGGGGAACTGTTCATTGCCTTGGGACAAAGCAGTATCGAATCAGTGACGCATGTCAAAGACATGCAACATAAGGAAAACACCGAAGGATTGACAGGGACAAGTGAGCCGACTTGAAAGCGGAAAGAGGAGTGCAAAGAAATAAAAGGCGAGGGAAGAAATGCAAGCTGACGTCAGCAAGTCGGCCTCACCCCAGAGATGACCTCTTGAATGAGCCTCTTCGCCTCTGCCGTGGCCTGGCCGTTCCCGGACAAGGTCACGGTGCGCTCAGTCGCACCCGGCTCGAGGGTGGCGTCACTCTGGACCTGTTACATGTCAACAAGATGATGTCAGCAATAGGAGGATCTGTGCTGACCTCAGCAAATCCAACGGCAGCTTGTAGAAATGACCGAGGGTGGACCACGGCCGAGTGCGTTGAGCTGACGGCCTAAGTAGTGGTTCAAAGCTGGCAGCTTCCAATGCACTGTCACCTTTCAAGAGACTTCTCAGAGGTTAAACCTGACCTCCGTGGGAAGAAAGCTGACTCGGTGAAACCCAGAACAGTTGCAGCGTATGTGATGACAACAATTAAGATGGGCACAACATGCTTCTCTTGATCCATTCTCTCAGAATCGAAAGCATTCTGCGGCTTTTGAGATCAGAATACACTCTCTCGGAATCGAAAGCATTCTGCGGCTTTTGAGATCAGAATATCCTGTCTAACAAAAAAAGGGTCTGAGGAGCAATATAAAGAACTAATGTCTGTTTGCTGAAATTGCCTGGGGTGAACGCTGTAATGTATTGAAAAGCGATGCTGCATGCAGATTCCTTGCATGATTTCTTTACACAATAAGAGCTGAACAAAGAGCAAGCAGAGAAGGGATGCTGGAGCAGTCAAACAAACAAAAGCACATTTTCTGGAGATGCTGACCCCTGGATTGCACCTTTCTGAGCTTGTAAAAGCAGGCGGCACAAAACAGGGGCACAGGCGGCACTTGACAGGATTCTTCAGGCAAACGGACCCTCCTGTTGTCTACATACGAAGTAGGACGAGTGCCTTGACAATCGTCCCCCCAGCCTGAAATGTTGACTAGGCAGCACAAAATTCGTACCTGAATCCTCGCGCCTGATCGGTTCTGCAGGTTCTTGATGGTCTCCCCTCCCTTTCCAATGATGAGGCCGACCTTGTCGTTGGGGACGATCATGGTGACCGCGTCGGGGCCAGGGGCAGCCAGAGCACGGCCAGGGCCGCCAACCTGCAACACACACCGAACGGGCCACTCAGAAAACTTACTTTCCCTCAATATTGAGATAACTCCACAGCAATTGGTAGCTGGAACTTCGAATTGATTTGATTATAAGCATTTGCTAGCTACATGATCAGTAGGGGGTGGGAAAACACTACAGATGATATAAACACGTGTAGGAAAACCAAAAGAGACTGAGATCCTCTATTATCTGCAGTCTGGAAAGTGATATTACATGTGCCCAACTTTTTGACGTGGTCCATTACAATCTCAACTCAAGCAGGCATGAGAACAAAACAGAGGTAACACGGGCACCACTCAAGCAGAAGGGCTCAAGCAATGAGTGTTGACGGCTAATCTGTGCCAGATGAACAAGAGCACTGAGAGCAATAAATGTGCCATGACAAAAGAACATTCCCAGAGCTGACAGCTGATCCCTTTTCTGTGACGAAGAGCGCTGACCGCAGTGTTGTCCTACATGAAAGAGCTAGCACTCCCACATATGGTACTAGCGAGACCTTACATCATTGACAATGTCGTTAATCAGTTGCTCCGCCTTTGCGATTGCTTCGTCCGTACCGACCACCTCGATCTCACGGTACTGCGCGCCCGGGGGGGTGTCCTGGTCCCTAGTAACCTGGATGCGCGCCTGGGACTGATACTGCAGCTGCTTGATGGTCTCGCCACCCTTGCCAATCACCAAACCAACCTGCGAGGTAAAAAGCAGACCGGTTGCATTCTTTGCAGAATTCAAGCAGACCAGCGAATTGCCTGTGCAACTAAGCAGCACTGCTCTTCTGTTCAGAATGAAGTTCATGGTGCTTGATGGTCTACGTCACCCTGGACAATCACTAAATCAAGCTGCAAGAACTGAAGCAGACCAGTTGCATCTTGTTGTGCGACTAAATTAGCACTGCCTTTCTATTCAGACTGACCAACATGGTGTTTGAAGGTCTCGCTAGACTTGCCAACCTTCAAAGCAATCTGCCAGGCATCAGGCAGTTCAGATGCGTATTCTGCAACTAAGGTAGCACGCCTTTCTGATAGAAACGACATTCATGGTGGTTGCTGGTGTCTGCTAACCCTTGCCAATCACCAGGGACCGAATGCAACCATAAATATTCGGACTTTGATCCACCTTCAAGGAATGCATTGTTACTCACATGGCGCCCAGAGAGCTAAGATCAGGAGGGGAAAGAGCAGGACTGACTGGGAAGGCTCTGCGAAAGCAAGCATGCTTTGATCCAATCGCAACATGACAACAAATCACCAACCTAAACCAGAACATAAGAAGCCAGTCAATCACAGGGTGCTGTCCCTCAGCACCCCTTTCACACCAATTTTACCAAGGTTGGGGTCAGCAACCGGGCCTACCTTTGCATTGGGGATCTGCACTTTGCGTGTCGACTCGCCAAATCCGCCAGACTGCACAGCAGGGGCTTGGTACGGAGCGCCACCGGGAGGGCCGTCCGAGAATCCAGTGGGAGCAGGGGTGTAGCCTGCAGGAGCGTCCGAAAAACCTGTCGGACGTCCAGCTACAGGTGGAGAAATGAGAATGGTTAGGAAGATCCACAGAAAATTGAAAAAGAGGGCTACAAGGTGTGCTGACATGTGCGTGGTTGACAGGCACTGTTCTTAGGACTGTGAGGATGAAGGAAATGGAAACATAGGTCGCAGGTAAACCATCATTGTCGTTCAGAAAGAATATCACCAAATTGGCCACAGCGCCTGCAGTTATTCTGGAAAAGGTGCGTCACATTTGTTGGCAGAGGACATCTCTGCCACCTTCACATCGCATGCAATGCTCCGCTCAGCTTCAATCCCATTAGATCCAATTGACGACCCGAGCAAAGAGCGGGAACGGTTGCTTACAAACACACAACAAAAAGAGTATCATTTTGATATTCCATTGTGAACTGCTATCCTTCTTGGTCCAAAAACTCCCCAGATGTTCACTCTGGGACAAATATTCACATGCCCTGTCTGCCTAAAGGTTGTCCACAACGTGAAACCCATCAGCGTCGGTGTCCCGTCGTAAGCTGCCAGTTCACTGGATACCTGCTTATCTTACTACACATCCTCTGCACATCCTTGATGAAAATATCGGCCACAATCCTTTCACCCTCATGGTGCACGTAAAATGACAGATCGCACAACGTGGACAGATCATTACAGCAGAGGACTCTGTAAACAAACTTTACCACAACAAATGGACGAACTCTGGCAGAGGTGACTATTCCGCCACTTACTCTCAGCATGACTGCCGTTTGCGCCTTCCTCGCCCTCCGTCCTGGGCCTCTTGTTGGGATCCCCCCCCCCCAGCCTCGCAGCAATCTCGGCAGCTCGCTTGGTTGCTTCCTGAAACTCAGTGTTGGAAACAGGAGCACTCTCAGGTGCAGGCTGCTCTGTCTCGCCCCCTGGTGGCGGCACGTCGCTAATCCCCTCTGCCTCCTCTTCCAAGTTCCGTTTGCCCAGCACACTTTCCCCTCCAGCCTCGCCAGGGGCTGCCTCCACTTCGACACCCGGGGCTTCTTCGTGCTCGGCCATTGCAAAGCTAGCGATGAAAGCAGACGCTTGGACCAGTTACCTGAGCAATCTCAACGTTTGCCAGAGCCCCAACAGCAAGGTCGCCAGAAAAAGTTGGTGACTGGAAGTTGAACAAGTTGAAGGAAGGGAGGAGGTTCAAACTTTTAAGTTTTTAAAGTTCTGAGTTTGAACAGCTGCTGCTGCAGCCTGCAGGCTGCAGCTGCGCAGGCCCAGCTCAGGCTGTCTTGGACGAAACTTGAAAGGCAGAGGCCCTGCCAGAGGGCTAGGGGCAAGGCAGGTCCGTGGGTCGGTTGGGCAGATATATTTTGTAGAGCACCCGGGGGCTTCTCCCCAACCACTTGTATGAAGCGAGTCAGCGTCGTTAAGAGAAGAACGGGCCCCCGGCGACGTTCGTACCGTCGTCGAGCACTCGGTGAAGCTTCTACCGGGCCGACCATGCAAACTTGTAGGTACCGGTATTGCTATGAGGAATCTGTGTTGATGAATCTGTCTCGTTGAAATTGCAGAACGTGAGCGGAGAGCTCTGTCCTTAGTCCTGGCATGGCGGCAGACGAGAGGGAGAAGTCACTGCAAGCTAAAAGAAGGCTGTCGAAGAAGTTAGCAAGGGTGCTGAAGGAAGTTTAAGCTCGAGGATGACTCCCCCCACATTGGCTTCCTTACATAAGGCATCAATGTATTGCAGCAAAAGCGGGCATTTTCTTTATGCTAGTGAAGGTGAGCAATCATGCAAGCATTCTGTGTTCTTTTCCCAATCAATTGAGATATTAAGTGTTGAAACTGCCCTTGAAATCCTTGCGGCCAGAAGTAGTGCTGGGTACAACGCACGGCTGTAAACAGGCGGGCATTGAGCCTCCCTGATCATTCTGCAATTTTGCAAGTGACAGCCAGTGGAAGTAAGAGCAGACGTTTGGGAACATCCATCTTCCATCTTCCAGATACATGGTGCGGATAGCTTGTTTGAACCAGTGCTAATGAAGTGCGATTATCTGTCGTGCGCACCACCAGTCCGCACTTTGTTTCTCCTTTGAGATCACATCCTGATCAGACAGTGGTGCTGATCAGTGCCAGGCAATTCTAAGCACAAGTGTAAATAATTAATCGGTGCAACTTCAAGCTCTGATTTCTAGTATTGTTCTTTTGCAGCGTACTAGATTTCACTCCTACGTCGACAATTGCCCGTCTAATCTACTGAGAAACCAAGAAGAGAGTGCGATCGTCCAGCTATGGCTCTGGTGAGTACGTTGGGCGTCTCACAGTCGATCGGCTCATCATATATTCTGTTGGTCCCCATGATTTAAGAGACTTTCACGGATTGGATGCAATCGCAATCAAGGGATCCCCCACCTTCGAGCAACCGTACTCATATCGAGGCCGGTCTCGTTTCAGTTGATCCACTGTCTTGAGGGCTCTGTTTTCGTTGAAATTAAAAGTTTTAAAATGGCCAGCCTATGCTGCTGTCTATCAGCGGCAGTCAGGTTTGCTTTGGGGGGTCCACCCCCTTGCTTTTGTTAGGGGCAGAGAATGACGTGATGTGCTGGAAGATCCTGAAAGAGTTGGCCCCCAAGATTTGAATCTACATTCACTTCTGTTGGAATCAAGGTGGTCAAATATCAGGGGGAGTGATACCAGATCTGAAGTTCTCCAGAGATCCACCTGACTCAGTTATATCATCCAACTTTAGTGTCTGTTGATAATGGCCAGAGTGCAAAAGCCAGGCTCGATGTTGTGTTGGAGACGGTCCTTCATTTGAAAGAGTTTGAAAAGGAACCATTAGTGTGCGCACAACCTCCAGCTATTTCTGTCCTTCGATCCTGCCTTGTGTCCAAGAGGATTGGGCAGCTCGCCTAAGATGACCTGTGCGCTAGGCACTTCAACAAGCATTGAGTTGATGCTTACCCCATGCTTGTGCAGTCAACGACACTTCTAATGGGCGTACGGTCGTCCCTGCGCTCTGTGGTTCTACGGCGTGGATGCTATTCCACCTCTGCTCCCTGGGCAGCCACCTATCGCTCGTCTGGTCGAGTACACGCCATGGCGGATACAGGTGAGCTTCTCACACGAAGCGGCCGCTAAGCTACGGTTGTGAATGCGCGATTGCCAAGTTGTCTTTCAATGGCTGGCTGTGGCTCGACCCCTCCAACTGTTCCGCTTACGAAAGAGGAGTGAAAGTGCGTGTAATCCTTTTATGTTCCGAGCAGCGGGGTAAAGGGACGCGAGAACTTGCCAGGACGTATCCATTTCATGGCAACAGTTCGCAGGGAGGCGGCAAAGGAGAAGGCAGATCTGACGGCAGAACTGATTCGCAAGTAGACCACAGATAATCATTCGATGCCCCATCCAGGAGGTGATAGCGGTAGAACTGGACTCTCTAAAGGTGTTTCTGAAGTCGGGTTGCTGTCTGCTTGGAAGTTGTCAAGGTCACTTTTCCTGCGTCGTTCTTAAAACGGATCTCCAGTGCTTTGAGAATCATCAGAATTCGGTCACCTTCAATGTGGCGGACCACCTGTATGACTTCTAACCTTACGATAACTTTCTCGAGCAGTTTGCCAGGGATCCTTACGGACTTTTTTCCAATCTTTCCAGGTATTGCAGTCATCGGCGGAGGCCTTGGCGGCCTCACGTTCGCCCGCGTCATGCAGACCAAAGGCCTAGACGTGACCATCTTCGAGCGAGAGCCCTCGCGGGAGTCACGGGGGCAAGGCGGCGTACTCGATCTTCACCCCGAATCCGGACAGTGGGCTCTCATCCAAGCCGGGCTAGAGGCCGAGTATCGGAGCATGGCTCGCGCCGAGGGTCAGGACATGCGCATCATGGACAAGCATGGTAATCTTCTGTGGGACGAGGTCAGCCCCGCTGACCTCATGGAGCGACCCGAGGTAGACCGTCCCGCGCTCCGCAACCTTTTGATTGAATCCTTAAGGCCGGAGACCATAAGGTGGGACCACCACGTAATTTCCATCGAGCCCAGTGGAGATGATGGGCCTTATGAGATACGCTTTGCAAACGGGGCAACGACGCGCGCTGCCGTCGTCATTGGGGCGGACGGAGCACGCTCTCGTGTCCGCCCTCTCGTCAACGATGCTGAGCCAACATACGCTGGTGTGAGTTTTGTCGAAATCGGTATTCCCGATGCGGAGAGGTTGCATATCGAAGCTGCCAAGACCGTTGGGCGGGGCAGCCTTTTTGCATTGGGAGATAACAAGGGCATGATTGCTCAACGCAATGGAGATGGCCGGATTCGCATCTACGTGGCGTTCAGGATGCAAGAGGGTGGGTTTTCCGAGTTGGGTATTGCTTTTAACGAGAGCCACGACCTCATCCGAAAAGCCATTATGAACCAATTCGAAGGATGGGCCCCAGAGATAATTGACCTCATCAGGGCTTGTGACAACTCCTTTGTGCCGCGCCCACTCTATGCCCTACCGGTCGGCATTAGTTGGCCAAGCATGAAGACTGTGACTTTGCTTGGCGATGCGGCACATTTGATGTCGCCATTCGCGGGAGCGGGAGCTAACCTTGCTATGCAGGATGGTGCAGCACTAGCCTTGAAACTCTTTGATTCAACAGATTCTGCCAGTGCTATCCTTGCTTTCGAGAGAGAAATGTTTGAGCGGGCGGAGCAAGAAGCTCGTCAATCGGAGGAATGTCTAGGTATGTGTATTTCGCAAGATGGCGCCACACGGTTTGCGCAACAAATGTCGTACTATCAGTCTGGTCAATGAATACCATTGAAACATTTGTGCATCTTAACTTTAAGTAGCACTAACTGGTATGAGCTGTTAGGGGAAGAACAAAGCCTGCGAGTTGACTTCAATCTCCGGCACAGAGATTGTACATTGTGACCGCGAATGATTAGTACATTGAAAGTTCCCATGTGTCAAATCCACCTTGAATGTCTTCAACATCAATGTATTGCGGAGCATGCAACAGAAGTCAAAGTTGGAGTTGTATGCAAGGTTTCTCCGACAATCAATGCATCGTGCAAAGGGGCAGCCAATTAACGCATTTGATTATCATCCGATCTGCATGTGTGATGACCGTCGTACTCAAAGAGGACTTGACAGGAACATCCATATACTTATATATGCCGCGTGCAAGAGTTGATCAACTAGTCATGCAAGACGTTCCCGGAGCCACACGTACTGAGGCATGCAATCATGCTTCAATGTTGAAAGAGACTATCACCTAGATAGACGGTACGGAATTTTACAGCTACGTACGTACCGGTACGGTAAGAGCTATCAGCCTATGGCCTATTTGGCTACGGCGAGTACGAAAACAGAAAAGAGAATGAAAAGAGACCATCATCCATCACTCATTCAAGTTGTGGGCGGGCAATATGGGCCCGCGTGAGCTGCAGCGCGGCCGCTGGCTCGGAGCGGCGGCCGCGCGGCCGCTGGTTTCTGGAGGTGCTCTCGGTGCTTGCCATGTGGCATGTTGTTGACTTGGCAGTCAAAGTTGTTTTTGATTGGTTTAAAATTCGCGCCAGTAGGACTGACTCCTGAGAGCCCATATCACAACATTGTTCTCGCAAAAGCACGTTCACGAGGCCGGAAAGTTGTTCAAATAGTTTCAAGCTCTGAGTCTCAATTCTTGACATGAATGTGCAGAATCAGAAGCAGAAGCAGGAGCAGCACCTTCTCGTGCACAGTATACTGTGACTTTGTCCAGGCGCGATCCTGCCTTGCATTGTCATCGATCGATTCTGTACGACTTGTAAGGTTAGAAACCTTTGCATCATGGACGTACCAAGGATCATGGGCAAGTTCGTAGGCCAAGGACGTCCTGTGCTTGTAGTGATTTCAATTTGTTTTTGCCTTCTCCAAGTTGCTTCGGCTGACGATGACGATGCCAGTCGATTGGGGCGTCAAACTTTGTCTTCAGATACTATGCCAGATTTGTCCGAAGGATTCGTCTCCAGACACGACAACCGACATGTACATGTGCAAGGTCAGTGGACTGGTGCCAGATCTGCTTGGTAGAATCAGGGCTCGTCTTTGCTTGACAGGCCTCGTCACTCCAAGTGGTCACAATTGTGTAGAGAAAAGCAGAGCAAATGTCTTCACGATCTGGAACGCCTGCAGTGATGGATTCACATTATCAGAGTTTTGCTTCTGCTTCTGAGTGCGCACTCTATGATGTGGACAATATATCATCGACCAGTTGGTTGCCACAGTTCCTCCTTACTAATTGTGTAAGAAAATGGCAACAAGTTGGACCCGACCGGTCCTGCCTAGGTCTATGCTCCCCTAAAGTCTGTCCCGCGATAACTTTTGAGTGTGACTATAGGACCGAATTCTGTTTCGCCAGAGAAAAGGCATAAAGCACAGAACGCGTTGTCTGCCTAAGGAGCCGAGTCTGTGGGCAAAAGAGTGGCTATATATGTGATCCTACTTGACACTACGCACTTCTAGCCAATCTAGATTCAGAAAATAGAACATGCATCCTCCTTTCATGTGTCACTCCAGGTCTTCAGAAGCGAGGTCTTTCTCATGGCACCAAAGCCTTTGCGCATTGCGTTCTCTACGCAGCTGTTCAATGTGCATCTCAGATCATTTCAAGAAGAACAAATATCAACGCCCATTTGCCGTGTACTTGCATTCAGCTCCAGGTTGGTTGAATGATTTGTTACCCTCTACCAGGAATTGCAGATCGGGCAGGGACAAGAGCTCTTAGCAAAAGGAGGCAACTTTTGGTGAGTGCAACAGCCAGTCACATCAACTGTCAGCCAGGACTTTGATGCAATAAGTTTGAACATCATTGGACTGAGAACGTTTGCTGGGGGAAATACTTGGAAGAGTCAGCGAGCTCTCGTAAGTCTCCTCAGAAAGGCAGCCGAAACGCTACTTTAAAAAGTCCGCATCACATGCAGGAAGAAAGCAGGTTTAGGGAATGGTCCTCAGGTGATTGCAATGATGACGTTCAGACTTCAACTCCAGCTCATTAGAGCTACGGGGCCTTCTTGACCCTTCAACGGAGACCGGCACATTCGGCACGCAATTCAAGGATGAGGATGACATCTAGTTCTCGAGGAACCTGTTCTCTTAACAAGCAGATTGGCCGAAACCAACTCGCTAAGTATCCTCACTAGGTATTCTCACAGCCTAAGTCCACTGTCTAAAGGATACTGGATGCTAACCCGCTACCTTTTGTCCGGGGGAGTTTTGACCTTCCTCCCTTGCGACACGCTTGCTCCCTCTGCTATCTACCCATGAGATTGGTTTCTGAGTTACAGTGGCCCAAACAAATTGGTGGAGTCGTTTCACCTGCGCAGGGGCTGGAGTCGTCAGACAGCTGGCAAGACGGGATGAGGGGGAGGCGTACCTTAGAAAACGGGCTGGGAAGGACCCCCCCGATGGGTTGGAGTTCATGGAACGCCGAAGGGGTCAACATCACTGAGCAGGAAATACGGCACGCAGGTATGCTGCTGAAAGATTTGAAACCCACCTCATGAGTCGGAGTGCTTACTAAGACTTCATGATAGGCTGGTCGCCAGAAGTCAATGTGACAAAGAATCGTTTTGAATCGTTTTGTGCCTATTTCTTCCGTGTCTTGATCATCACGCACGGAGTTTCTGGCTTGAAGCAACGCTGAGAATCTCTTTTCTGGACGAAGTTGCGACATTCCAGTTGTGATGCATCCCAAGAAGTCCTCAAAGCTGGCTAATCAAGGATTTTCTTGTATCCTTCATTTGCAATCAAAATGGATCATGCAAGGCCGTTATCATTTTGCTAACGCAGTGTTCCAATTAACTGAACTTTCCGCTCCTGTTGGCACTCACAACCTCTGCTGTCCAGGCAAGTGCCGGTTAACACAGTCCACTTCTACCACTTCTGCCCCAATATTAACAAGGCTCACGATTCAGTAACGTGGGTTTGATTGGTGCGTGATTGCTGCCAAGGTCATCCAATCTGGTTGGCTCAGACCTCTTTCAATTCCTGAAGGAAGACTAAGAAACAACTAACAACAAAAGTAAGAATGATAAAAAATCATCTTTTCTTTTTCGCAGCCGATGCACTGGTAGCCACGGGCCTGCGGGATGCGGGATACATCTATGTCAATCTCGGTGAGTCTTCGAACATGATCTTAGTAGTCAGAATTCCTTGTGTGTTGCCGTGCTGATAAGAGGAAATTCCGAAAAAACTTGCTGTCGATTCTTTGCAAGTTTGCTCCAATCCACTCACTACACAGCTGAATCTAATAGATGCATCAAACCTGCGCTTGATGGCATATTTGACGCTTCTAGCGACCACCAAGCCCGTATGTAGCTGCCTTGGTTGTTGCAAGTTGTGCCAGATTGTTAGTTTTCCGCAGCGACTTGGAACCAATGCCACCGTATTTAGGGGCAAGATACTCGCATACGTTATCTTCAAGAATGTACGGTTCGAAGAAACTGTCTCGTCATGCGGCCCTCAACTGCACTCGCCTTTGATATGGAAGAAACATCGTTCAATTGGCGACGTGCAGATAGACGCCAAAACAGGACAATAATTAGCTGTACTGTTCTGGTCATTGTTGAGCGTTTCTGCTTGAGAATTGAGACCCCTGTCCGGAGCCCGTCCAAATGGACCTGCTTGCCCTCTCTTAGCTTTCTTCGAAACGTAGCCTCGCTCAAATGCACTAATCACATGACGAGCCCGACACTTATACAAGGGACGTCTCGATGTTGTCAGATATCTGGTTGAATCCATTGCTTTGAACACTGATAGCAATTAGTATGACCGGTAACTCCAATTCAAAAGTTTCTTGCTGCAGATGACGGCTGGGCGGGTTGGGAGCGGGACGCGAACGGCGATCTCACCGTCGATGAAGCGAGCTTTCCTTCCGGGATCCGGAGTCTAGCGGACTACATCCACAGTAAGGGGCTTAAGTTCGGCATATACTCGAGCGCAGGGTAAGTCCTTCCGTCTTTTCAGCGTGATTGAAGTCTGCTTGTTTGATTTTTGAATGAAAGTTTGCCAACTTTGTGTTCTTCTCTATTCCTTTCATTTTGATGTTCTGAGCCGTTCATACGGGAGCGAAGTGATATTCCTGCATTTTCGTGGATTTTGAGGGGTCAAAGCCCGGCGTGTTCTGAAGCAAGGACCGACACCCGGACGGACTCCGGGCGGTTTTATTCGTACCGTCCGATACCCGATTTTTCAGCCTGATTGTTCTCCTAACCAAGTTGCCTTCACGGACAAGGAGGCTCTCTTTACCGCTTGGAAGCGCCTCTCCTTGCCTCATGAGAATGTAAGCTGTCGTTGACAAGTTCTGATAACGATTCGCAACCCGGATTTCGGTTGACAAGTGCTAAGTCAGGGTATCTTCTGAAGTTGGATTTGTAGAGGAGTCAACAGTCCTTCCATGGGGAGCCAATCTTTGCTTCTAGTCCATTCTTTCTTATCTGTTTTCAGTCGCAGCGAACCTTCAGAACTGCGTTTTTGTTCGCAAAACCTGAAGTCCTTTCTTCTGCAAACCCTAAAGTCATTTATTCTGCAAACCCAGAAATGGTTTATTCTGCGACCCTGAAGTCGTTCAATCTGCAAACCCTGAGGTCGTTTTTTGGCAAACCCTGGATTCGTCGATTCTGCAAACCCGAAAGTCGTTCATTCTGCAAACCCCGAAGTCTCTTATTCTGCAAACCCAAAAGTCGGTTATTCTGCAAACCCGAAAAGCTCTTTGTTCTACAAACCATAAAATTTCCTTGTCCTGCAGGCCCAAGGCGTGCAGCGGCCGCCTTGGTTCCCTTCTGCACGAGGACCAAGACGCTCGCTGGTTTGCCGATCACGGGGTTGACTTTCTAAAGTACGACTCGTGCGACGACGGAAAGAGCGGGCTGGGAGTGAAAGAAAGGTGCGACATGATCACTTGTCAGTTTATCTGGAGTTTTACGGTTGAAACGCTGAGAGTTGCAAGGTCTACTTTCACTCGTGTCCAAGCGGGTTTCAAATTTCTAAAGTTGGATTGCTTAGCAGGACTTGCGCACCGACGGGAAAAGCGGGGAGGTCAAGAATATCTACGGTGTACTCACTTGTCTGCTCGTTCTGGGCATCCGACCTTCGATAGTTTTGGGTTCTAGGGGCTGAGATTGATATGCTGATAAGAATTTGTGCAATGACGGAAACAGCGGCCTCAAAGCTGCAAGGAGATTCCGCTACGATCTTGCTTTTCTGCTTGAGGAAACTTCATCTTCGCAGCTCCTGCTGAGAGTCATTATTTGCTACGACTCCTGGGACCACGGCGGAAGCGGGCTGGGAGTCAAGAAAAGTTCTAGCGTCCTTATTTGTCTGCTTATTCTGCTACAGAAACGCTTGTGAGTATTGTTAAGGCTTCGCGACAACCGGAAAGGGTTTCGTTGTGCGGCCAGTCACGTTTGGGCCTTCCCTTTAACCGCTGTGGACACTACTTTCATCAAGCCTTCAAGTCGTTTAAGCTCCAACTCCGACAGAGGGGCACGTTGAGTGACCGCGTGTCCGCCAATCTCTTCTTTTTTTCCGTGTTCGATTCCGTTTCCTGTTCTCGTTTAACAAGCCGTATGTTGTCTCCGCCTGAACGGGGAACTTTCCTGGTTCTAAAACTTTGATTGGTTCCCGTTTATCGCGTCCGTTCATGTGACAAGTCTCATCGCCAGCATGTAAACGCAGTGTCTCCCTGGTTGCAGGTTTGTCAGGATGCGCGACGCCTTGGCTAAGCTGTCGCGGCCAATCTACTTTGCGATGGGCTACTGGAACGAAGACACAGCTTGTGCGGTAAGTCTACTCCTCCCGGTGTGTTAAACCAAAGTCACAGCTCAAGTATTTGCAGCAGAAGAGTCAGCTTCCGCAGCACTCTCAGCGTCAACACCGCTCTTCGTAGGCCACACGCTGAAAGACACACGGCAAAAGGACGCCAGAAAAACGTCCATTATTTCGAGCCGCTTTTCACACTCGTTCAATCAATTCGTGGTATCTCATACCTATCCATCAACACTGTTAGTGCAGGCGGGCCCCGTTGGCAACTTTTGGTGAACCTACTGCAAACTTGGGTTACGCGGATCTCCTGCTTAGGAACTAAAACGTGCTCACGGAAGATTTTATCAGGATCTCAAACTTCTTTCGAATCTCGTTTAGAACCTGTCCATCAACATTGTTTGCGCAGGCGGGCCCCGTCGGCAACTCTTGGCGGACTTTCTTCGACATCTACAGTGACGTAAATCGCGTCTTTCTGACGGCGGACAAGAACAACGAGTACGCAGCATGTCAGGGGCCGCACTTTGGCTGGAACGGTGAGGGCCTTTGCCATATGCTTCTCTCACCTTCTTATTAGGTCATCTGCAACAGAGTTGCAGAGATGTCGAGAACGCGACACCGAAAAGATCGTACGACTCGGACGGTTGGGTTTTGTGGAAGGTTGAGGCAAGGTTATGGAACGAAAGACTGCAAACAGCTTCGGCTTTCACCAGCGATGGCAACGTTTGGATTGTCCAGGCAACTTCGGTTTTCAGTGAAGCATGCAATCAGCCACTTGTCAGGTTTCAACCTAGTCTTTGGGACTCCGGTTCTCAGTAGTTATTTACTCGTTATTTGTTTTTCCTACGATATGCATACTCAAAAGTTGCCGTCCAGGTCCATCGTTTGGGAGCTGGGATTGCTTTTGATCATTCTACAGTATTGCAGACGGGTAATGGTCCATACTTGTTTCGCGTCGGCTTTCTGACAGTAACACACAAGAAGGTAATCCAGTTAGCAACCCGCAAGTTTTCTCCAAAACGTACACCCTAGCTTACTCTCAGGCTAGATACAGCATGGACCCTGAACCCAAACTAACCTACAAAGGACTTTCCTTCTGATCTTTATGTTGAGTCATGCTGGCGCTAATTATTCGACGAATTCGGCAAGGTGATGATCAGGATGAGTTTGGAATTGCGTGCTCGAAGTCGCGTTATTCATCTTGGCCCTTGCTGCCATGTTTGCCATAACCGCATCAAAACCTCCGTGTTATAGAGGCTGATCATTGTGGTTTCATAAACAAAGTTCTGACCAAATCTGTGCTCACAGATGCGGACGCTCTCCAGATCGGACGGCTGTCCGTGAAACCCGGCGGCGATCCGGACTTGGAGGCCGAGCGGACCCAGATGACTCTGTGGTCCATCATGAAGGTAAGGCACCGGAAGCTGCCACGTGGCATTCACACTTCCCACGTGTTGTGCAGAACCTGACACGTGCTTCCTGGTAGCTGCACGTTTTGGACCTGGTCAGGACGTACACGCTTCTCTCGTCAAATGAACATCGAGTAGAAAAGGCTCCTTGACCGCAAAGCACCTTCGAACTCTGGGGATTAGTCCCTGAGCTTGTCTTGACTTCGACCTTTTGTGCACTTTAAGACCGGATCTTCTCACTTGAAACTGCAACTGGGTGAGCGTCAAGCCACTGAACATTCTGGATCGCAATTCAATTTGTGGACGGGAAACCGAACGTCGAGACAACAGTGACAAGCCAGGGGGTGACCCGGGTTCAAGCCAAGTGCGTTTTCCGGTTCGACACGTCCTTTTTGACATGAGCCGTCCAGTTTCGTTTACTCCGACAGCTTAAGGCCGATGGTTGGTCTTGTCGCTTGTCAACTGTAACAGTACAGAAGCATTTGTTGCCGGGAAACTTCTGTTTTACCTTCCTTACCAAGCCGCTCTCGTGCTCTGCAGAGTCCGCTGATCATTGGGTACGACCCGTCACAAATGGGGTCCAAGCGGCTGGCCATCCTCAAGAACCGCGAAGTCATCGCAATCAACCAAGGTAGGAGACGCTTCTTTCTCCCGTTCTTAGGGTTACCGCAGCGTGCTGATAGCGAGATTCGGTATGCTTGTGTTTGCCGAGCGTTAGCGAGTTTGATGTGCCGAATAGTTCTATCCTCCTGATCGGTCGCTAGGACTTCCGCTCAGCAGCGCTTCATGAAGTGGCTTCGCTCTCGTTACCCGTAAACTGTGCACGTTGATGGGAGCACTTGGGGTCTGCGATTGTGCGAGCTGCTTCCAGCGAAGCCCTCCTGTTTCGCTGGAATTTTAGGTGTATCGTGATGGGCACTCATCGCGTTTCCAAAGTCGAGTCGCTTCCAGTGCATCGGTTTCCCATGACAGCGAGAGGAGATTGTCTAGTGGGGGCATGATTTGCCAGAAGCTGAAGTAGAACTAGTTGCTTGTTTGGAAGACGTCTTTCAAATGACAACCTTAAGCAAGTAGTTTTTGGGGACAGATTCGCTGCCTTGTAAGCTCAGACTCGCTGCAACAACAATCTTCGACCAACGCCAAATCCGATTGTCATCAATGTCGTTTCCTGACCCGACTTTTTGCTCCCCCCACCCCCCCAAAGGCAAGCAGGCTGGCAAATGATTCTGGCAGAAGCGTACAGTCGAATATTACCAGTGTCGTCATCGCGTCCTCTCTCGGATTCTTGATTCAAGACCTGATTGGTTAATCGTCCCCGGGCAAATTCCCTGGTAAGCAGGCAACCAAGCGTTTTGACCACAACCTAGGAATGAAACGTACCCTGGGACTCTATTGGATTCGCGACTTGTCCAGTAGCTTCGTGTAAACCTTCGGCTCCAGATTTTGGGACCAGTACTTTCAGTTCAGTACGGTGTTAACTCCCTAATTACTGATTCGGAATCCTCAAAATCCCTAGATGTCAAAACCGCATTTTTCTGAGACCCTAAAAAACGCTGACCGGTCAGTTTCTCCCGGGCAGACTCCTTCGGCAAGTAGGCCACCAAGCGCTTCAACGCGAGCGTGGAAGCTGACCGGCCTGTTGTCATATCCATAAATTTCCATGCTAATCAGGGGCTAGAAATCATTGAAGATTCGCTAATCAATACCAAAAGCCTGACACAACTTAAAATGCTCCGCACCCCATCCCACCCTAACCCCCAAACTAACCCCAATCAAACCCCCAAACTAACCCCACCGGGGCCCACCCGTCCTCGTCGAGTTCCTCACACAATTATCCTTTAAGATAAACTCTCTAATCTACTCAATCAACCCCCGAGCAGATCCTCTGGGCAAGCAAGCCACCAAGCGCTTCAACTCAAGCGACTGGGACGTGTGGGCGGGGCCTCTCACCGGGGGACGCGTCGTCGTGGCACTCGTGAACCGGAACCGCGACGCCGTACAGCAGATTCTGGTCGACTGGCGGACCGTGGGGCTGGAGAGTGACGCCAGGATGACGGCACGTGACGTCTGGCGGGTGGGTCCAATCCCTTGGCGGGCTGAGAGTCGCTGTCTCTTTCCGACTGCTTCTTTTCTCTTCTTCGGTATCGACGAGTAGTCGCAGGCAAAGCTGCGATGTTTCAGCGATACGTATTGGGTCTTCCTCCAAACTCCTTCTCGAATCGTGTGGGTCGCTGTCAAACGTTCGGCCGGGGTTCAAATCTTGGAGTGTATCAAAGTCTCTTCGTCCATGGCCTGCGGGCAAAGAGGCTACCAGAACTCTGGGTCTTACCCCAAGAGAAAAACTGAAGCGTGCAATTCCGAAAAATCCGATTGCTTCTGCTTTCTTCTTGCCAGGGAGCCATGTATTTTCCCTTCCAAATGATGCGCGCAACACAGGAACATAATCTATTCATTCTTTCCTCTTTGCCATGTCTTCCTCTTTGAAATGATCTGCACAAAACAAGAACAAGATTGACTTCACTTTCTCACTTTCAGGGCGCAAATCTACCGGGCACTCACGCGACCAACATGGGCCCTTTCCCGGTCGCTCCTCACGGAACGGTTCTCCTCATTTTGTCCCCGGTTCAATCTCCCTGGTCTAGTTTCTGGACTTGGGAGCCCTTCGGCGGCGGCTTCGTCACCCCTTGGATCATAGCCGTTGGCCTCGCTCTAGTTTCTCTGGTGGGCTTCTCCGTATTTTTTGGGACGAAGAGGTTTAGGGGTTGGGCCGCGCAAGGCCCATCGGGCGGCGCCGGCGCGGGCTATAAGCGGAGCTCCTCCGATTCCAAGGGGGAACGGGTTCCGCTCCACGAGCGGCCGGAACGGGAGTCGCCCATCCGGACGCAGCGGAGTGGCCTCAAGCGCGAGGCCAGCACGCGTATCAGTAGGTCGAGGACTGGAGATTTCGATGCAGTATAGCGTAAGCAGGACTTGCATTTTCAGTGCACGCGAATAGAAGCTCATAAGCAGTCACGCACTCGCCATAAAAGCAAAGGGGTGTCAGCACGCACAGCCCTATTTATGAACTAACTAAGCGCCTTGAATAAGCCTGGGGCGAAACGCACGCGCATATAGAGTCATAGGAGGTGAAAGTAGGCCAATCGTATCACAGACTGTCCGCACAGTTGTCCGACCCGGGTGAGACAATACTGACCACAACGCAGAACTCGCTTATCTATCGGGGCCCGCTAGATTCTAGCCGCGAGCTGGTAAACCATAATATCGCAGATTAGAATTGTATGTCTCAAGCGCGCCAGGATTCGTATAATCTCATTGCGGAAAGGCTGAATTAGGGCATTATATCATTGGCGGACATACACGCGCGCGCAGCGTCGTGAGGGCAGGCTCCTGTGCAGTAACTAGCAGGGCCACACGAGGGACTCCAGACCGTCCATGTAATTGCTTTTGAATGTGCTGATTCTCCAACTGTTGAAGGAACCGGGCAGCGCCAGCGGCTGGAATAATTGCCGCAGCCGGCCACCATTTGTCTTACGGAGTAAGATAGCATCCGATGATCGGATGCGGAGTAACGCGGAGATCGGATGGACGTGGTGCGGCGCTGCGCATATATGGGCCCCCTGCATCATGTTTGCAATTGATCGAGCGGCGACCCGGGCATGCAAGGATCCTGAACGATCCATGATAGCAATTACGTGAATCTGATATATATGAACAGCAGCTGCTTGGCCAAGGCTCCGGATTAGAACAGCTGGCAGGCCCACCTCAGTCATATAATTGACTTCCGACGTCGTCGACGTACTTACAAATCTGTAAACGAGTTATAGGTGGTCGCAATATCAAATGTCATCAAATTCATTGAGGCCCGGCGCATGCACAGGGCAGGCCGATCACGGACGTTGCATGTGCTCAACTCAGTCTAGGAACCGAGATGCCATGCCCGCTTGCGCCAACGCAATGCCGCAGGAATGATTACTCAAAACACATTGCGCGTAGGCCGCCCCACAACCTTTTACCAACGAGTTGGCCACAGGTACGGCAGCTACCGTCGTAACTGTACTAATGAAGATCAATTTCTGAATGCAGGTACAGGTTTGCTTGCTTGACGAGCCTTCGAGTGAACATGAGGTATTTACGGATTGGCTCGTACGGAGGTCGCGAGAAGGCTTCAAGTATGATTAGGAGCAGGTGTTGCCATAGCTCTCATCGATACCTTGGGAACCGCGAGCATGCCGATCAATGCTTAGAGCTCGTCATCTTGTTCGTCACCTACAAGCAATTTATCCAGGTCCGTCGGATCATACCCCTCCTCCTCCTCATCCGAATCGTGGATTTTACTCAACCGCTCGCTTTTCGACTTTACTCTCGGCTCTTTTCTCATCGCCTCGTCTCCTTCCCCCTCGTTCCCATTTGCGCCCTCCGCAATCCCGTTATCCGGCCCCTCGTGTCCCTTCTCCTCACGGCCAATTTCCATATAGTCTCCATGCCCCCCATCGTCCACATCCATCTTTCTTGCCGTTGCCACAGCCTCCGGCGCAATTCCCGGCGCAGTTTCCGGCATGGCACTTTTAGAGGCGTCAGCACCCCACCGCCCGGACTCGGGAACCCTTAGAGCTTCCTCCTGCAGCTGCTGCTCGTACTGGGTGAGCTCCGCCCGCCGCGACGCGCGCCACTCTTCAAACTCTTGCTGCCGGACGTCGAACAGTTTTTGGGACGCCTCGTTGTGCTTGGCGGGGACGTAGAAAAGGTGCGGCTCAGTCTTTGTCCTGAAGGCAAAGGGTTTCAGGGTTAAGTTCAGGGGTTAGGACAAGCGCCTTGAGGCTTAGGCAAATGTATTCAGAGGGTTAGGACGCGTATAACCAAGGGCTTAGAAGGAATTTATTTCGCGGGTCGAGACGAAAGTAACCAGGGGGTTGAAACGACGAGATCAATGGGTGAGGACGAACGCTTCAGAAAGCCAAGCAATCCTTGGATGTTGGTACGAAGTCAGGCGATCGAAATGGACAAACATTCTCTTTGGAAGTTTCGTGATTGGCATTAGAGCGGCAAAGCTCACGAAACGAAGTACATTTGTGACCGAGACTCGTACTTGACTGCCACGAAGCGAGCCAACTAAGACGATCTTAGGCATGAACCTATATTACGCTGGCAGCCTTGAAAACTAGCAATATGACCAGTCAGCTTTCGTGCTTCGGAGAACAAGCAGCTCGGGGGAACAGTTTTCGGAAGCCCGCCTTAAAACTAGGTCGCGACAAAAGGGGAGACTGAGGCAAACCAGGGCATATAAAACGCTGATTGATCACTTTAAAGCGAGTCGTACCGCCCATTACGGCGCAGGGAAAGCTGACGCCGGTGCGGAACTGACGCTTACGAGTGGAGGAAAAGAAAACTAGCACTCCTAAGGGATCCAATTTTGCTTTTACACGGGGTCGAATGCCGTTGCAAGCGGAACTCAGGATGAAGCACTCGGCAAAGAAGGGTTCTCCCTCCTCTACAATGTCAATTGTGCGGCAAGCAGGCGTGACTACTTCAAGATCTTCATGCAACCAATGCAAAGTATACAACCTTCTGTCGTAGCTTTTTGACTGCTTCAACTCCTCCTTACTCAAGACGCTCAAAAGGACCAGAACGACTCTATCGCAACCTTCACAGACCCGCTGGACCAAAAAAAGCCTCACCTCAGGAACCCAGTCAGCTGTTTTTCGTGCGCGGTCCACTTTAGAAACAGGATCTCCAGCTGCTTCTCGTCCGTCTTGGCCGCGAGCCGGTTTCTCAATACCAGGTCCTTCTCTCGCTTCGCCAAAGCGGCTTCCCGTTCGAGCTTCCGCGCCTTGTCTTGCAACTCCCGTGTTCGTTCTTCCGCCTGCAAGGAAGGGGTTTATGAACACTTTTGAAGACTAGGACTCGAGTTTTCAGTGCGGACGACTCGAGAGGCTTCTGATCAGTCCTGCGAACTCAGAAAGTTGGCGTTCGGTCTTTCGCCCGGGAAAGAAACGTCACGACAAAATATGTCTCCCTGGTCTTTCACCCCGGAAAAGAAAGACGATATTATCTGCTTGCCGAAAAGCCTCAGTGGACTGCTTAGAGGGAAAATGATGGAATATGGTTCTCGTAACCCTTATGTCTGCTGTGAGCTTCTCTGATTTCGTGATGATCCAACAAATGTTCCGCTTTTCAACGTGAATACCTTAGGAGAGCTCTCCTTCTGATTACACTACCTTGGGACGTTCCAGCGTGATAATATGTGCTCGAAAGCGCTGTTAGCGATTAAGATCGCTTATCGTTTTGTTCTTTAAAGAGGGCGTCAGACTAGGTATACCCCACGTGGCTGCGCGGCGACTTCATGGCATGGGCACTACTTGCGGTGTCGCTACCAAAAGTATGTTGTCATGGGCATTGAGCGACCAAAACAGCTATGCACGGGCCTTTCTGTCGCCAAAGGTGGGACATGTCCCCGACGCCCTCTTTAAGATCGGAAGCGGCAAGCCCCATCATGCTCGAAACGCTTTGTGATAGTCCGCTGCAAAGACGTCAGCCAATTCTCCTGCGCGGCCGAGCTCTTCTTCTCGTCCACTTTCGTCATCTGCGCGAGCATTTCGAGCAACAGCCCGGGAAGAAAGGAGAAATGAGAGAAGAAGAAGAGGAAAACCCCGCAAACGTTGTGTACTTCCTGTCCATGAGAAGAACGGGCTCCTACAATCGTCAGGAAGATGCCACTCACCCGCTGCAGTGACGTCAGCCGTTTCATGTGCGCATGCGAGCTCTTCTCCTTCTCGTCCTCCTTCCGAAGCTTCGCAAAATCCACAAGCAGCTCTTGGACGGCGAAAGTACAGGACAATCTCAAGTTTGCATACACTTCTGCCCTCACCCGCTGCTGTGACGTCAGCCGTTTCATGTGCGCGTCCGAGCTCTTCTCCTTCTCGTCCTCCTTCCTGAACTGCGCGAGCGTACCGAGCAGCGCGCCAAACAGCCGCCGGCTCCGCTTCACTTCGGGAGCGCTGATCTCCGGGACCACCCGGGGCGGCGCCGCCGCCTCCTCGGGGGGGTCGTACTTATTTGGGCCCAAACCATCTCGCGTCTGCAAAGAAAAGACTCTGTATTCTTTCTCCAATTCGAGAGCTCTGTGTAAAGGTGGTCCTGATTGGACGCTTGACCGCACGAAAGGCCGCTTCGGCCTGCAAAGACTCGGTCAAGACCGCAGTCAAGACCGGGTCAAGACGCGAATCAACCTTCTTGCACAGCCAGCCGCAATACTTTCTTGTTCTCGTTGGGAATCGAACCCAGTCCGGTCACCGCATTTTTATTAGAAGTATTAACGCGCTAGTCTAGCCCACTCGGGCTACACTTGCGCCAGTGTAGCCCAAGTGGCAGCGCGTTAATACTTCTAACAAGTGGGTCAAAACGGCTTCGGCCTGCAAAGACACAACCTCCTTTCCTGCGAAAGAGCTTTCCCCGGACATCCTAATAGTTTGAAAAATCAAGGCCAGATGCACAGAAATTCCATGTTGCAAACACTGGACTTTCCGCTTGCTGCGTCCTCTGAAGAGGGAAAAGAAAAGCTCCACGAGTGCCCCAAGGCGCCGCCCCGGCTTCCAAGTTGTCGCGACTGTTAAAATCAAACCGCCTTGCGCTTGCAGAAGTGCGCCGTGTGGCCTTTACACGCGAGCTCGCTCCCAAGAAGCTGCGCTCCGCCCAAAGAGAACAACTGCCTTCCCCCAACGCCGAGAAGCGAGGCCAGAGTCGGAAAAAGACCAGCCCTGGGGCCCGTTGAATGCAGGGACAACATGTTGCGGCGCCAAACTGAACGTTTTTACGGGGCTCAACGAACTACTGTACCGTCGCCCTTCTTGGACGCTTTCAATACTCTTCTTGAAAGATGTGGTCCTTGCTTTTCAGGAGCCCTGGTAGCTCACCAGAAAGTTTCGTCGGGGGCCATCTCTCTGCTGAGGCGGGTGCGGCTCCCCTCTCGTCTCTTCCAACACACCAGCTTCCGTCCCTCCCCTCGCAGTCGGTTCTTGATCCATCGCCACCTGGGGGGGTCCCTCTCCATCGGCGCGGGCTACAACTGACGACAGCTGGCGCCGCTTTGGCGGAGGAGCCGCCTCTGCGTTCGTTCCGGAAACATCGTCCTGGGATGATTTGAAAAGACCATTGTTATTAATAGCGACAGCGGAGCATGCCTCTCCGTTGAATATTGTTATGGAATTGGTGCTACCGTTCTTCACGCAAGCAAGGAAGGGTGGGTTGTACTGCCTGATGTCACATACCGACAGCGAAGGATGCTTCTCGGCTATACTGTCAACTCAACATTTTTTTTGGCGGCGCGCTTTGAAAGCGAGCACGTGGTACTGCTTGTATGACTGCCGTCAGATCAGCAAATTCTTTTGAGAGAGAAAGCGTCAACGACCTCTCAATGCCTGTTGGACGGTGCCTGTTGGTTCACTGATGGGTGCGTTCTGAGATTGCGTTATGCGGAGTACTGCAATGACACTTGCGGAACGACTCAAGGGAACTCGCATGAATGTTGCTCTCAGCCATCTCAGTAGAATTTTGTGTACATTGGTTCCGAGATCGACAAGGACGGACTGAAAACCGGAAGTTGACCACCTGCTATCTCGGGTTGGTAAACCAAAAGCAACCACTCTCCTCAAAGCACGTGGGGCACGCGGTGAGAGGAAGAAGGCAAGATCCGGGTCATTATCAATGCAACATGCCTCAGGAAAATGTTTGGGATCAACTGTTGAAAGCTTCGCAAGTATGCAACCAATCTGGTTGTACAACCTATGCAATTGGGGAGAACCACTTCCCCCCTCCTTGTGATCACAAAACTGCCTACAAACAGTGTGCCTAGCAGCGGAACAACCAGAAGAGCAGTTTGAGAGCATCTGTGTGGCAAAACGAGCAGAAAGAACGAGGGAAATCAGGACGAAGAGGGACTAACAATAACAATTGCCGACGAGAGCCGCTTTCGGGCTAGAGAATCTTCTGGTTCTCTAAGAGGTGGCCGCGCTTGATAGGGGGGGCCTCTCATGGGGCGGCCCATCCCCCCCGGAGGCAGTAAACCCCCCCGGCCCCTTGCATAGATTCCGCCGAATCCTCTGCCTCTCCCGGGGGGTCCCCCGCCTGGTGCACCACGCCCCCTGCTGAGAATGTTCCGTTGCTCTCGGAGGCGTTGATCAACCTGGGGGGCAAGAGAAGAGCTTGGGAAACACCGAATGACCTTTCCGTTTTGTTTACTGAATTATGAAGGTGTGATGCTGATCGCATTCCCTTTTTGGATGCCTTTCACCAAAAAAAGTTTGCATTCAGATATGACGAAAATTCGCCAGCGTCAAAATGGAAAGAATCCACAAAGAAGATGCGATTGCTAAGCTTCCCAAAATACACCACTAGGATTTCAGAAAAGGTAAGAGTGGAGGAATGGTCACAAAGCAATGCGTACTCTGCTAGCCGTCGAAAAGAAGGTCAGCATCAAACACTGTCACGGTTCAAAAGTTCTGCTCTGATCAACAAAGAACTGGAAACCATTACCAACACTCGCAAATCTATTCTCAGCAGACGGCACGATGAAGTGATTTCGACCTTTGAAGTATTTAGCAGTGCTCTAAAAAGCAGATCAACAGCTCTGTGCTCTTCACATCCTCCGCATTAGTTAGTGGAAGCAATTGGTGGTGAGTCGACCGGTACAAATAAGAAGGTCCTGACCTCTCTCTGCTGCTCCTCCAAAAGCGCCAATTCGCCCCGCAGCTGTTCCTCAGTTTTCTCCCCCTCCATCGCTTTTCACAAGGATTATTTTGAAACAAACCCTGCCTGCAAAATTCCTCAGTATGGCTGGCAATCAAACAGCACACAGCAGAGCACCGTAGCTTTTGCAAACAGTGCCACTAATGGCTTCTCGTTGCGCCAACGCCTCCTTTTCCTCTGCTTCGAACCAAGTGTTGAAGTGATCATCTGCAATTCTCCATTCAAACAAATTCAATCTCTGGGCCTGGCTCTGCCCTGATATAAATTGACAATTTAACAGAGCAATAGGAGCTCCGCCGTATCTTTATTCAAAGATTCATCATGCAACACAATATTCCAATGCCGACCAGTCAGATAATTTGGGAACTTCAAATTCGCTCACCCAGACAAAATGCTCGCGTCCACCAGCCTCCACAGCGTCTTCGTCTCTCGCACTCCGTCTGCATTCCATCGTCCCTTCTGTGAAAGAATCATTTGGATTGACCACCACCTCTGCCGCATTGCGCTTGCTTCCCAGGCAAGGTGTTAACCACCTCGTCACCATGGCTGAGCCGGAGTCTAAGAAGGTCAAGGTTGACGGGACGACGAAGGAGGCCATCAAGGTAATTTGACGCATCCGGGGTGCGAGACTATGTTTCTTGCTGCATCTTGTTCTTCAACTATACTGCGCATGACATTTGGGTGTTTGGCATTTCGCTGAACCCTGTACAGTGTGCTTCTCCCTACTTGTGACAGTCTGATCCACATGAGGCGCTTGTGTTAGTCTGGTGTTTTGCGTGTTTGTTTTGAGCATCGATGACTGCTGAAACCATACTGCCTGGTCGCTGGAGTGTTTACATTGATAAGATCATCTATTTGTTAATGGTTTGAAAATGCTAGCACCATGTCCTGTGCTGCATTGTTGGTTCGCCTGCAATTGGCAATGGCCAATAGTTGGATGTTTTGACACCATAATGTGGGGCACCTAGGGCAGAACTTATCTAATTTGTACTAGGCTTTGGTCCCAGATGAGGTCAAACTTGTTTTCGTTAGTTGGGAGAGGTCCCTGCTCTCTTTCAGACTCTTTCAGAGTGTTTCTTATGGAACAAGTTAAAGGTGCATGCACAACCTCCAAGTCCGATGCTCAAGCATCAGTAAAGTCTGCCGTGTGCTTAGGTGTCCAGGGAAACTTGCAAAACAGAGCATCTCAGCAACAGTTTCTTGGTGGCAGTTTTCCTTCTGCATCCGAGAACCCTGTCAAAGGTTACGTCCCGACCTCTTCTGATCAGCCCTGCGGCTCCTTCTGACATCTTAAAACTCAGGTCCCTGGGATCAGAACTGTCACTGGCTGCTGCTTTGAGCATGTAATTGCCTTGACAGTCATTTTCTGGTTATCTGGTCAGATGTACTGTGACCACAATCTCATGTACTCGCGTCCATACATACACACCTCCGCAGATAAGGCATACATACACTGTCCCCCCATTTCAAAAACTTGATACCCCTTGTGTGTATGCCATCTGCTATCACGCCTCTGTCTATTCAAAGCTGACCGAACCACGATTCTTGTAAATTAAAGCCAAATGAGCACAATTAAGGTGATTTTCTGTTTGCAGGATGAGCAGCAGGGCACCGCCCGGGCCAATATGGACCGCACTCTCCAAGGGTGGTACAGCGAGCTGAGCCCCATGTGGCCTGGTAAGTACTTCCTACTCCTCAATTCCATGGCTAGGGAGACTTGTAGGTCTAGCAACAAGTTGTCAGCATAGTTACATTCTGGAGTGTGTACCCTTCACCAGGCAACACTGACCTGAGTAGCAAGGCCCGCGAGAAGGCAAGGCAGCGCAGATTATAATAGCGCAAGCTTTCAGGAATCTCAATGTAGCACAGATTAAGGGTACGCAAGTTATTAGGGAGCTCAGTCAGCCTAAACTAACCTCACCACTAGGCCCCCAGAGGAAGTTGTATTTACACCCTAATGAAACCCCCCCCTTCCCTCCCCGAATTTTTCGCTTCTCGACAATCACACCACCAAGGCATCGCTGCTGAAACCCACTGATTAGCCAAGATCATAAAGTTTCGGTTTCAGCTGAGCCTGAAATGCTTCGCTTCCAGAGCCTGAGTGCTTTGGCTGAAAGGGGCTTGTGCAGCTCCTTCACAGCAAAGTTCTTCTTCCAGGCCCGGCTTTTCATCACAGACGAATGCGCCAAGTTCCTGTGGCTTGTATTCTCGACGAGAGATTGTCCATCCTTCCTATATCTGTCATATCTGCGCATATCAACACTTGAGGCGTGGAGGTCACAGCTTTGACTATTGCTCAAGTGACAACAATCCCAAGCTAGTCGTGTACTACACACGTCAAGGTCAAGTGTAAATACCGCTCCACTTTCCAAAATTGTTGAGCTGTCTCCTTTCCGCGGCGCTGCTTCTGATTTGTCTGTTCTTTCCTTGCCGGTCGGGCTCACGCACTCTTTGTAGCTGTACTTGCACCTTTAGCACCTTTTAGCACCGGTTAACAGGCATTCACTCACCCTCTCAACCCTGTCCACCTTTCCTGTATCATGGCTAGAACATCGCAAGTACGTCAAAATTCCCCAAACCTCGAGATGCTCATATGCTTATCAACCTCACCCTCTTCACCCTCCAGGACAAGCTCTTTCCCTGAAGATGGACAAGATTCTGTTCGAGGACCGCTCCGACTTCCAGGACGTCGTCGTGTTTGAGTCCTCCACGTGGGGACGCGTTTTGGTGCTCGACGGTGTGATCCAGCTGACTCAGCGCGATGAGGCGTCATACCAGGAAATGATTGCACACCTGCCGCTGTGCTCGATCGAGCCCCCCAAAAAGGTGAGGCCTGCCGAATGGGACCTGAGTTGTTTGAATCCCAATCAACAGGTCTTCTTTGTAACTCAGTTACCTTCCGAAAAACGATCGTCCCCAGTTGCCTCTTTCGCACAATCGTTCACATGGTCCAGCGGGGTAATTTTCCTAACCAGGAATCTACGTTCGCTGCCCTATACAGACCCTCCAAAACGGGGTCGTTCGTCGGACTTTCTTTGATAGGCTGGTGCACAGGAACACGAGCTTCTCTAGTTGCACCTTATTGGAACCCCAAGATATGTTTCAAAAAGACTGGATTCCCGGGACACACCACTCATGGATGCCGATAAGTCTCTCGACTGTGGTTGAAGGGTTGAGCCTCCCATCAGAGATTTCAGAGCAGCCAACATTAGAATCCGCTACCCTGATGTTGGCTCGTCGGCTCGTCTGCCTCCATCTCTCTGTCGACTGGCTGATTCCTGAATTTGAGAGGGCAGAGGCATTACCTGCTCATCGGTTTCTACCTGTGCCAGAACCAGCAGCGTGGCTGACGTCAGCAGACATCGGCAACAATCCTTTCCTCTCCGGAGCGCGACAACAACGATACCCCAACTTCACCGCGACGTTTCGACCCTAACCCGTGACGCCTTTCGCTCCAGGTTCTCGTGGTTGGCGGCGGAGACGGAGGCGTGCTCCGCGAGGTGTCCCGGCACGCCTCTTTGGAGCAGATCGACATCGTCGAGATTGACGGCATGGTGATTGACGTAAGTGCTCGTGTGCTTTGCTTTACGATTCAGCGAAGTGATTGCTTGGAAGCCCGTGATCCAGAAAGTTCATAGGCCCGAAAAGTAGGATAAAGGCCAGAGTTTAGCAGTGACGCCTGTCGCTCCTTGTATGCCATTAAGTACAAAGAATGCGAGGGATCCACGTCCGCTCATGATCTGCTAGTAACTCGATTGCACTTCTGTCCGGTCGACTGGATTCAAAGCGAGTCGTAACTTTCCTCCTGCCGCTCTGCCATCTTTCGCAGAGTTTATCATACAACCTTTACATACGATGTTGTCTCAATTCAGTAAACCTCGTGGCTTTTTTTCCGACAGGTCGCGAAGAAGTTCTTCCCGGACGTTGCCATCGGTTACGAGGACCCCCGCGTGAACGTGCATGTTGCTGACGGTAAGCTTGTGTTTGTCTCCGCTTTCCTTTCCCCTCGTTCCAGGGTTTTTTGCGCAGTCTTTTACATGAGAACATGCGCTATTTGTTTTTCCGGGTGCATATCGGATCCCAAAAGCGAGACAAGCTTCTCTAGGTACGCCAACCGCCTGCCTTCGGAACAGACTTTTAAGACACCATGCGACGGTTCCCTTCTTGCTGGCGGATGGATTAGCCAGTTGACCAATACTTGCTCCAGCTTGTTTTGGAATACTTCCTTGCCATGCCGTTCACAGTAGCAGTCACCATTCATCTCTGACCAGATACTTCTGTTCGCATTGGTTCACGGATAGGGCTGAACGGTTTGCGAGCAGTTGAGCTCGCTCGAAAGATAGTGGTGCTTGCACAAAGAAGCTTGTCAACATCGACAAGCTCTTCTTCTGAAACGGAGACTTCCAGTTTTGTCGATTGCATCGTTCTTGACTTTGAGTTACCCCCCACTCAGGCTCACGCTTCCCATGTATGCAGGTGTCAAGTTCTTGAAAGAAACCACCCCCGGAACATATGACGCCATCATCGTCGACTCCTCCGATCCGATCGGTGAGGCAATTGACTGCGAGGCTCCTTTCTCGTCTTCGACATATTCCTCCCGTCTCTTATTGCTGGCATGCTCTAGAGAGAGCACGGCAGTCAGGTTTCGCGGGAGTCATGAACTAGCTCCTATAAAATCTGCAATTAGCTGGAGCATTTGACTGCAGCCACGCGCACTAGGGCGCTTTCAAAACTTGTGGAACGCGGTAGTGAAACTTGACTCTTCTTATGATCATTTTGATACGTTTCAGTGGGCTCTGGCTCTGATTCTCGAATGTCAAAGCAAGCGCAACGGTAATGTCCATATTCTGTCATCCTAAGGCTCTTCTTTCTTGCGAAGTAGTCCCCTTTTCCGTTCAGCAAGGTTTTGTGCAGCAAATGTTTCGACTTCATGGCCAACACTCAGACGCCGCCTTCCAATTCGAAACACCACGCTGGCCAAGAGTTTTGCAAAGAGTTCTTCCCTCGCTCTCATCATCAGAACGCCACGATCTCATGCCGCAAGATACTTCCTTTCAACGGACCCCGCCTAGCAGCTTTTCATTTGGCCATTTTTCGATCAACGGGCAAGGCTTGGCGCCGCAGCGTTGTTTATGCAACCTGGCGCAGAAACTCTCGTTCTACCTTCTTTATCCCCAACGTTCGTAACCCGCTCGAACCTCCATTCCGAACCGCAAAGCGACAACTCCTTCCCTTCAGGCCCTGCGCGGCAGCCCTTTGAGCTGCCGCGTCGATGCCCGGAGCAGTTTGTCTTGCAGCGTACCTGCACCAAAATGGAGGAGATAGCTGTCCACTACCTCACATTGGAAAAGTCCCAATTGGCTGAATCAATTAAAACCCAACCCTTGACCCTCACCCTAACCCGAAAGTGTCGCTCCGTTCAGGCCCTGCCCAGCAGCACGTTGAGCGGCCGTTCTTCGAGTCAGTGGTCAAAGCCTTCGTCCCGGCATCGTACTTCGCACCAACATAGAACGTCTGACTCCACCTACTCGTAAAGAAAGGGTCTCTAGCCCGCCGGAACCCTCGTTGCTAATCTTGAAAGGATAATTTGCTTTCCTCAGGCCCTGCCCAGCAGCTCTTTGAGCGGCCGTTCTTTGAGTCGATGGCCAAGGCGCTACGGCCCGGCGGCGTGGTGTGCACCCAGGCTGAGAGCATCTGGCTCCACCTACCTATTATTAAGGATCTGGCGCAAGCGTGTAGCCACACCTTCAAGGGCGGCTCCGTGAACTACGCCTTCACAAGCGTTCCCACATACCCTAGGTGGGCTCTTCGGGTCTTTTATTGATGAAAATAGACGGTGCTTCCATTTCTTGAGGCTTGTCTGGTCCAGTTGCTGTTGTTAAAGACCTCGCGCAAGCGTGTCACCACACCTTCTTGAGGCTTCTCTGGTCCAGTTGCTGTCGTTAAATACCTCGCGCAAGCGTGTCACCACACCTTCAAGGGCAGCTCTATGTTCCACGCATTTACCAGCGTTTCCACTTACCCGAGGTGGGCTTTCGTGCATTCATTGATGAAATCAGTTGTGCTTCATTCCCTTAGGTTGTCTGGTTCCAGCTGGTGTTCATTCAAGGACCTGGTGCCACCACACCTTCAAGGGCAGCTCTATTTTCTACGCCTTACGAGGTCCCAACTGAACCAAAGTCACCTTGTCGCGTCTCTGACTGTTGGATGAAGGATATTAGGGTTTGATTGGTTCCCTCTGGGGGTTTTGCGGCTTCTTTTGCCTGTTGCGTACGACCTCTCACCTGTTATCACACTTACAAATGTGGCTCCACGAGTTCTGCTTTTGGCAGCCTTTTGACTTCACCCAAGGGCGCGTTTTGGGTCTTGTAGGGACCAGAAAATTCAGTTTCAGACGTAGCGTTGAGAGGACCGAGCTCCGGTCGAGAACCTCTGATAGAGTAGATGCTCACGAACAATGTCCCATCTTGCCTGTGCTGACGCCAGCGCCTCAGAACACCGCAGTCCTGTGGAGAGGAACGCGGAAAACGGAGACAATTCTGAAGAAAGGAGTTTGCGGGGTATGGGCTTGGAAGCGATACCATCTCGACCTTGCTTCGCATCATGTGGGTCAAAGACAACTGGGATGTGTAATGAATCTGATCAAGTTAGTAAAAGGAAGGCTAATCTCAACTGGCTGCGGCCTGAAAAAAACGGAAAGCAAAAGAAGAAAGAAGAAAAGAGTTAGGGTTAACATTTCGATGTCTCCTTTTTGCAGCGGTATCATTGGTTTCATGCTCTGCTCGACCGCTGGGCCCAAGGTCGATTTCAAGCACCCGAAGAACCCCATCGACGACTCCAAGAACGCCAACAAGAACCTCCAGCCTCTGAAATACTATACCAAGGAGGTGGGTTAAAGCGAACTCGACCATAGCATTCTGGGTTTCGGGAGTTGCTGTCAAGGTGTTCCCTAAAGGCACAGCTTTTCTGGTGAATCGTTCAGCAGTGCATCTCATGTTGACTTGCGCCCTTGCTCTCCTCGTCGAAGAAGTTAGAGCTCGATTGTGCATCAGCGAAGTCGCAGAATCCTGTTTAGCTTCCTCTAAACAATCTTTCATCGCGTGTCGCGTTGGTCGAAGTCATTGAAAGGACTGTCGACCGCATGGTGGCTTCCAATATGATGATAGGCGCGCCATTCAATGACCTTCGTTTCGAAAGCCCCCAGGAACTCACACGTGGCCTTGTGAGCCACGTGTCCTTTCTTTGCCTGAACGTCTTGCTACGCTGGTCTCCACTTTGCACGGTGATTCGGGGACAGCCGTCCGTTGGTTTCTTTCGGAGGTGAGAAATGTTCCCGCTAGTGTCTTCCAACTCTATCTTGATGTTTTACTGCTCTTCTGCAGCTTCACACTGCGGCGTTTCAGTTGCCGAAGTTTGCCCAAGACGCTCTTAAGGACCTTCTGACCTCCTAAAAGGTGGTCAATGCTTTTGGTTAGCTTATGATGCAATTCTATGATTGATCGGATGAGGAAGTTTGGTGAAACTATTATTGCACCGCGTGCGGGCGCACCCCTATTAATAGTTGAGGATCATTTCAGAAAGGGCTATAGAGTCCAGTAGCTTTTGAAGCTGCGGACATGGTTCAGTATTGTGTCGGCCATCATATGTTAGTTGACAATGCATGAGAAAGTAGCTGAGCGTGGCGAGATGCCAAACAGAGCGCAGCCCGGACGTCTGATTCTAACGAAGTCAAAGCAAGCACTGCGCACGAGTCGTTCCCTGTTCTCAGTCTTGCATCTTTTTGAGTAATATTGAAGTGATTTGGGAAGGTTTTGATTGTCGAAGAGCCTCCGAGGTCATAACGGTAGGAGCTGAGCATCGTCAACTGAATCCAATCAAACGGATTGGCAGGTCAAAGTGCGGCTTCATTTTATGTACGTTTTCAATGCAGCCCTTACGATTTTGATAAGTCATTCGATGCAGTATGATAGTGTTGCGAAGCCGGGCCAGCCATGGCACATTGTACAGTACAATCATCGATTGGTAGGACCTGTTGAGTCCGCGATTGTGGCCGCTCGATCCGCATGCAGCGCGGGGGACTATACAGAGCTGAGCAGGCTGGGTTGTGTTCATTGTCGATGTCTTTGCGGCAATTATCGTCAATTATATTCATGCGTCATACTATACTAATGCATGGCATGGCGCTGGTTTCGTGTCCAACTTAAGTCGATCGGAAGATAGAGCGCCGCCGCCAACGCCGTATCAGTGTATATGCTAATTCGATTTTTGCTCATATACATGTTCGATCCCGCCAGTACAGCAATTGCTACTAGCTAGCTTCGAGTGATCGTCAACGGCCAACTGAACTTAGCCGGCCAGGCGCCCGCAAGCTCTTCGAACTTTGTTTTCGTTGTCACGCGCAATAAACTTGAAAGCTCGAGTACCAGATAGAACTAGGATAGAGGACTTTGAAGCAATCCGCAGAAAAATACAACACAAATATACGTTGTGTTCTTGTGTCTTTTACATAAATACCGGACACTTTTGCAATTAAGTCACCCCTTACAATGACATTTCTATAAAGTCTAGCAACTGTATTGTCCCTATCTGTCGATCCCTCAAAGAATACTGTTTCCTATTTGGCGGCAACTTCACATGCACAGTCTTTTAGAATATCAGAACAAAATTCTCAACACTTAATAATAGATCCGTCAGGCTAAGAACACTGGCCGCTCGCCAAAACCGTCTTCCTGACACATGACCAAAGCTGTAAGAAATATGTACTAGTACTGGAAGATCATAAGGTAGTAAGTACTTTGGCATATAATGAGGGTTTAGACGCTGCCGAACCGCTTCGCACCACAAGACAACGGCGTCGTCTCGGTCTGGAGTTCAGCATGGTCGACAGCTGACCCCGTTGGCAACAACACGAAATCCGGCGATTTTCGCCTGGCACGTTTTTACTCCCTGCATCACATGATGAGATAGGATCATTCAGGGGAAATTTACTTGTGCTGAGTTCGACGAACGGCCTGACGCTTTGTTTACCGACATGAAACAAAATTGCGAAGTGCATATCGGCGCTGTCACTGAAGGCCAAGCAGCCTTGCAAAACGGATAAAGCAAAATTGTGGACTCGTGTGATGGCTCCGGATAGAGAAACAACCAATCAACTTAAGTTTGGAAACTTAACCAACTTAAGTTTCTTGACCAATCTTAAGTTTCTCTAAACAAACAACCAACTTAAGTTTCTTGACCAACTTATGATGAGACGTGGGTAGGCAATGACCCATCAATGGATCCTTCTTAAAAGTGCCGTAGGCGGAAGCGTTCGTATCGGCGACTTCTTTACCCCAATCGGACTCTGACGGTTGCCGCACAGAGCCAGGTTTTCTGGATTTTGCGGCGACTAAGAAGCTGGATCGGATTCTTGAACGTCGTCAGAACCACGTACGCGCCCACTTACGCCCTCTTTAAGATCCACAAATCTCTGGTACAAGAACATACACTACGGCTCTTTGAAAACATTCCCAGAATCAAACGACTGGTAAAAGAGTTAACCGCCCACTTGCCATATTTAGCCTGGGGTCCAGCGCACTGGAGAAAGAGGCTCTTGTCAGACCAGCGAAGGGAAACTCGTAAGAAGCACTTGAAACAGTTGACAAACGTTGTCAATTGTCCACTGGCGGAGTTCAAACCCGTTCAAGAAGAAGAACAGAACGCGCTTGTCGGGCGTCGGACAAAGACGGAACGATCCGGATCGTATGCAACATAAAGAACAATAAGAGGGAGAGTTAAGCTGGAAAAACAGTCTTCAATCGTGCGAAGCGTTTGCCCGCCCAAGCCCCTCGCGCGATGTCTTCGCTTTCTCAACTTACGGAAATTTTGGATAAGCGACTGTCGACCCGCGTCACAAAATCGAGACTGAAAATGATCGTGTAAAGTTCGACAAAAAAAGGGAAGAACTAGTGAAAGGAGTGGCCTAGAAGAACGAGACCGTTCGAAGCGCGCTTGCCGGCTTGAGCCCCACGCGCACTGTGTCCGCTTTCTCGGATTTCAGAAAGCTTGATTGACCGTTGATCCCAGACACGAAGAACCTCGAAACTGACTGCGCGAAGTTGATCTGGCCCTAAAAACAAAAGAAAGCGAAGAACAACAGTCCTCACCTGTCAATGTGTTCGAAAGGGCTGAACGACCCCCATCCGTGAACACGCCGCATCGCTTTGAGGTTTTCCACTTCGTCCCCTTCCGCCTCCTTATCTAACATCCGACCACTGTTGGCATGCAGGGCTAGCGGCTTATACTCCAAATCGTCCGCGTTTGTGCAGAAGCTTATGACCCCTTTGACGACGAAGTTGTAGTCCAATAACGAAGCAATCTGGTAGTAAGGCAACCCGGGGTGAATGCCGTCCCCGAACGTTAATTGGTGCCAGAAATGGCGCTTATCCAAATACTTGGTCAGCCGGTGTGAGTCGAGCACTCGGTAGAGGGATCCCCCGGTCGCCCGGAAGTGCTCCTCCTGCTGACGAACAAAAAGCTCCGTCCGTTCGTTTCGGCGAAGCGGGTCGATAAACCCAAACAACTCCTCGCTATAAGCGGTCAACGTATGGTAAATAAACATCGTCTTCGTGACCCCGTCCGACCCCCTCTGCACTTCCCGCACTTTCCGCAACCGCGCGGTGAGCGCCTCCAAATCGGCCCGGTATGCCAGCTGCCCCTGCCCGTGGTATATGTGGTGCAAGCCCATATTCATTACGACTGCAAACGGTTGCACCATATCCGCTTGGAACAGCGTGTCGAAATTCTCCACGACCTGACTGATAAACTGCACCGGGGTATACGTCACGCAGAACTCGAACCCCTCGTCGCGCAGTGCGCCCGTCACGAGCCCCGCGACCCGTTTCGCCTCCCAGTTGATATCCTTGTACTCCCACGTTTTACACTCCTTCCCGTCTTTGCAACAGACAGCCCACAAAGGCTCCGTATCGATCTCGACCCCCAGATCCGCCGCAATGCTCTGCCATTGCCGGCGTATCATCGAGTCTCCCGTGAAATGCAGCCACGCCTGGTTCTTCCGAGCGCCCAGAAAGCGCCCCACGTCCCACGGCGTCAAATACTCGACGTTGCAGTTGACTTTGCTGACGTCAGCGAGCGTCGTCAGGTTTGCCAACTGGAGGACGTCACAGGGAACGGGGCAAGAGTCGGCCACCGGCGCGGGCAGGTTCTCCGTAACCCGGTTCTGGTTAACCTGGGTTTGGGTGTCCTGGTCATGAGTGGGTAGGCTAACCTGGTTTTGATTAAGCGAGACTGGTGGCTCCGGTTTGCAGTCGACGCGAGGGAGGAGAGGCCGATTCCGTAGATGTAGGAGCTGGTCGCTTGACACCCAGACCAGGAACAGCAGCAGAACTGGGCAGAAACAGAGACAGTAGTGTCAATCATGGGGTGAGGTACAAGGATGCAATCATTTCTAAGTTTGGTGCTGAGAGTAATCTAGTGCATCATCATGGAGGGAGGGTAAGCAAGAAACTCCGACCCTATCATAATACTTGAGCACAGGAACTCCGATACCCCAGTACTTGCAAACCGTTTTTTTTGGGTGGACAGACAATCTTTGCTTTGGAGGTGGAACGCTTAAAGAGAGCCTTTCAAAGACGAGGATTCCGGAATGCCTGAGCAAGCCACGAGACTGTTCCAGAAGGTGCAAAGTGATCAGATGGGCATAAGGGTTTGTTGTCACCAAGAGAGCAATGATAGATCGAGTGTCCCTAATGGGTCCCAACAAATCTGCACGTCGTTCGCAGTTGAGCTAGTAATGATTTGTTTTGAATGGTTTTTTATTCAGCCGAACTCTCCCACATTGTTCAGGTCTTCCCTTCAGAAAAGGACTGAACCCTGTCCCACTTAACGCACTGAGTTGGATAAGCTGGAAAACTTGTGACTGCGCGCTTGCGGCACGGCAGAAGAGAGGAAATACACACACTTCAACAAGGACGAGCTCCAACATTTCTTAGAGTTGATTGTGCGTTGCTCAAATCTTGCTGACAGTCTGGTGCCTCCCATGAGTTGGCCAAGGGGGGGTGGTTCAGAAAATCCTTATGAAATAGAAGATGGGTAATATGATCAAGCGCAAATTGCTCAGACGATGAAAGCTTGTGCTGACAGTCTGCTGCCTGCCGTGAATTGGCTGATGCAGTGAAGTCTTGACAGGAAAGGAGAGAGGACGTTTAATCGAGTCAGAGTAAGATATGTTCCTGCCATACAAGGGGGGGGCGCTAAATAAAGTCTGGTGCCAGAGAATAAGGTAGGATGTATACTTCAATCAAAGACAACAAGTTTCTGCCATACCTGCCGCTGCCGCGGAACAACACATCAGTGTCGACATCCTGGGCTTGGCGCTGGCTCCAGGCTCTGCAGGGAGGAAAAAACATCAGACCCTGGTTAGAGAAGACCTTGACTCCAGCTTAATTCCTACCACTGACAAGACAGGGCTATGCAACCACACGTCCCCCAAGCCCAGAGTGGTGTTCTGCTTTCACATCGGCAGAGTTTTGAGAACAACTGGGCACTGCTTTAGGTGCTCCCAATTGATCAGTCAAATCGAAGAGGAATTTGAAGACCTATTTGTCCAACGTTCTTCAATCACTTGACCTCCGAGCTCATGTGCTCAAACACAAGCATCCTTTTCAACTTCTGTAGGCTTGAAGACAAGCTGGCAAGGCTTACTCAGAAAAAGTTGTCCACTGAATGACTCAGAACTGGCTAGCTTATGAAAGAAGAGAACACGAACAAAACCCAACAAGAATGTTCGTACTTTTCCTAGCGCCTCGAAGGGGCTTTTTCCAGCACTCTTTCGCATCCATATGAGCACAAAATAAAGGCACAGAGCATATGATTTTGATGCACAGACACCCCTATTCCGTATCAAGAAAGCATATCGATCCACCAGAACTACCTTCTCTCAGCTAACATACCCAACTTGTTCCACCGCAATCAGTATGAAGGAAAACCCACTTACTCATTTTGCCTGGAGTGCCTGCTCCGTTCAGACCCGATAACCTTCCGCTAAGTAAAGGCAGCCTTTTGTGGCCAAGTTTGTTCTTTGTCCAAACGCCCGAGCCCAGTTGTCACACTGCGGACTATCTCGTAAAGTCCACTTTTAAGATCCTCACAAACGAAGGGCTGGGCATACTTCCTAGCATTGTGCGGAAGGTGCCATCAGCCGCCACAGTAAACTCAGTCGCCTTCGAAACAACATTACTTATCCTCATCTTAAAACTAATGTGACTGGAGACGAAGCAGTTGTATTCATGAATGAAGTGAGTGGCACCCCAAGTTGCCACACGGTAGCACCTCAGAATTCATAACAAGATTCAATTTAAAGACTCGAACGAAACGAGCTGTCGTTCCCTCCTTCGTTCCCTGATTTGCCGCTTCCCCTTTGCGACATCTGGAAACCAGTGGTCACATCCCAAAGACGCAGGGCCGGCTGAACTACAATCTAGGATTCTGTCAGAACATGTGATCCACGTGTCAAGGGGACCGTCCGATGTACCCACCATCTCATCGGACGGTCGAACAGACAACCGGTTTCTGCGTGAGTCCCTCTGACTCCGGCACTAGTCCGAAGATTCTGCACTTGGGCGGTTCTGGTCAACGCCGGCTTCCAAAAATGCCCGGTATAAGTGCCCGGTTCTTATTCCGGCGTCAGTAGCCGTATCGTCCGACTGCAGGAAGGTACTATTTTTACCCGGTGCAGATTCTCCCGAGCACCTTGCCAGTTGTAGTGAAACTCTTAGTGTACCTATTAGGTAGTCCGTTGCAGAGTGAAGTTAGTCAAGATTAGTTGACACTGAAACTGGCAGGTTGGTTGGGAAAAGCTGTAGTGTGAACCTGTCGTTGACCTAGTCAAATCCCGGCCGAACCGGTACTAGGTAACGAACAGGGCGCAAGTTCCGGAAATGTCGGGGGGAGAAGATCCGGAAACGAGCCACGAAAAGTGCAGACTGCTCAGGCTCATGCAGCACTCCAAAGAAAACAGTCTCTGCATGAGTCTAGGAATCAGGATATGTCTAGCTGTGGGTCTCGTGCAAAAGGGACTGGACTCTTGGAGCTTCTGCATTGCTTTCTTTCTGCTTGCAAGCTGGCAAATAACATTGCCGCCTCCTTCCAAACTTGGTGGCCGCTTCCTGATCCAGCCCACGAGAATCACACGTAGACTCCTCATCAGTGCCACATTTGCTTCGTCCAGAGTTCTCCAGTGACACATTCTGGAGCTCTGTAGTGATATCAGAAACGTTCAGTAGTCTTGTCTGATTGGAAGAGACGATTCTCAGTGTGTTCAAATCAGCGTCAGTGCATGGGAGCAGCTTGAAGTGGGAAGGGAGCCAAGAATATCAGCCCTCAAAATAAGCCAGCTTGTTGAATAGTTACGCAACAATCTCATCGCTCAGTCCTCTTCCAGCTGATTCGGTGCCAATCTGTCAAGGCTCTGATCCCAGTGTGCTCGGATGACTCTGTGCTGATCGGAGCTCGTCCAGGGGAGTCGACAGGCTGCAGTTATTGCGCCAAAGAGAAGAAACATCGGGCCACGTTCTTGCATACAGCCGTCTGGGCCCCTTCACCCTCCTGGTTTCTTAACATTCATCTTAAACTGGCACGTCGGGTTCAGCATAGATGAAGAACGACCCTTTTGCAGATACTAGTACTAACACACTGAAGTCAATGGCGCTCGTGCACAGCTATGCTTCCAGACATAGGGGGCCCGTAGCCTGTGTGGTGCTGTTGGCTTCTCTGCTGTCGGCTCTAGTTGTTTCTATGTCCGGGGGAACGGCAATCCCGCCGCTGATGAAAGCGATCGGAGGACTAGGTAAGGACTGCGTTCTTAAATCTCGTTGTCTTGGTATGGAGTTGATTATTACTAGCTTGTAAAGGTCCACAAGTTGTTCATAGTTGTTTATGAATTAAAAAGCTAAAGACACCGGATCGGTGGTCCAGAATTTCTAGCTTTCCCGCTGCTTTGCAATGAGTTTCACTCCTTGAGAAGCTTGACTCCTAATCAAAGGTGCGACGATGAGGTTGGAAAACCAAGGATAGACGATTACTAAGTTCGGAAGTCCCAGCTTTTTCGTTGCTTGGTGAAGCGATGTCATTCTTGTCAGGTTTCATGAGATCGGAAGTCTGTCCTTTTTGAAGTGTCTTGATGACCAAAACACAAACACACGATGAAGAGGCCTCAGCTGGTGCTCATTCTGAAGATATTCAGCAGCGAAGCGTGGTGGTTTGTTGCACAGGAACTGCCAAGCAAACTGCGGCGGTAGCTCTTCCGTAGGAGGCGAATGAAACCACTCATCACCACTTTCTTGGTCCTTTGAGTGGGCGGCCACATTTTGCTACTCTACTGTTTCCTACTTCGATCCGCCCTTACTCTTGTTGATTGATCATCAACCTAGATCTGCAGAAGAAGCGGAAGACAAGGACCAATTTTTGATTTGGAAGTGCGTCTCGTTACGCTGCGGAATTTACACGTGGCAGAAGGGAGTCTCTGATCAGCATGGGGCTCCAGGTTATGCAACAATTGGTTTTGACGATTGAAACTTGCCCGAAATCTGAAAGGCAAAGCGTGATCAATACCTCTCGTCCTTTAAAGAATCGCAATCGCATGCGCGCTGCTTTGTCCACTACAAGAAGACCTACACTTGGAACCTTTAACAGTGCCAGTCAACCACGAATCTAAGCCAGTTTTCCTCTGCGCCAGCAAATTGATGCCAAGTCATTGAAAGAACTCAAACAGTCAGTCATTTGACGCAGGCGAAAGAACCAAACCCCCTTTCACTCTGCAGGCCTTGAAACGCCCACCCTCGTCGCGCCTCCCAGCCCCCTGATCCTAGACTTTCTAGCACAGCTCAAGGCAAAAACACATTCCCTCGGTCCATACGCTCATTCCGGGGGGGCGTGCAAGGCCCGCGGCGAGAGAGCAAAGTACCCCCCCAGAGAAGCGGACGATGCAAACGAGGTCGCCGGGCAGGTCTTTGACGCGTATGCGGCGTATCACCGCGGTTGTGTTTCCAACATGAAAAACATCACGGAAGCGTGGCGGGGGGAGGGGGCCCCTGACGGATGCAGATTTATGGTCTGGTCCGGACATGCGGGCCTGGGGAACAAGATGCTGAACCTGGCGTCGACGTTTGTGTACGCAGTGCTGACTCAGCGAGTGTGAGTGTCGCTCTTCTTTGTCCCTTTTCCAAACCCCATTTTTCCTCATCAATCTCAGCCCGTTGTCCTTCATCATTCATTTTCTTATTGGTCGACCTATTCCAATAATAGCAGTTGGAGTTGAGATCTTCACTTTGATCGCTTTGGGCCTTCGTGACTGGGCATCGAAAAGGGCGTTGCTGTGGGACGGTACCACTATGCTCTCTCACACTTTCCCAAGGGGCACTGATGTCAAACTGTAGCTGTGATTACACGTCATGCTTCATTTTTGTCATTTGGAAGCTGCACCAATCCCCTGTCAGCGTTTCTCCGTGCTCTCCACTGTTTACACAGATACTTCTGAAAGTCGAAGTCACTCCGAGCTTTCTCAAGAAGTCGCACGCATGGCACTCTCATTTCGAGGAGGTCACAAATGACCGTACAACAAACTTGTGACCGCACAAAATCCCTCAGCCGCTTTGAAAATAGTTCGAGTCTCATAAACATTTGTTCTTGCAATCTGGCTGAGGGTGAAAAAACTTCCAGGCTGAAATCGTTGGGGTTGTGAAGCTTTGGTGACTCCTTTGACGGAGCTTTGCCAGTGCTGATACCTGCCGGTTTGAAAACGTTTGAATGACTGCGAGACACCGATCGAAGAATTTTTGGACATTCAGTTGATTGCATTGCTCGTCAAGCTTATCAAGATTCATAAGATCAGACTTTCAAAGAGGACGAACGTGGTGGCTCTCGGCTGGCCCATGAACATCCTTGACACCAGTCCTTTGTCCCTTTCTTCCGTTCAGGCTCTTGGTCGACGCTGGTGTCAAGGCAGCCCTTGGGCAATTGTTTTGTGAGCCGTTCCCCGGGTCAAGCTGGCTACTTCCGGCAGAGTTCCCAGTTCTCAAGATGTTCGACAACCTGCCCGTAAGACCATGTTGTCCCTTCCGCTTCGTTTGCTGCTTAAACCTGTCCTGTTTTTTTGTGTCTCTTCTCATATCCTGGCTTTCTCTGCAACTCCTGGAATCCTGTCGGTTCGGTATTCTGCCCGTTTCGCCTCGTCTGGCTTGCTTCGTTGTTTCCCGGTCAGCTTCGATATTTGGGTTGTTCGACGTGCAATGGAAGCTCGTTCCAATCAACAACTTTCAGTGCCGTCGAAAGTCTTCGCCAGACCTAGATGTCACTTGCTTAGCGGGGGCCAATACACCCCAAGACCGTCAGTTCAGTGGCGCAAGAGTTGGCAATTCCAAGTAGCGGCCTCTGAAATCAGCCAGTTCGATTTGCACCTCGTAGAGTGCGAGTCCCGAAAGAGAGTAGACTCTGTCCAGCATCATTCTTGTTCGGCCACTTCTGGTAGATTTGTTGGCTTCTGAGGCAGTGAGCGAGGCTTACCAAGATCCACAAAATAAGTATCATATCAGACAGTCTACTGCGCTCCACTCTCCTTTAGTTCCAGATTGCGGTTCCTGAAAGCTAGGAATACCTAGGTTATCACTCCTCTAAGGACCATCGAAGTGTCTGCCGACAAGTAAACTCAAGAGCAGCTATAGCGCTTCTTTACGGTCAAGTGTTGTGTCCACTTAACCCTGCATAGTATCCAAGCGGTACATGTTTCCGGTGCAGTGGCCTATGAAGGACGTCCTTGGCTTGACCGCGTGCGAAGAGGAGATGAACGAACTGGAGACGCGGACGTGGTTCATCTTCCCGCACGACACGTGGAACAACTACTGGTGAGCGCTCAGTCTAGTTACTCCAGCTCACGTCTTTGTGTAGCAGTCTGGACTTTCCAGGGTCGATTGCAGGGTTCAGGATAGATGTTTTCTGACCACCGGAAAATCTTTGAAGTCAACCCGTCTCTCAGAACGACTTTCTCTCTCGTGAGAGACGTGGTGTCTGTCAAGCTCCTCAGGATCGAACGACTTCTAGAACGCTCTGATTGATCAGCAGCACAAGAGAAGATTTTGGTTTGAGGGGGAGCACTCATAACAAGGCTTCCTCATTCCTCGACGAAACGGCCTTCACCGTTCCTTAACGTTGGAATCTCAGGAGCAACGCTCTTTAAATCAGGCATATGCTATGACAGACGCGACGTCTGGTTAAGTCCTACTTAGGATCCAAACGATTTCTCAAAGGAGTGGTTAAAGGACGGTCAAGCTTGCCTAGGGAGTTGTTTACTGATCGGGCGAGGAAACGTTTGTGGTTATGGACTCGGTTAGCGGACTGCTTGAAACGAGCTGGTTCACGAGGTTTGGGTCGAGATTGGTTAAACAGCGAAAGAAAGTCCAATTGGAAAGCTGAATGAAGAACCTCTTCTGATATGGTAATGTTGGGCACATTGTGCAGGCTTCCGGGCCTTTACGTGCATCCCACAAAGCGGCTACTGCTTAGAGAGATCTTCCCCGATAATCAGGTGAGCTCACACTTCTAAAAGCCCGTTCTGTTACATCCGTCATATGTGGGCACTCAGAAAATGGTCGATTGCAGCTACTGTAGTCACTACCCTTTTGCGAGACAAAATCGATAGCTTGATTCATTTTGATTACAATCATCTTTTCGTGTTGTTGTCATCGCTGAAGTCGTAATTTTCCGAAGGCGTTACAGAAGTTGAGGTTGCGTTGGCCGTGATGACGCCAGCAGTAATCAGAGGTTATTTCCTACTGTCCTTCCCGCCTTGTCTGTGGAAGACTCAGCAAAATTGAGGCCCAGCGGACCATACAATCCCATTGCCACGTGTCCAATCGGCGGCACGTCAATATTCTCAATTGAAGATATAAAAATCCTGTTCGAGCCAAGCCCATCGTGTGACGTTTTTCCATCAGATTCGCTGACGACTCTTCTGGTCGCACATGGTCTATCCCTCTCTGGAATGTGCACCCGGCGCTGGCGCTTTATAATTTGCTGACCTCACCTTTCGCCTTGTTGACGTCACTCTTTATTCAAGCGCTGCACCGCCTGGCGGGACACCTCTATGCCGCAGAGATCGGACACGGGTCACGTCACTCGCGGGAAAACGGTTGCCGTCAATCTCCGACACTGACGTCAGCGCCGGTTCCACCCAGTGGGATGCTAAAGTCTCTTCCCAACAAGACCGCACCAAGTAATCCTTCTTCGAAACATCTACACGGCTGATGTCGCTTCAAATAGCTTATGCAGGCCTTCCACCGTGTGGCGCGTTCACCCTTACCTGCCGCAAAACCGCATCCGGACACGTGCCGCGTCGTTTTGCGACACATATGTAGCTGACGTCATATCCAATTCGCTTACGTTGTTTTCACCTCGCTTGCGCAGGCATTCCACCGCGTGGCGCGCTACCTGTTCCTGCCGCAAGACCGCATCTGGACACGTGTCACTTCGTTCTACGACAAATACATGGCCGGCGCCACAAAGTCTGTCGGGCTCCAAATTCGACAAAAGGGCAACGCGTTAGAGGACTATAACCAGCGGACCAGTGACAACGCGCTGACGTGTATGGCCGAGCATGACCTCATCCCGCGGCTGCTTGACACGTTGCCGACGCAAGAGGGGGCGCAGGTTGCTAAGGAGTCAGACAAGGATGCGTTCGACGTCATCTTTGTCGCGAGCATGATTCCAAAGTACGAGGAGTATCTGAAGGAGGTCTTCAGCAAGAATAAGACGGTGGAGGGACGGAGAGTGGAGGTGCGAATGGTTGTCCTTTCTCCGATCTTTCCTTTTCACAATCCGTCTCTTCTTTGATGAGGCACTTCACCATGTATCCAGACCCCATTACGACTAAAGCAGAGCAGGGAGAAAAGCGCTCGTGTCTCAATCGTTCTTGGGAACGATTGTTTTTGAGAACGATCGTCTTTTCAGCGACCTTTTCTTTTCGAGTTCAGCCTTTCCCTTCTAAAATACCGCATTTTGTTTTGAAAACTCGTAAGGAGACGAAGCAGAGGAGGGAGAGATAAACGCCCGTCTGTCAACCATCCAGCGGAGGAGGGGGAGACAAACGCCCATCTGTCAATTCTTCTTTTCACAGGTCGTTTTTGAAAGTCGCGGGGGAGAGCTGATGCTCAAGGCAGAGCTCTTGGTCGGGATCGGATCTTTCTTCTCAGGTCTGCAAAATTCGTCATATGCTCGAGTTTGAGTAAGACCGTGGCAAAATGATAAGTCTGAGTTTTGAGCCTCATCTGCTCTGCACCCCTGCCACCCTTTACCCCCTTACTAACCCCGTTCGTCCGGCCAGGCAGATTATCCTAGCATAGCTTGAGCCTTTTCAAGTAATCTCGAGAGCGGTGTGATTCCGAGTAGAGTCCCGGCGCTTGACGCAGAAACTCACCTCCCGTTCCGAGCACACCTGTTCCCGCGAACCGAAAGATTTTAGGGGGTGTAGGGGTTGTAAGTTTCAGGGTATTTAACGCAACCCGTTTCACACAGGTGCTGAGCGCGACGCACGAACAGGAGGAGCGGTGGAGCGACCTCTCTCATTACGACTCGGCCGTGCTCGACGTTTGGCTGCTCAGCTTTACGGACCACCAGATCCTGACGCAAACGTCGACGTTCGGTTACGTTTCGTCAAGCATCGCCGGGAAGAACCCGTATTACCCCAACTACTACTCGTGCGAGCGCGCCAAAAACAGCGACCCGTGCTGGCACTCCGCCCCGCAGTATTTGGTGTGTCCAAAGATGCCCCACGTGGGGGGGCCGATTCACATGGCGAGTCCGGAGCTGGAGCGCTGCTCGGATTTCGTGGGGGGGGTCACGCTTGTGGACACCAGGCCGAGATTTCCGGAAGCGTCGTGAGAAGCCTCTGATTAAAAGTAACACGCATACTTCAGCAGTCCTTCGGTCGTTGTAAAGAGGGCGCCTAACTCTTGTAATTTAAAGTATTGACTGTCGTCCTTGCGGACGCTAAGAGTACTGCGGCGCCGCCCTTTCGGATTCACCAACAGAATAACTAGCTAAGTTCTATGTTCGGCAGCGGATGTTGGTAGAAAATATGTCCATTTCTGCTTCTAGCTCAGACTTCCTTTGTATGAAGGATCCACAGCACATTTGCATGCACTGATGGTATGAGGCGCGGCCGATTGGAAAAGTGCCGCGATCGTGGAAGCGTTTCAACAATGGTGCTGAACGGGGCTCTGCCAGATCAATTGTCGATCATTTACCCGAGATCCAAGCTTAAAACACGTCCATTGCCATGGCTATAGCTACATAATCTGTTCTAAAATTCCGGCCGCTTCTGGACGTTGCATATCATGACTTTCTGTTATATATGACAGTGGATTTAAAATTGACTTGCTTCAGGCTGTTTGAGCTGTAAAAAACGCTTAGAATTCGAGCTAGCTACGAGGCGACCAGACTCAAGCTCGCCAGAAGCTTGGGCCACCACTAGGGTCTTAGTGGCTGGCGAGCGGACTCATTTCGGGCCGATTTGATTGCTTCAATCGATGGTTGCAAAATAGATTACACTGATCGATTGCTAGTGGTATACATTCATTGGATTTTCTGTTTGCACCTTAGGGCAATTAAGATTAACCATGCTTTCAGTGCCTGTGATCTCGCCGGGGCCTGTTGCATTTCATGTGAGCACCGTACGCAGAACGTGCCAGGCTTGAGTAGCTTAAGCATGGAGCTGTGGATGCTTGACCGTCACGCCCTTGCGCTGTGCGCGAATGGTGCTCATATACGATACTCACACATGCCTTACTCGCAAGCGCTCTCATCTCGAACCCTCATCTCAACCTTCTTTTATTTGAGGGTTTCGGGAACGAGACGGTGCAGAAACTTAACGTGGCCGCATCTGCTTGAATGCTCGAGAACGAAGTAAGTATGAAAATCCATGTATGCAACACATGCGCGCCGCCGCCCGAGGGCCTGCCAGTCGATCTACGGCACATGTGCGTACCGGTCATGCAGAGGTGGATCGTCTTTTTCTATCACAGCAAAGAAAATGGAAGGAAGTCGCAGAGTTTTACTGTTGCTTAACAACGCAATCATGCAAAGCATACGCGAGCTCGTGGTGCAAGATCGTCCAAGGCTTCCGTAAAAATACAAGACCGGTATGCACTTCCGGGCCGCACCGTCCACATAAGTATAAGTACAGATAATCGACGAATCTCTAATCAAACAGTCTTGAGCAGTATAAATTTATTCTATACTCAGTCAGAATTGAAATTCTTTCAATCAAATGATAGCTGTTTACAGTAATCTATACTTTTCAGATAGCTGTTTAATATAGTACGCCCCGAAGCGAATTTACCTACGTTAATACTCAAGCGCCCCAGCCATGAACTTTCCGCATTTTGGCTTCTCCCGCGTACATCTCCTTGCCTTCTACGTACTCTAGATCGTCTCTGTTAGTGCAAAAGGAAAATAAGCCGCTAATATAGTTAAAATCCAACAGGGTAACTATGTGGTAATAAGGCCAAAACGGATGGATTCCGTCCATCACTTTAAGCTGCGCCCAAGTGTGCCTCTTGTCAATAAACTTCGTCAACCGGTTCGTATCGACGACGCTATACAGATCCTCGTTCTTCGCCACATGTTGCTCCAGGATCTTCACAAAGAGCTCCGTCCGCTCGTTGCGCCTCAGAGGATCAACGAACTTAAAAATGTCTTCGGTATATGCCGTTGGCATATGATAGATAAAGCGCGTAAACATCATCCCCTCGCTCGACACTGTCTGCACCCCAGTTTCGTTTGCCCACTTCCGAGCCTTACCCGCTTCAAGCTGCTGCTGCCTAACAGCCCTCAGCTTCTCCGTAAGAGTCTCCAGGTGGTGCCGATAACCCAGCTGGCTAAACCCGTGGAACATCGAATGCAAACCCATGTCGTAAACCACAACCAACGGGTGTATCTCCCCTGGTTTAAACAGCAATGGCACGGCGCCGATTGCGTCAGTCACTATTATATTATCCAACAAAGTGAAGCAGAAATCCGCCGTCTTATCGCGGAGCGCCCTGCGCGCCCGCTCCCAGGTATACGTCGACGGATCCTGGGGGTTGATGTCAGTGCCAATCCAAGTCGTGCAGCGGTCACTGCTGTTCCTAGCAAGCCCATCCAGAGTGCAACAGATCCCGTGTGTGTGGGGGATCGTATTGGCTTCCAAGCCTAGGATCTCCTCGGCGATCGTCATAAACTGATTGCGGATGAGAGAGTCTCCGCTGTACTGAACCCAGGCCTGGCCCTTATGCGCCGCCAGCAACGTCAGCATTTGCGTCATGTTGAAATACTGGATATTGCAATTAACCTTCTCAACCTCTGACAGCGACGTCAGGTTCCCCAGCTGCAGGATATCGCAGGGCACCTCACACTCCTCCAGCTCACCCTCCACAATAGAAAGGGGCGCCACACCCTCTCTCAGCTGTGCCCGCGTCGCAACCGATTCTGCATCCCCCCCAACTGGAGCCGCGCTCGCCGACTCGTTGCTGAACGTCACGAACACCGTCTGGTTTCGGCACCCCAAGAAAGACGCCGAGCCGGTCACTCGCAGGAGGAATGAACCCGTCAAGTCCCGCCCCTCGGGCCGCAGCTGCGAGAGCCCCGCAACAGCGCACAAACAGCCAATGAGCAGCAGGATTGTTTTCGCCAGGTTCGCCGGACTTCCCTCTAGTACTGCCCCCATGGCTTAGCTGTACACAATCGAAGTGCTGCCCCTGCGGAACGGATCAGCTGAAACGGGTTTCCTGGTGTGCGAGCACGTATGGTCTGTCTCAAGGGGCTGTGAAACTTCGAAGCTCATGGGCCGCGTAGGGGGGCTGGGGGGCGTGATTGGCTGCAATGCTGAGGCAAGATGTGGTAGACCCTGCTTTCTTGTTGCCAATCTCTGACTAGGAACCCGTCTCTAGAGAAGAGGAAGGTACGTAAGATGCCGCCAAATCAACGCAGACCGCCTTTCAGTCTGCAAGCTGTTTGATGTGTTCCTTTGGACACGAGGAAAACGTGAGGCATACTGACGTCCAGGAAAACTTCTTCAGGACGTACTTACTAGCACATGTCAAGCTGGTCAGCTGGTAAACAGCTAGACGGATCCTCACATTGCAATTTTCAGCTGGGATGGCACTACTCTAGCTAACTCTGAGCATCGATCTTAGTGCTGGCTGAGCCTTAGAGTCAGTTAAAGCGCATGAAGTGACAACCACAAGGAAGCGCGAAGGGGGGAAATCATGGTCCCAACTATTCAGAATAGTGTACCTATCATACCAAGAAGTCACCCACAGTAGCCGCTATCTGAGGTGACTCGCAGTGTCACATCATGCATACGAGTAGGTACTGCAGTCAGTTGAAACTTGACCAGCTAGTAAGCTAGTGCTGTCCGGAGCTAGTGCGGTCATCGAGTCGTCGGAGTCGCTGCTATTTTAACCGACCGAAACAACCGGTGCGGTGTTGGCGACCTTCGAAGGCGACCAGCCAAGGCTTTCATACCGCACAAGTCGCCAAAGCTACCGTCCGGCTGACTGCCGTGCGGTAACACGAACGACCCGACCCGCGGTTTCCGGAACGCGGATCCTCCGTCCGTACCGCTCGCTAAATATTATTTTTGATAACCAAATTAGGGTTGGCGCTGGTGAGAGGCCTGCAGATTGGAAGGGCGCTATTTCCATATATTCGACCATTTAATACCTCATTTTGAGATTTGGAGGACCACCATCTTTATCATCGAAGCCACCTCTTCCCCTCTTTTGTGAGTTCGAAACGACGTTACATTTCGATACTACATACCGCACTGATTTTAAGATTTTAACGGCCAGCCCCTTATACGGCATTGTTGACCAGAAAACAGACCCCTCCGGGATGTTCGCATGCGGCGCCGAACGGATTCTGCTCTGCTCAGTGCTCCACTCTGCATTGCAGTTTGTGGCGCCTTTTGCGAGTTGACACCCGCCTCCTTCGCTATTTGGGCCCTCTTCTGAATCTTTTGCTACTAGCATTGCGATCGAGGCTGTGCGTGATATGAAGATTTTGACATGCCGCCCTTCGAGCAAGCCAAGTCCTGCTTCTTGTTCTCTCCATTGCCAATGCTTCATCTGGATGAGGACTCCGGCAGCTCAGAAAGCAGAGTCTTCGCTGTTTGAAAGCGTTCGCATCCGGGCTTCAAGGTGGTAGCTAACAGAAAGCTAGGAGGGGCATTCTCAGGCCAAGTCACATCAAGACAACAGCCTCTGCATTCTCTTTGATTCGGTAACTGCTGAGCGTCAAGATACAGGAGACCGGCCTCGACTTTTGAGCCACGTGCAGAACGCTGGGACGTTCTGCTAAGACGTAATTCATAGCACGCGGGAGCTTTTGTTCTGGGGTAGTGACTGGGTTATTAATCTTGGCAGCCATGAAGCAAAAGCGCTTCGCCAGCGCGGGAGTCCTGTCGACAGTGATCGGCATCATCTTTGTCTGCCTTTATGGTGTGGGCTTCTCAAACTCCCGCCCAAACTCGGTTCGCATACGCTCTTCCATTGTCGAGTGGGCCAACGGAACGACGGGATCTAGGGACAGGTTACTGGAGCTCTCTTCGGTGCCCCATTTGGAGGAGCTGGCCGAGTCGATCATTCCGGCGCTGTTTGCGCCAGAGAATTACCAGAAGATCAGGCAAAAGTTCAAGGGAAATCAGGTCAGCTGTCTTTGCTTCTTTTTTGTATGAAGCGGTTTGTTACTGAGCCGACTTGAGCAAAATGAGGAATAACTTTATTAGCTTCTCTTAGGTGGCAGAATGTGGAATCATTTTCTCAGCTCCTCACAGGTTCCTTTTCAAGTTCTGTTACAAGTCTTTGGGGTACGCTCCTTTGAGCTTCGATGTCCTTCCGTGCTGTTTCAAGCTGTGTTGATTTCTGTACGTGAGCCGCGCCTGCCCTCTCTTGCGAAACCCATAAATGATGCGACCACTCCAGTTGCCTGCTGATGCAAGAATGTTCGTTTCTTGCGTCTGCTGGATAGCCCCCGTCTTTAGATTTTGCCGTCAATATGGCGACATAATTGCTTCATGATGCCTTGATGAACCACCCCTCTAGACGCTCCATGCCCAAACTTGCATCCGCTACTATTCAGATGGTTTCTAGGGCTCCCTTGTGCTATCTAACACGGAATTTTGACCACCCCATTTTCCGGTAGGTGGCTGGCTTCCACTTTGCCGCTGGACGCAACACATGTCCCTTCTGTCGGATTGCGATCAAGAAAGCCCATCGCAGGAATGACAAGTTCTCAGAGTAGTTGCCCAATGTTTCCAACGAGCTTGTGCGTAGGTGTGCATAATGGTTATTGCGCTGGACAGTCGACTTGACGTGACTCGTGATTTGAATCTCGCCAGCTGCCGAGGCAAATGTGCATAGAACACTTTCTTCCCAGGCATTTCCAGACTCCCTGACCAAAGCACACAGCTTTATTCTTCGTAAATGAAAAGCTGCATCTCAGCAAAGTATGGTGAGCTTCACGTTCCGGAGGCAATCAGCAATTAAGTATAGTGAGCTTCCCGTTCCGGAGGCAATAAGCAGCGTAATTTTGAGGCTTATCTGTGCCCGTGCAGTTCCTTTTGCGCAAGCCCATTCCAGTGGTCGGCATTCCGGTGATGAACAACGCGGAGTGGCTACGGCGGACGATTTACAGCATCGACGTTCCAGTGAAGAAGATTCAGCTGGTTGTGAACGAGTTGCCCAGCGCGTCGGAGGAGAACCGAAAGATGAAGGAGGCTGTCAACGATATCGTGACAAGGTGAGGGTTCACGAATTTCTCATTTACCTATTCTCAAAATTCTGTCTCTTTTGAGGTTGTGACCACTGCCGAATGCACGGAAGCCTTACCCGAGATGCACTTCGAATTCGAATGCCACTTTACAAGGCATCCTAATTGCAGGGAACAACACATACTTACGAGGCACGCAATTTCGCAATCATTCTGCTTTATTGCTGATTACACTTGAATTCGCAGCTGCAACTCCCTGGTTACGAGCAGTAGGTGTGCTTCACATTCTTTGAAAGGAGTCAGCAATCTCTGAGAGGAATAATGCGTGCCATGAAACTATCACCAAGTGGTCGACTCTTACAAATGTTAAGCACACTGAAAAGTACGAGATGCTGAGTAAGTTCTTTTTCCAACCGCGGGAGGCTTCAGCCAAGCATAGTGCTGCAAGCCCGGTCTAACTTTGAAAAGCTTTCTGAATTTAACCTTTTGCAACTCCCAGTCACTTTTGGTGATTCGAGCCCGTCTACATCTTGAAGCTCAGAAAAAAAACATTATCGAGACTCCAGCCGCAGGTCAGAGGCTTTGTGCCTTTTTCGACAGGCCACAAGCAATCTGGTCCAAGAAGATTCCTTTGGTGACACTCCGGATTCTCCGATACTAAATCCTGACATCCTAAAAGTAGAGGACTTACAGCTGCGCTACCGGTCCATGCACGTTGGTCGATCTCAGCATGGCAAAAAGTCAAGGTTAAAACACTGGTTTCCATCGGTGAAATGCCTAGATAAGTCGAAGCGGAAGAGGGCATATCATCTAGGACGGAGCTATTCCACGATCCTAACCAACGGTGGTTACCTTTTGACCCTTCTTCTACAGGCTCGGGTCGCGTTCTGTGCACGTCGAACAGCCCGGCTGCAACCCGGGCATCTCCAAATCCTAAAACACAAGTTTATGGTACATAGTTTTGGACGCAGTTATCTACAATCCTTAATTAACACTGGCTTTTCTTAGTCAACTACGATCCACAACTAACACGGGTTATTGTTATTCGTTCTACAGGCTCGGGTCTCGTTTCGTGCACGTCGAGCAGCCCGGTTGCAATCTGGGCGTCTCCGGATCCTGGAACACCATCTTCGCCAAGAACCTCGACGCCCCGTGGTTCTTCCTCGCGAGTGCTGACGTGGCATTCGCGCCGGCGGCGCTCGGAAGAGTGGCGGACGAAGTGGAGGACCCGCAGAACAAGGACATTCTGATCTACTTCTACTCGGCGATGCGCTTCTTCGTGCTGACGCGCAAAGCGGTGAGTGTGTTCACTTCGCCTTCTCTTTGCTTTCGCATCTTGAATTGTTTCATCTCCTGGCGATTAATGGTTAAAACACATCTCTTTAAGTCGAAAGTCCGGGGGGATGAAGACGCTCTAATATATTTATACTGGCAACGCGCTCGCCGGTGCTGACTCGAGAGGCGGTGCGACTCGGGGATGATCACCTGGCTTTGAATCAATGTTTCTGACTTGGAATTTGGTTTTAGAACCAAAAGTCTAACATTACAGAACAAAAGCATTCTGATGTACTTCAATTCGGTAATTAAATGGTTCTTGCTGGCCGCAATGCAGCGAGTGCGAGAGTGTCAAACTCGGTCCGCAACACCTGCACTTGAAAACTTGTTGGTTCTCTCTCTTTTCAAACCTGTCGCTGGACATAGACGTTCAAAACCTACGTCTTTCGCAGCTGGACATCATCGGTCGTTTTCGACGAGAATACTTGGCCGCACCCCGTCGATGACAAGGAGTACCAAAAGCGCAAAACACTTCTTTCTGCATCGCACCTCCAAGTTTTGCCCAAAAAAGCTAGCGGCAAATCCTTCCAGTTTTGATCACACGACACTTTTGAAGTCCCCGATCACGACACTCGTACTTCACTGCAGTTAGACGTCATCGGCGCGTTTGAAAACAACAGCTGGCCTCACCCGTCGAAGACAAAGACTACCACAAGCGCATACTGATTTCCTTTGCAATCGCGCCACAACGTCTCTCGAAGATTCTACAGCAATTTCACTGCTTTTGCAATCATTCACTGCTTCTGCAATCTTTTACCGTGTTTGTGATCATGAAAACTCTTTTTCTTTTTGCAGTTGGACGTGATCGGTCTGTTCGACGAGAACATCTGGCCCCATCCCGTAACGGAAAAAGAGTACCACAAACGCTCATAGTTTGTCTCACCGGCATCTCGTGTGTTTCAAGTCAGCGTGACGGCAATTCGATAATCTCTGATCACGAAAATCTTACTTCGCCCCAGTTGGACGTGATTGGCGTGTTCGACGAGAACATCTGGCCGCATCCCGTCGAAGACAAAGAGGACCACAATTGCATACTCGTTTCCTTTGCAATCGCACTACAAACGTCAATCGAAAGTCTTTCGGCAGATTCACTCCTTTTATAAATATTCACTACTCTTGTGATAAACCACTGCTTTTGTGCTTATTAATCTCTTTTTCTTTTTGCAGCTGGACGTGATCGGCGTGTTCGACGAAAACATCTGGCCGCATCCCGTCGAAGACAAGGAGTACCACAAGCGCGTGATGCGCGCGCAGGTTTTGCAACCCGACAAACAGCTCATGGCGCAGATCGGTGCCGAAATGCCCAACGGCCGGATCTTTGAGGAGATTCACCACGTGCACGGAAACGACGAGGTGATTGGCCGGGGGCGGGGCGCGGAGATTTGGGAAGACGACGACGCGCCGAAGACGTCGGGCGCTTTCCGGACAAACCCGGAGCTGTGAGTTGCGAGCCTTTGAAAAGCCTTTTCGTTTCAGTCTCTTCTTTGCGTTCTGCTGTCCTTTTGAAACTTTTGGAGGCAGTCGGACTGCGAAGTTGGTCCGATAGTGTCTCCTTTCAGCGTGCTTAAGATTCTCGTTAATTTTTCAATGTTTTATTGGGGAGTATGCTTGGTCAACTCTCTGTGGGTACTTCATCACTTTGGTGGGGTTTGACGAGGCGCGAAAGTGGTTTCGCCGCACTGTTGAGATTGAAAGATACTCGCTCTTCAGACGACGAACCCTTTTTCTAGTCCAGTAAAGTGACGCAGTGCTCGAATACAGATACGCGAAGATATCTCACTTGAGCTGATCAAAAAAAGGTCTGGTGTTGTATCAGACTCACTCAACCCCCCATTTCTTCCCCTACCCGTACTCTTGAAGTCGAGCTTTCTGGAACAGCGACTGCCAAAAGCTACAACTTGAGTAACGCAAACTTCGAGGCGACAACTGGTTTTAGGTTACCCATCCTTCTACCCTTTCCGTCTTTCGTAGATTAGTCCTCTGTTTGAAGGGGCGTACGACAATAAGAGACTGCCGCATCTACCCCGTTACGCTGGGAACGTTGGAGCGATCCAAATGCACTCTCCTTTGTCTCCTTTCCCGTCCTTTCTTCCCTCTCCTCATCCACTTTTGCGGAGAAAAGCCTCCCGGCGTTTTGCCGACCAAGGGGTCCGTCGTCCGTTCCCTTTTCAGAACGTGTCAAAAGGCATTCAGTAGCAGGTCCCCACAAAACTGCAGTTGAGGACGGTTCATCGGAGCGTTTCAGCGTTCCAGTTTCCGTCTGCTCGTCGTCCTTACAACGACAGTTTTCCTTGCCTCATGTATGCACGTGTTCCTGACAACGATACTCTGTTCGTAACAAGGAGACTTTTTCCAAGGAGACTTATTCTGAAAGAAGTATGCACGTCTTCCTATATGCACGTGTTCCTAACAGCGATACTTTGTTCATTACACGTATGTCCGTTCGTGTTAAGGAGACTGTTTCTCGACCAGTGTGCACGGATTCTTTACAACGATACGTTCTCTAAACCAGGTATGCAAAACGACTCAAAATGAGCGGAGGAAACGTCGGGGCAGTGTACCGGGCCAAATGGAGTACTCTCTCCGACGAGGAAGAGAAGAAGGGGATCTTCAATTGGATGCGGCCGTTCAACAACCCGGAGCGCGAGCTTTGGAGCTGGACTTTCGACCGGAAACTGCGGGCCATTCTGGTGCGTCGAGACAGATTTGTCATTCTGTTATCATGTTCTTCCTCTTGGTAATCGCCTTGATCAAGATTTTATGGAGGAGGTAAACAGCTCCTGGTTTGAAAGGTTGAGGAGGGAGGCTAACAGCCCCTGTTTTGTAATAACGAGTCACAAGGATTCTGATATCGTTTCCTTGTTCTTCGAATTTCGTTCCCCTCTCATGAGCTGGTTCCGCTTCTCCCGATGGTCGAGAAAAGAGTTTCTCCGGTCACAGGCTATCTTGGATCTCACATCTCAAACTGGAGGACCTTAAGTCAAATCGGAGGCTTTCCTCGAAAGCTCCAATGCTGACCTTTTCGAACAAGCGTAGAGAGATCTGTAAGCAAGACACTCCATCTCTGATTAGACAATCTAGAGTACGACGCTGGGTATAGATACTCTTTATTCGGGCTAACAAATTTTGTCTTTCTCTTGGTCCGCAGATGTCTATGTGGAACATGGACCTAGACCCTTCTTTGAATTCTCTGGAGCCATACAACTACGCTCGGATGATGCCCGGCGACCAGTTGGCAAAGCCCCGGAGCAATTGGGACGCCGAAGTTGGAGACCGGTTATACGCTTTGTTGCCACGGGAAGGGATGGGTCGGGAGTCGGATGAATTTATCAAGGCGCAAGGAGACGTGTGCGTCTCCGAGTTTGCGGCGGTAGGCGGCGATGTGAATAAGCTCCTCGAATCGCGCCAGATGTAAAACGATGCCCGATTCTGATCCGAGTCGAGTGTACGCGTCAATATACCGACGTCAATCAGGTAGAACGTTTCGCGCGAAGTATAGGTACATTAATTGAGGTACAATCTTCTTCAATCGTTGTGTAAAATTAAGATAGTGCAAGGACGAAGTTCAGCTGGTATGCCGTAATACTGACTGATTGCGAGGAGGCTTGCAATGAGCTCCAATATGTGGCCGGAACGGACTTCAAAGGTTCCTAGATTCCGTCCAACGCTTGGTTTCAAATGGGTTCGCGCATATGCTCATCGGACGGCTGCCCACGTGCCGCACGGTGAACGTTTTGAGCACCGGCTTGCCCACCGGCACCTGTCCAAAGTCCAGGGGGTAGAATCCCTGCGGATCGGGCCCCCCCGGAACGTCCTCGATCGCCAGCTGCGGCTCGATCGCGGTCGTGTGGACTTCCAGGTGGAGCATAACGCTGACCGCTGCGTCGGGGCCGGCATTACCGTTCATTTGCGGCGCGGGTTCCACCGTTGCAACATGATGATGCTTCCTGAAGTGCAGCGCTGGCAACACTTAGGTACGTGTACGCACGTCGGCTTTATTGCAACAAGTGAGAAAGCGGCTATGGTATAGCTCAACGAAGCCCTCGTACATCAGCTTCCCGGCGTTTCCAACGGCATGCATGTACGTTGCAGAACTGCATCAGCGGATTGCGGAAGCTAACCGGCCAGACACATCCACAAAGCTTCCTTGCTGCCACAATTCCGAGAGATGCCATCCTATGTATGTACAGGCGTCTTGAATTGCATATTGATCATTTCCGATCATTCGGCCACTGCGTTCGGACATGATATCTATACATGAGGATGCGCTCTGACTCACTTTCCTCCTTGTTGTCGCCAGGCTTGTTGAGGGCAGAAAAGTTAATTGGCTGCTGATGCACGGCTTGAGAAGAGAGAACCTGTACGACTCGAGAAAGAGAAACGGAATCTTCTCTTCCTCTCATGAGATACCGTACAGCTGTCCAAATTCACTGCACATGCCGTTTGGTACCATTGACATGAGAAGCGAGGGAACGTAAGTTTGTACGGTTTCCTTACTTCAACAACTGGATTCTCGTCTTTTAGGTCCGATCTACAAAGCTCAAGAGTTAGTACGAATTAGTTAGTATCGAATCGAAACCTGAAGAACGTGCACGGTTCATTGTTTCACAACTGGAAACATGCCAGCAAAGGCATGCGACTGAACAATTCTTATCTAGTAGCTACATCCTATATGAATCTGCAACATTTATCTTGTACATATGACGTACGTAGTGGCCGTGCGTGCACTTGTGCATACCTGAGATGTTATGAGTATTCAATCAAATCGGCTGCCGAAGCGAGAGCCAGCTCTATGCACATGCATTGAAACAGAAGACATGTCTAGACAAAGGCTCGACTTGCTGCTCATCTTCTCAGCTAGCTTCATAGCATCATGACATGGTGCGCCTATTTGAGGCCGCCCATGCACCATTAATCATTTGAGCATTCGGATGGAGCTCAGCTGTTGATTGAGCTTGCATGTCGTGCCATTGATGCATGTCATAAAGGCGTCTATCATACCTCCATGCGTGAGATCCAATTGTACAACCAGGAGCACACGTCCGACAAGTGTGCACTGCAGCAAAGAGCTTAGCTATAGGAGCTAGGACGGTTCAGCTTTTCTAAAGCACCGAGGTTTGAGCTTGATCTGGTTGACTGAAGTCGTGAGTCGAAACAAGCTCGCGTTGCTCATTTCAGTCGCTCGCCTGACGGAGAAAGCAAGTCCGTGCCGCTCCTTTCAGGTTTCAGGCTCCTTTCATCGAGTTCGCAATCCGCAGAAGAATTGTGTGAAAGCGCTTTGAATATTGGATTGAATGCAGTAGTCCATAGCATGAGATGTCACAATCAGAAACTATATTCACCCCTAGTTGATCTTTGGCTTCACCTTCTTCGGTTTTGACCACCTTAGTAGCACATACAGAAGCATTAAAGACGCGACGCCTCCGGCCATTGGCGCAATACCTAGGTTCACTCTGCGGCGCTTCGTGCACCTGACTGGATGGAGTTGCTTATGTATACTCTGAGCGAGCTCGTAGAACCTGCAAGGATACGTACACCAATAATTAGTCTCGAACCTGGGAGCTCGGCTCCTACGCCGTCTGGGCGGAAACACCGTTGCTTTGACCGAATGCGTTCAAGTTAGCGAAGATCAGGATGCAGTAAGCTACGCACGACAAAGAGACAGAAAAACAAACAAGAAAGAAAAACAGAATACAAGGCACAAACACAGTAAGAATGGAGTTAAGCGGTCCGATACAGTGTCGAGTCCGCCCACTTGTTTGCACGAGCGGCAGGCGGAAGCGTAGGCGCGCTCGCTGCTTGATCGCCTCATCCAAACGGCTGCTTGATATCCTCATTCAAACGGCTGAATTCCAATACCTCCAATTTGGAATGCAAGCATGCTTTCGACGGGTGGGCATTCCAATGAAGCCCTACATATACGCGCTGGATTGGTGCGAAAACCGCTCCAGGCAGCGATATGGAATCAGCACGGGTTTGAAGAGGTGCGTTCCTGCTCTGTCCTGAAGCTATTGCTTAAAGATCCTGCTTCGACAAATTCAAAGTACCCTCAACGCGTACCGGCCAATTTTCGAATCTGGGAAGCAGCCAAGCGGAAACGGAATGCAAACCTCTGGACGAAAACTGCACGCCAGTCCTGTCTCGCAATGTGCACGTCGGAAATGGCACACTCAACAGGCGGACAATTGTCGACGACGTCGAAAGTCATGAAGGCACAAAGCGCAGAACCAGAAGACAAAGCGAACGGTTTGCGACTTACGCCTCGGCGTGCTGATCTAGGCGGGCAATGTGACTGGTCGCGGACCCGAACTCCAACTCCTCTACCGCTACAACGATCTGGAATACAGCACGCTGTCAGTTAGTCCCAACTTTGCGTCAAGTTAGGCCTAAAATTAGAAGGTATCAGTTGCGCAGGCCCACATGAACTGAGAAACTAAACCGATGTTAACGTGCTCCGGTTAACGTGCTCCGCCCCCATACCCACCCTAAACCCCCAGACCTACCCCACTGCACCATTCTTCCAGGCAGTAGTCTGAATGTAGCTTACTTCGAAACAGGATTGATACGTGTGGTGTCTAGGCGAGTCTCAGATCAGCGCCCTTCAGAATCTGAACCATTGTTCATTCTCTGTTTCCAGTCTAAGGTCCAACCGTGAAGTCTGATCTTAGACCTGTCTTCGAAGTGATTTGCCGTGCGAACTGCAGTGGGCCTAGTTCCCTGCTTACACGGATATACAGGCAGTTGCTGACTGCTAATCCTGCCGATCAATCGTACGTTTGGGTTGTTCGGAGCCGGCAGCAGTATAAAGGCAGCCAACCCAATAAGGGCAGCCAACCCTATTTTTACAGCCCCTTCAGCAACCTTGACTCGAATCTTTCTCAACGTAGAACTCAAGGAGGAGCTTCAAGCAAAAGGCGCGTTCAAAGCCCGGTCGACTGAGGATTCTTTCGTCCAAAGTACGAATCAGCCATTCTCAGTTGCCCCTTAGTTGAGGAGCGTTACAAGTCAGGGAGTTTTACCTGCATCCACAGGGTGATGACGTGGCTGTATGTCGTCATGAGCTGCGAGAGGGGCAGCTTTCGCAGCGCGCCAAAAGTGTCCGCATCTGTTGCGCATTGCGGTCAAGGAAATCACACAACAGAGGGCTCTTTAGCGATGCTTTGTTGGATACCGAGCGCCACATTCCGCTCGAGCTAACAGAGAACGTAAAGATGTAGAGTATCCTCAGGAGAGCAGCACGGAGCACTGAGCAATCCTGGGCGGACAATGGGAGCGGAACGAACAGAGTGAGGTCAAACATTGGAGCGGAACGAACGGAGTGAGGAACGAAGCTGGAACCTGTTGAATGCGCATGGAAGCTTACGTCAGGAAGAGGCTTAAGGACAGAAGTACCGAGGGGCTTTATTGGATAATAAGCAGCCAAGTTTCCACGGGGTTCACATTGAAAGAAAATGCTGCTCGATCTTGCTCATTTATTACACAACTGCAATCGGAAACAACTTCATCAGACTGACATGAGCAAGACGACTCAAGAAGAAAAGACATCAAAGCAGAAGGCGGAGCCGCAGCAAAAGCAATGTGATAAGGATACGGTTCTTCTCCTTGCTCAAGATATGGATCCCCAGATTGATGTGCTCCGCTGACGCGTCCAAAGCGGCGATGACGTGGCTCCTGTGAGCGGTGTCCACGTGGAATTTGGAGAGCGTCCAACCGTGGGAGGTCGCCGAGAAAGGATTCGCACCGACGGACCAGAGCCAGTCCTGCAGCGGTGGGAATACGCTCGTCAGAAGCAATTCCGGGGGTGTAAAACTCGGCTCGGAAAGAGCGTCTGCTCAAGTGTGAGTACGGGGTAGAGGAGGTTGTTTCGGGCGTCTGATTACCACGTTGAAGTTTCGTCAAGTGATGTGACTACGAGTCTCGAGCTGGCAGTTCTCGGTGGTGTGAATACGCAACCTCCAGAGCGTCCCGAAGGGTGTGAACACGGGCTCGAAGGAGTAGGGCTCTCGAATGTGTGAATACGGCCTTGGGTTGCTTCTGCTCAGGTGTAAATACGGGATGAACGGACTGTAAAAAGGAATTTCGAGATCATCTACATCGTGGAAGAGGGCAGATTTGAATCCTTCTGAAACAGACCCGACATTTGGACGCAGCACGCACTCTTAGGAGACTGTGACGTCAACGCTTCCTGCAACCGAATGCACGATTTCGAAATCAAGGGTCACAAGCAGAGAGATCAGTGCAGCCCTTGCAAATTGATGTCAAACAAGACTCCGGCGACATAGCAAGTGACAAAAACCGTGAAATGGTCGCCCCCCGTACCTTCTCGACCGCTCCGTGCGGAATACTGTAGCCCACGTGGGTGGGCAGCACGCCTGCCACGTGTTGGGCGATCGCAGCCACGAGAGATTTCAGAGGGTTGCTGCACATGCAAAAACAAAGATCTCAGTCCCTCAAGAGCAACCCAGAGAAAAGAATGATGGAAAAATCAGAAACTTTGGAAGGTTCATTACCTAGATTGCAAAGCATTGGCTGCTTGTGCACTTGTCCAACTTGGCTCGATGCACAGATTGCAACTCTTTTTGCAGGTTGTTTCCACGCGGTGTGCTTCTGGTCTCTGACACCCTGAACTCTGAACAGCATTCGGACTCTGATTTTCCAGCTTCCAAGCAATCCTCAATCACAGAACCGGCTCCACGTCGTTCTTTTTCTTGTAGGGCTTACACCCAGCCCTCCAGCTCGCAATGATCGTTGGAAGAACCGACACACTTCTCTTTGGTGGTCAGTGAACTCGACAAGCCAAAGGAATCATCTTGCGAACCACAAAGACTTTTCTCTGAAGCGATGATGATGACTAGGGGCCGTGATAACTAACAAAAGTGCTCGAGGAACGGTGGGGCAGGTTTTGTACGTGCGCCGAGCATATAAATCCTTGGTTAAGGGTTTGACTTCATTCTTGCCCCCCGAGCCCATTTTTCTTCAACACGCTCTGGCCAACAACATGGCTAGATGCATAACGATCTGGGTTTCAAATTCAGGTTTTGGATTCGCTCCCGAGCACCGTCCTTGGTCAACATGCTCTTAGTCAACGTTCGAAACGAATATAAGCAGACATCAAGCAAAAAGCTCACCTTAGGTCCCAAAGGATAGGTTGCCCGTTGGCCTGTATGTGACTCTCCCAGCCCGTCTCTTTGCACATCGTTGCAATCACCATGTCAGGCAACGCGCGCGCAGTGTGGTGCTGGTCGAGAAACACGGGCTCCTCTGTTTGGAAGATGAAGACCGGGACCTCCAAAACGGCCCGGCTGTGCTTGTCTTTATGATGGCTCTCTGTAATAGTTAGAAGAAGGTTGGTTAGTGAAAGCGTCGGAATATAAAGTTCGATATGAATTTCTTAATCCACTATTTAGTGGATGTCGACCGAACAAACTTGTGTTCAGAAGATGAAAAAGCTGAAACGGCGCGGCTGTGCTTGTCTCTGTAGTGGGTCATTTTCCTTGAAACAGAAAGGTTTCATAATTAAAGACTCTTATTACATAAAGTGCAAATTAGCTTTCCGAACGGCCAGCGATGTCGACCGAACAAACTGTGTATGAAAATGAAAATGGCAACTTCCGAACGGCCCGATTGCGCTCGTCTTTGTGATTGTTCTGTAGGACAGAAACAGGAAAGTTGTTCAACAAGAAAACTGGAACCTTAAGTTCAATCTTGAGTTCAAGACGTTGACCAGATACTTGAGAAGACCGTGTAAGAGGGACCGTTGGAACCCGGAAATTCGACCCAACGGGTTGAATCACTGTGAAGATGAAAACGAAGGCCTTTAGGTCAGGCCGGGAATTCTTGTGCGTCTGATCGCTCACTGCGATTCTAGGGATTAGAACTTCTGATGGTAACCAGGATGAGAAAGTCCATACGCACTTTTCGGTAGCAAAGTGCTCAGTTGCGTGCAGTTTGACACACTTTCGTCGAGGACCCGTTGGGTAGTCCTAACAACGTGGAAGCGCTCTGGAATTGGACACAGTCCACACCATACAGAAAGCCTGGGACACGAATTGCTTCCAAACAAATATGCCGTTTCTGTTTGTTGTGCGGCCACCGCAGCAAGTCGAGCTCATCTGAATCAGCAGATGCGCAGGCTTGCAACGAGTCACCGCGGGAATGAGAGGTCGAGAGAAGCGACGACCGACGTGGACATTTGAAGGAAAAACACGTGGCACTTACCCACGATCCGGTTGCTCGTGTCGAACACGTTCTCCAGCTTGTACATCTCTTCTATCGCTGCACGCCAACAGAAAGAAACGGTTCAAGAAATTTCGCGTCTAAATCATGCATTGCCCGAACGAGTGCGCCACCTGTTTGAATCAGCTCGTCGATAGCGAACTTCGAGGGGATAATAACCCCGCATGACTTGAAAGAGCCAAGCCTTATCGTTCGCAGCGAAGTAGGTTTACCTTGCTCTCAAGACAAGCAAGGAAGGTCTTCCGTTGCTTTTTACTCTTTCGGCCACTGATCCGGCTCAAACTTCAATGCTTTCTTTGGTGACCTCTGAGGAAGGTTTTGTTGTCAGTTGGCGAGGACATAAAACGGGGGAAGTTCTCCGTCGCAAACCAAACCCCCAAATACAATACCCATCCCTTAAGCATCGGCTGCCAGATTTCACACAGAGTAGCCCGTGCATCCGATTGACCAACGGGGGGTCGGTTCCTCACCTCGGAGGACCCCCCTGCCGTCGTGCATCTGGTGCTGCAGCTGCGCCTGCAACTGCGCCGAGTCCAGGTACACCCTTTTGCTCGCGTCTTTGGTACCGTTCGCTTTTAAGGTAGGTACCACCGCGGTGTGAATAGCCTCCGAGAAGGCCATCGCGAGTGCGGGATCATCGCCCAGTTGGACGGTGGTTCCGGAGAACTGGAAGATCTGGTTCGGAAGGCGCATGTCGAGGAGTTCGTTGCGGAGGGCCAGGAAGGGGAAGTCGTCGGCGGATCCGCTCTGCAGAAGTATGTTCGATTCTCTGGATTGAGGGCTTTGCAATAATCGGAGACTGCGACTTTCATCCAATACGCTCTGTGCTTTGTGAGACTTTCTAAGATACTACCTGGTTCTGGCGGCCCTCGACAGAAGTCTTGACTTCCGCGCGCATGCCCTATGTGCAATGGAGCGAAGGTGCGGTGACTTGTTCACTATCTGAGCGGTCATTCCGTACCATTGAGAGACTTGGTTTCCGAGGCCCCGGTCGAAGGCCTCGTTGCGGAGGGCCATAAAGGGACGGCGTCGGGGAACCCGCTCTCCAGTTGTGTAATGAAAATTTCAGGACTTGAAAATATCGATTGTTAAGTAGTGGAAATTGACAGTGCGTTCTGTGCCGGTTATGGCAACTCTCAAAGCAAGGTCTTGGCTTCTGCGAGCACCACCACGAGGGGGGGTAAAAAATAGCGTCAAAAGTGCTCCCCACCTGAGTTACCAGGTACAGCTGCACGGCCACCTTCTCGTGGAACGGGTGGAAGCCCTGGGCGGTCGAAGGGGCGACCACGTGCCTGAGAGTGCGGGACAGAAGGGCGCCCAAACGCGCCAGAAAGTTGTCCCGGGCGCGGGAGTTGGGGCTGGGACTTCCCTGCGACAAAAAGTAGCCACTCAAGAACTTCAGATAAGTTTAGTAGATCAACGCCTGCGAAAAAGGAGGATGTTACGATTTTAATGTTGGCGTTGACTAGACAGTTTTACCTGGCTTTTAACTCATGAAGCAGCTGGAATGGACGGTACCGCACCGCCAACAGTTTGGCAGGCACGTACCTTTCTTGTCCTGTTAAGTTCGAATCGAGGAAAAAGTCTCGAACCGTTTTTGATACAACTCCGATTCCACTCTTTGTCACGAAGTGCAACTAAGAGCGCTAGTGGAGAGGCGTATCGTGGAACCGGAAATCGAAAATGGCAATCATGCGAGCTTTAAAGAACCGCCGTTCCCAGCATTCGTCCACCTCGCACATCTTATATATCTGCTCCACAGCGTCATAGTCTGCTCCTCTTCCAAATCCAAATCTGCTCGAGGTGTCCCATATGGAGCCAGGAAGGGGCGACCCTTTCGAACTGGCCCTCTTGACAAGAGCAAACGAAAACCGCAACTTTGAGAGAACCAGGAACCCCGACGACAAACTTTAGACGGTTCTGGAAGAGGTACTTTGCTGCTTACCGGCACATACGCCTCCTCGTGTCCTGTCTCCCCCTCAAAAAGCGGCGATCGATGTCGGATACGAGCTGCTGCCTGGACGATCTCCTGGCGCTTGTCGGTGTCTTCGATCTTGGGGTGGTGCTTCCATAGCTCCGCGTGCATGTCGCTCATACGCTCCTGCAGGAAGCCATCAACGATAAGCAAGCGGGTCATAGGGTATGGAGACTGATGCCTGTAAAGCTTGACATTTTGCTGGCGCTGGTCGGTGTCTTCGATCTTGGGGTGGTGCTTCCATAGCACCGCGTGCATGTTGCTCGTACGCTGCTGCAAGCAGTGGTAAGCTATAAGCTGGCGAGTCATAGGTATGGAACACGATTCCTGACAATCTCCTAGCGATTGTAAGCCGTTCATTCGGGGGTAGTGCTTCCACAAATCGGCGTGAATGGTGCTCAAACGCCTTTTCTAAAAAGCATAAGCAGTGGGACGTAAGCAATGAGCTACACGTCCTGATTGCCTCCTGGAGCTTATCCGGGTCTTCTCCTTTGAAGTACTGCTTTCATAGCTCCGTGTATAGTTCGCTCGAACGCTCCTGTAAACAAGTCACTTGCACGCTCAGATGCACGACATAGTAACGTGCTTGACGGAAATATCACGTCGGGAGAAGCACGTCTTGCCTGCAGAGAATCGCAAAGCGCGATCTTTCTCCGCCGTCCCCTGCAGTACGCCTTGGCGAACATCTCGTATACGTCCAACTCCGCCAATAGCATATCCGCCTCGTGGACGCCCTGCGCCTCCAGGCCCTCGAAACGCCGGGATGCGATCATCTCTAGTTCCTTCTCCAATTCCGCATCGGACTTGTCTGCGGAACAAGCAGAACGGAAACGATTGTAGGGGAAGCCGGGTTCACGGCTTGAAACACCGTGCTTTATTATTGTCAAAGATTTTTTTATAACGTGTCCGCAGTTCTGTGCTCTGCAGAACGAGCAGAGCGGAATGGTTGTTTGGTTTAGAAAATCTGGCAAGAGCCGGGTTACAAGGCTTGACAGATTCGGGCTTAGCACTTACAACACTTTCTCCACTTCTGCGTCGGAGTCTCTTGCGGAACGAACGGATATAAGAGGACTTTAGGGTTTGATGCATCTACGAGTTTCTGGAGAAGCGGGTTCAGGGCTTGACGCTTCGGGCTTAGCAGTACCTAATGACATTTCTACAATTCCGCGTCGGACTCTTCTGCGAAGGGAGCGAAGCAGAAAGCTTTACCGAGGGTGTAAAACTGATAGGAAGAGCTGAACAGTATCTGGTGTACTAAGTTGGCAAAACACCGGTGGAGTCCTCCAGCTTCGCTCCCGGCTTGTCACCAGACTGATTAAGCCCACGTGGAATAGGACCATCAAAACTGATTCAGGTCTTAGCAGGTAAACCGTGTGCGGTATGCCACAGCCCAATGCTATCGATGCGGATTGGAATCAATATCGTGTGACAACCAGAATCATTCACTCTTTGACTACCTGAATTCGTTCTGAGCTTCCTTGCAAAGAGAAGCTCACCCGGCTGTGATCCAGCATCCGTGGCGTTCCCAAAAATCTCCTCGACGTCCGGAACGCTGCCGTCCGTACGAAGGCCCTCGCCCCCGACCACCGGACCGTACGAAAAGGGGCCGGCAGTAAGGTCAATCCACGCAAACCTGCAGTAAAAATATTATCAATCTCTTCACAGAAAGAACGGAAGACATACCAGAAACGGTGTATGTCTCACTAAGGACTGATTTGAAGTTCTCAGAATGCGGAGAGGTGGACCACCAGACCGAACGCAAAGGGGCCCCCGATTGAGTCAATCCACGCAAGCCTGTGGTGCAAGGTTTGTTTTTCCAAGCATGTTGCAGGAAACGAAAGTACCACGAGGACCCGGAATGCATACCCAAGTCAAAAACGAGATTGCTCTCTAGCCATGTGCTGAACTGAAGCTCTTCGAGTTCGGAGACCGCGGACTACGGACCCGTACGTGAAGAGGCTCATGGTCATTTACTCAGGCAAACCCCCAGAAGAACAATGCAAAGCGAGTCTTTACTGCCCTCTGCTTTGGAATAAGCAAGCAGGACGGTCTTCGTTCCTAAAGTGCTCTCCCCTCAATATCTGTTTTCACGGAGAGATGCTTGGATGCGATCCTTTCCGGTTGATGAATTGTGCCCACAAAGTCGCTTTCGCGCATCTCAACAAACCTGGCCGCCTGAACCAAACCCAATTTCACAAGGAAGCATGTCTTTGGCTCCGAAGCACTGCCATCAAACGGTTCAGTTTTTGGGAGACTGACCCAACTTGAAGCGGGCTAGTCACTCGCAGGTAACGAAATGTACAACGTACCAGGGGCTTCGCACCTAGCAAGCGGAGTAAAGCTTGCCGCTATTGGTCGTTGTATGCGAGATTTTGCGTTGACAAAGCAGAAAGAAGCTCACCGTCCGTTCCCGATCCAAACGTCTACCAAAGCGTCTGCCTGTGTCTTCTTTCCCCCCCGCTCAAGGGCCTTTCGCAGGTACAGCGCCGCGCCCCATGAGCCTTTCCGCAGGGTCTGTGAAGGTGTCCGTCATTTCAGATTAGGTTTTGTAGGGCATTGAAATAAGGCGTGTGGTTTTTCGAAGGTTGGCAGACCTTGGGTTTCGCAGAAAAGGGTTTAAATTTGAGGAACAAAGTTTAACAGTCGTAACAAAGCTTCAGGGGATCAGAAATGTTTGCCTCCCGTGTTTGAGATTATCGCTATGTTCACAAATAACTGGCTTGACACGAAAGAAAGACGAGGTGGCAACCAAGAGAAAGCGGAACGTGAAAACGAAACCACGTCCTCACATGTTCCAGCCGCCTATGCAGCGCATCCAAGCCACTCAGCCCGTGCACATTGCCCGTGTGCAGATGTTCCAGCCGCCTATGCAGCGCATCCAAGCCACTCAGCCCGTGCACATTGCCCGTGTGCAGATCTCCTTCTTCCGGCCTAACTGAAGTACTTTCAAACAACGCGAGTCATACCCTCAGTAATCTCTAAAAAAGAAATTGTGAAAGACTTGCCGACAAATCCACATCTTCCAACCGCCTAAAAAGTGCATCCCCATCACTCAGCCCATGCTTTTTGCCCGTGTACAAATCGCGGCGAACATCGCAAGTCAAACGAGACAAATCTCAAGAAAGCGATCTGGACAACCAACCCGAAACTTGTGAGAAGCAATTTCGACTTCGACCGCACATGTTCCAAGCGCCTGCCACGTTACTCAGCGCGTGCACGTTCCCCGTCCACAACTCGTCAATTTTCGCCAAAGCACAAGATTGTCAAACACCACAGTCTACACTCTTAGAGAGTCCAAAAGATTGTCAACGACCGACGGACGAGCGAAAAGCTCACATGTTCCAGCCGCCTGTAAAGCGCATCCACATCACTCAGCCCGTGCACGTTGCTCGTGTGCAGGTCCTCTTCTTCGGCGAAAACCGCGTCCTCGAACGCCTTCACCCAGGCCTCGTCGTCGGACGCTCGGACCGCGGGCCACAGGAACTGTCCGGCGGGGCGCTCCGGACGCAGGTGGTCAAGGCCCTTGATTTTGCCTGCAAGAACAAGCGGATTTTTGGAAGATATATCTCTTGCAACTATGAATCCGTCTAGATGATTTGGAGACGCCAAGACGCCGGATTGCAGATTGCGGGCCACAGGGAATGTCCGGCGGAACGCTCTGGACGGAGGTTATCGAGGCCCTTGATTTTGCCTGCGAAAGCACATGGTTCCTAGAAGGCAATAGAGTTTATTTTCAAGTTTCAACCTGTCTACACGATTTCGAGACGCCACGGACCGCGGGCCACCGGATCTGTCTGGCGAGGCGCTTCAGACGCAGAGAATTGAAGCCTTTGACCTCTGTTGCAACAGTGGGCTGGCAAGCACTCCGCGTCTCTGTCGGAATCCTACCCGCTTTTCCTCGCTGACCTGCTCGATTGGACTTTGCCTCACACTCAACAAGAGTGCTTTGATAAAAAGGAGAGTGCTCAGATGATTTGGGGTGCCAAAGCGCGAGCTGCATGCCGCAGAAACTGTAAACCCTGCGGCTAAGCGTTCCCCGGGTTGGTAATTTTCGGGCTTTAAAACTTGCCTGCCATGACATGTTCGTTTTTAGAGCCTGCCTGGCATAGTCAGTTCGTTGTCTCCACTCTGTTTGTAAGCTGGCTCCCCGAGACTGAAACAACCATCTCTGTTAAGAGAGAGTTGGAAGCAACGGCAGACTTGGAGTGGTTGACAGAGATATTAGGTAAGAGGCGCACGAAACCGGCGGGGGCTGTATCGTGAGCTGCAAAACAGGGCGTTGTCAGGGAAAACAAAATATCTTCAGTAGGCCAAGCTTCTCATTGGGAAACGAGTGTACGGAAGAACGGTCCAGCTCACCGAAAACTTCTGACGGCGCCTCGTTGTTGGCAAAGGCCAGCAGCTTCCGGGTCCGCTCCTCGTTCTGTGGGGAAAGCAGAAATGATGACTTCAGCAACCGTCAGAAACGACGTCAGCAGGGATGGCGCTCAATGTTCTTACCAAGGCTAAAAGCACGACGGAAAGGAGAAAGGTTGGATGATTGATAGTAACCCGATTCGAGCGAAGCCGTACGTCGCCGCCTTCCCATATGCATTCATCCTTTAACCTGCGGCACCAATCATGTTATCGTTGCTAAAGCCTCCCTTCTTTTGATTTCCACCTGCGCGCTCAACTTCAGCCGTTACTCACTTTAACATCACCAGTTTGAGAACCGGGGTTTCCTACTCAGCTTTAACACATGTCCACCTGTCACTGAGAGCCTCGGACAGGATTCAGCATTCCAAACCAGTTTTTCAACCATGCATCAGTTGCTCAATGATTGTTAGAAACCGGTTTGTCTCTATCTCTCGCCCGTGCAATCTCCCTTAGCCGTTTCCACAACGATCACCCCGGTTTGGGCACTGGGCTTCCTTTTAAGCAGCCCGCACACGTGTCCAACTATCGACATTATCCTGGACAGGGCTCGGTAAACGAAAAGCAGAAGTAAATTGCACAAGATCACCAATGACAGTCTCACCTGCTGCAGCACGAGTAGGTCTGCTGGCGAGAGCCCGATTCTATACCCGTACCGCCCGGGCAGCGCGGCCTTCTTGGGGTTGAGAATCAGTATGTTGTACGCTTTGCTCAGCTTCAGGTGGTCCAGAAACGAGCCAATAAAGCTGCCAACGAAGTCGGCGTCAACCTGGTACCACTCGTCGGTGCCGGGCCTGCGAGTTAGAGCAGGTTTTGCTTAGTCACAGGTTTGCTTAAACATATTTTTGGGCTAATGGGTGCTTTGACAAAAAGTCTGCTTAAGCTGCTCAGGAACTCGGAGTCTACCTGGTACCATTCAATTGATGCCGGGCCTGCGAGGAACAGTAGGTTTTTGCTTTGTTACTGTTTGCCTAACCACGGAGTTTCGAAAAAATGGCTTTTCTTTGCCAAGATCTGTTGAGGCTGCCAACGAAACCGGCGACAACCTGGTACCACTCATCGGTGCCGGGCCTGTGAGTAGAAGCAGGGTTTGCTTAATAATGCTTCGCTAAACCACCAGTCTGCTGAAGGGCGGGTCTGCTTAGTTAGATAAGATACCAAGTTTTATTGGCTTTGTGTTGTATGTTGGCACCGATTACAAGGCTTCCAACTAGATCTAGCTCCACCTGCTATTATTTGCCGAAGCCGGGCCTGTTATTAGAGATAAGGTCTGGCTAACCAATTTCCTGCTTGATTACGACTAGGGTTAAGCGCATTTGTCCTTGCGGACGTCTTTGCATCATCGAAGCGTATGCTCAAAGACGGGTATACTTAAAAATGTCGACCTGGATCAAGATTAGCGACTGGCCTTCAGGTTTACGAAGGACTTGCTTTACATCAGAACCCGGTTGGCTAACACATGGGCTACGGGTCGCTCACGCACAGGCTGCCTTCAATACGGTTCTGCTTGACAGAAAGAGTTTGAAGGAAAGGGTTTGCTTAACAAACACTGCTGAACAACGGGTCTGCTTCATTGCAGGTTTGCCTCACGGGGTTATTTGACGAAGGCCCTGCTCATCCTTGGGGCTGTTGGACACGGCGTTCGCATATCTACCATTTGGCGACTATTCAGGGGTCGTTTTACCACAATTCTGCATCTATAAGGGTCTGCCCAATCAAGACATTCTCCATTTCAGTCTTGACCAAAGGGTCCCTTTTCGCTGTCTTCAAATGATCGAAAAGCTGTTCAGTGCACGCAACCTTTACGGTCCGGTCGAAACATGTTGGCTTCGATCCGAGGCCAAAGAACACTCGACTGAGTTGTTAAGCAAAACCAACCCGAAACAAAATGCTGCTGTAGGACGCGGCATCACTCACTCTTGGCTGGATGGATCCTCCTTGCGAGCGGCCGCGTACAGCACTTTTTCGAAGAGGGCAGACACGCGAGGGCTCAGGTTGATGGCGTGTGCCGAGAAGCTGCAAACGGAAAAACGTCCGACCAGTTGGAGCGCAACAGTTTTCCGGAAATTTGAAGATTCTATGAGTTGCGGCACAATCCGGGCATCTCTAGCCTAGCCCACGGAAATAACGACTTGCAGGTGCAAGAGCATATACCTCAGATCGAGAAACAGGACAAATAGAGATACAAGTAACAGCGTCTTCTAGATGTTCCATGATTCAAGGCTGCCAAGGTGCGGGAATAGATGTGTGATTGAAACTGGCGTTGAAGGCCGAACAGAAGACTCACAGCTGGATCCAAGCTCGTAGATTTGAAATTTCAAAAAAAGGGACAACGACACGAGACAAGATGGTCGAGACAACAATACGAGATGAAACCAGGCAGGGAAAACGGAGGAGAGCGCGAGAAGACACGCAGGTCAGCAACGGGAAAGAACAAGGAGGCGCGCTCACTTGTAGTGTACGTAGCTCAATACCGGAAGATCCTTTCCCTCGTGTTGCGGCTCGAGCCGGACGTTCTTCGGGCCGTGCCCACTACGAGGAACTCGAGTGTGCTGCAAAAAGCGAGGTCGATAAAAATATCGACTTTGAATTCTTCTTCTCCTCAAATTCCCGAGGCCCAGGCGTTGCAGAGGTGATGGTGGCCTCTGATTCGCTTTTTTCTGTCGAAGTGACAGCTCATTAAATCTTCTGTCTGTCACAGACAAAGGCACAAGATGGACATTTTCTCGCCGTCAACATTGTTTACTCCTATGGGGCAGCGCCAGCAGTTGAAGAACTTCGTCTTGCTTCGCAGACTGGCTCATCAGGAAGCTGACCGGCTCCACTAGGTTCGCATTTTGGCTCGTTCTAAGCAGTGCACCGACTCGTTTGCGACTTACCACATGAACCGTTTTGCCGAGTTCCGGACTCAAATGCTCATGTTATCGTTAGGGCGCAATTGGACGTGATGCTGCCTACCCTCCCAGCCCGCGCTTAATGATTCCGCTTACTTCGAGGCCAGAGAACTTACGTCATGCTTGACTTTTATCATGACCCAGTGAACTTGTGCTTGTTTTGAGTCGGTCACGTGGCTGCAAAGACAGTGCTCCACATAGACAAAGTTCTTTCAACTCGCCACGCATCCCAGTTCAGTTAAATTCTACCTAAGTCTCGTCATCACCATGCTCCGTGAAGTCAAAGTTTGACTGACTTCTAGCCAAATCTCAATCATCACCGTCTTTGGTTAAGTTGAAGGGTTAAGTTTCGGTCAGCGTGATAACCCACCTGCACCACCAGGTTGATATGCTGGAACCAGTGCCGAAGCTCCGCCTCCCGCAGCGTCAAACCCAGGTTGCCATCCCCAGAAAAACCAACGAAGATGAAGTTAACCGGGACGGTTAGCGCCAGGTTATCCACGTCCTCGAACCCCAGGTAGTTTGCCAGGTTACCTGAAAAAGAAATGTATGCTTAGTCTTACTTTATGGACCTCAGTAAGCGCATCCTTTTCTATGTCCTATGCGTCAAGAATCTTGCTACAGTGCTCAATCACACGAAAATCGAAACGAACAAATCCTCCCTTGTTTAAAAAGACAAGCGCAGATACTAGCGCCCAACTTTTGCAACGAAAGTTGATCACCTGGCTCCCTTACAGAAGTGATCAGAATGATAATGGAACAGGAAGCAAACTCTGTTCCCGCTGAAGATTGGCTTTTGGAAAACCAATGAACTGCGAGCAGTCAAACTAAGTTGGTCGAGCAATAGGTCAGTCACCTGCTTGCTTGTAAGCCTCGGCTTCCGCGGGCCCCCAGCCCAATCCTTGCCGATTCCTCTGAAGCTCGTCCAGGGCTGCAAAGAAAGCAGAAATACTTCTCATTCAACTTTGCAGATGGCCCTTTGCAATGGACAGAAAGTAGAGGGTTAAGAGGGGCGATATTTAACATCGGCTGACTGCTACCAAGAAACTGTTTCAATATTTGATCTCATTGCAAATCTGGAGCAAAAAGCAGCAATAAACGTTCAAGCGGAAAATCTCCGAACCAAGATGCGGCCCCTTCTGCCGTGAGCGACCTTTCTCCGAATCTAGGCAATACCACTTGTAGCTTTTCACAGGAGACCTGAATGGAGAAGACCGCCTGGAATGAAGAGCGTATTCCTGAAGAGAACTCGAATCTATCGATAGACCACCCAATGTACAATGATGACCGCAGGATTTCCAAACTTCATTTGAAAGTTTAGGTGGCCTCGCAGAGGAATAAAGTTGAGTGCGTACTTCTGACAAGCAAGTCGCTGTCCCAAAAGCTCCCGTTTGCCCCCATATTGAACAGAGAGAAGAAAGACTTCTCCGCCTCGAGCCCCGCATCCCCACTGGAGTCTTGCGCAGCTCCGGTCGTGCATATCGAGGCCAACAATAACTGCAGCAGGGGGTTTGAGGGATTTCAACTCGATGTTCATCAGTGGGAGTATGAGTGGGGGGGTGGTCGGTGAGATCGAGTGGCTGGCTGAAACCAGATGGACCCATGGTTGTTCACCTGGAATCAAGTTGCCCCATATTGCAGGGAGATGCCACTGAAGCTGGCCCGAAAGAGACACATGTGTCCGCATCTGGCGATGCTTGGGATGCATCCTTCATTCAGCGGCCAGGCACTTGCCCGCATCGGCCATATTTTGACTTGTTTGACTCCTAGACTTCTACACACATTGGGGCGAAACTCCAGATCAAGCTTATTGGAATCCCCAACCACTTCTGTGGCACATGTTTTGTGAAGAAGTAGCCCCTGTGTTCTCATGTAAAGTTGTTCGTTGATAGTGCTTCAGATATCCTGTACGACGTTCTTTCATTAAAAGGCTCTATCCTTGCATTGTACCCTCCGAAACATGGATCCTCAGCTAGCGACAGGTCACGTCAGGCTGACAACAATCTGGTCAAGCAGGTCAACTTTTCAATGAAAGGGCACGAGCTGGCGTCGCTGCTTTCCATTGTAGCCACCACCCACAGACGATCATTCTAATTCTCCTTTCCTTTTCCTTTGAAATTGGTGGACTGGACAGAATGAGCGGAAGGGACCGGTGAGACCCCTGAACGGAACAGCATCCCGTGGTGCACGTCTAATGCACCATTTCTTTTATTCCACCATCTCTTTGACTTCTCTCACTCCTTAATAAGTTCCTCATTTGGAAAAGTTCCGCGAGACAATGAGAAGTTCTAGGTGCTCACCAAGGGACTCAACCAACGGGCCGGCCGCCACCGAAAGGCGACCATCGTGCTTCAAACCCAACTTCGCTCTGCAATGTGATCATGTATTGCAGGATTACATTGAAGAATCAAGTCTGCTACAAAGATCACAACGCCTCAGGGCCTCCACCGAGCTTCACATTGAATGAGGCCCAGGGCCCAGGGGGCACAGCGCCTGCACAGCGCATGATGCGACAGCTGTGTAAGCTAGGCATCCAGATTCTGTAGTTGCCGCCAGTCCTAGTTTCTGAGACAGTGACGCAGATGCTGACCAGCTCCTGAATCGAGTTTAGAATTGTGCTTTCAGTAACCCAGTCCTTCTTGCCCTGAAACTTTCCCACAGCTCTCCACAAACCATCCGTTGGGTTGGCCTCAAACCCGACTCTGAGAGAAGCTTCCTTCTTGAAGCTCCCCCAGGGTTGCGCGCCAAAACCAGGAAAACAGTACTTCGATTCGAAAGCGCTGGTGACTTGAAAGCAAAGCTAAAAGTGTTGTAGAATCGAAGCATTAGGCGACTTGCTGGCATTTGCCACCTGGGGGACGACACGAGCTAATTTTTGTCACTTTTTGTTGACATCAAAGTTCGTGAAAAGTGGAGGAAAAGTGAAAGCGGGAACTTGGAAGAGCTTGCAAGTACGGTAGGCTCTTGCTCTTTCCAAAGTGGTTTGGGCAGAGAGAAAAGGAGAGAAGAAGCTTCTTCAAATGGTGGATTGATCAGAGATTGGCCTAGGTCAGGCGCTTTTGGAGATTCTGAGCACGCAATCTCTGATCAGACAGGCAACCTGGACGTGTCTCGCTGTCTGAAAGTTAGAATTTGCTGGGCATCAGAAGCAGTCTGGTAGAAATTGCTCTGGGATGGGGCGACACGTGCACACGTGGGTCGCTGTAAATCTGCATGTGAGCTATCCATCAGCGTGTAGATCCTGCCTTTGGATATCTGCTGACACTGCTCATCATAACGTCTACATTCTATCAGAAGTTTCAGAATTTGCAGAAGCTTGGTCTGTCTGAAGAGATGCGTGGTGCTCAGCGCCCAGCATACACTCCGCTGATATGTCTTTTGCAAAAGAATCAAAGTTGTCTTTGAGCAGTAAGCAATCGCTTTTGCTTCATCAGCGAAAGGGTTCGAAATCCGCAGATTTGAGCCGCAAGCCTGCGCCATTGAGATACTGCAATGTGTTTGTAAATCTATTGGCTGCTGTTTTGGTTGAATCAAGCTGGCAGGTTTTGTTTAGGAGCTAGGGCCACCCTGTGAGCCTCCGCGGTACTGTTGCTCAGATATGTGGTTTGAAACAGTATTTGAGCCCCTGGTGCATATTTTACCGTTGTGGATTCAAGCATGGGTTTGATCGTGTGGCACTTCTTGCCTTGGTGTCACCTTGATTTCAATTCTCTCTACTATTGCAGATTGACAATTCCGCTAGCCCCATTTCGGATCCCAGTTGCCTAGATTCAGCAACATTTTGAGGGAAGCAGATTGTTAAATTAGACGCCAGATCGCAGGAGAAGTACACTTACAGCTCAAGAGTTTAGGTGGCTTGCAAAAAGGTCCGTTTAGAAAGCTTCCAGTGGGTCACCTTAACTTACTCTACACAGTTCTGTTAATGCATGCCAGGCTCATAAGAGCAGTGGCCTGTAACTTAGAAGAACAGGCACATGCAAGTGTCGAACACCAGGGCGAAAGGCCGTTCTAGCTCCAAGAATATCAGGCCGCAAAGACGTTCTCTGACACACATTGACAAGGAAAAGGCAACTTGCGGAGACCATACGGCCATAGGCGTTGCACAGCCTTGGGCACAAGGTGTCACTAGAAGTAAACAAGGGCATAGGCCATGGCGATGAAGAAAGCGATGCTGAGTTTGAGCAATAGTTTTAGAGGGACTCCGGCGCCGGTCACTACCAGGGAACAGCTAGAGGATGAACACACCACAAAAGTGCTCGAGCTCCGAAAGCTACTCGGACCTCTGGAGGGGCATACGGCGATCTTCTGCTCCGATGACTGCCTGGTGCGCTATCTGAAGGCGAGGAACTGGAATGTGAAGAATGCGGAGAAGATGCTCAAGAACACAATCAAGTGGCGGGAGGCGTACAAGCCGGAGGAGATTCGTTGGGTGAGTCCCGGTTGTAGACTGGTTCATCGATTTAAAGTGTCGCATGAAGAGCTCAATAGGTGCACGCTTGAAGAGGCCGTCAGATTCCAAGGTACACTTGTGCACCTGACTCCTGAGGTAAAGAGTCACCCGACGCCCCGTATCCCATCTTAAGACTCCCTTGTGGCAATCAAGCTAGCACCGTGGGGCAGTCTGGTCGCTTGAGGGGGACCCGACTCCCTGGCGCACGGCTCTCTTTGCTGAATTTCAATGGCACAACTTTGCCTCTTTTTAGAATCTACTGGCATTTGGTCCAAGATCGCAAAGAGATAAGATGATGTTTGCTGTCCCTGAACATACCCGCAGTCTTCATGCATTGATTGTTTGAAGAGCAGGCGGCCTCGAGGCTGTAGAATGCTCGAGTTGACGTAAGAATGAAGCTAACACTTAGAACCCGAATCTGCTGATTCCCTTCTCCGCACCCGTGCCCAATGTCCCCTCCCAGTATCTTAATCTGAGCTTATTACAACTGGTCTAGGAAAACAATCAGGCCCGATCAAGCGTCTTGAGTGTAACGAGTGGTGGCGGCAGCTCAGCTTACGCTACTCTACAAGTCATGTAGAATTCAATGCATTACCAATGATTATGAAGCTGTGTATCAATCCAGCCGCACGATTTGGTTACCGTTGTAGCGGGGTTTGTCTGATTGCCAGACGTTCAAGTGTTCTTGCTCAATTGCCCGAGCAAATCAACTACTCTGGTGCAATTGGCTGGCCAGGGTGGTATCGAGGCAATTTTGAAAATATATGTTCTGAATGCAGAGGGCATAGAGTATGAGGTCTGGGGTTCAGTTCGTCTTTGGCGTTATTCACAAAGCATCAGTTTCTGTTCCTGACTTGATATTGCTTTGGAGTGTTTCCGGAGAAGGACGGGGAACAATTGTTCACCCGCTCAGAAGTCTTGGAGAATCCGGTTTGGGTTCCAAGGGTTGACTTGGTAGATGTAGAAAGTCGAAAGGCATCAACCACTAGAGCCAGGACCTTTATGTCGGAAGAGAGCCGGAAAGGAGCAGGAGAAGGAAAGGATGTAAACAAGTAAAGACATAATTATTATCTGGTAAAAACATTAAAGTAAACAGACAAAATAAACTAGATCATGATTATTAAAGCATCTGTGCGTGAACCTTTCTGCAGGCTGAAGTGGCCCACGAAGGTGAGACGGGAAAGGTGTACCGTTTGGCGCGGCTGGACAAGAAGGGGCGGCCCGTTGTGATCATGCGACCTTCGGCCCAGGTAAGCGGCTCTCTACACATCTGGAGATTTTCAATCTCTACAACCCTGGCAATTTCTAAGTCTTGTTATTACTTAGGAAAGGGGTTTCACGGATGCCAGCAGACAGAACAACGAAAACAGCCCACCAGTATCTAAGAACAAAAGGCACTACCATGAAACAGTGGCATGACGTTTTCGTTAAAGTAGGAAACGAGCAAGCTCGTCTGCAAAAAATACGGGAACCTGGTTCCTTTTCCAGCCTTCATCTCCGGTCGTGCATGTGCAAAAACAGTTTTGCTCTGCCTACAAAACAAGTTCTTAGCGTTCCTCAGTTGCGAGAGGACCGCCTCTGAGCTCTCACACTTACTCATCGGTCTGAATCCATGTGATCTTCATACCCGCTCTTTCTATGTCTATCGCTCTTCCCCCTGCCGCAACTGCTGCGCAAATTCCACATTTCTAGGGGCACAGTACTTCTAGAGATTTTAGCACCCCAGCACCCGGATTCGGGAACCCTTAAAGCTCCTCCTCTCGCCCGTTCTTCCTCCTTGCAGAACACGAAGGACCACGACCAGCAGATCCGTCAACTCACCCGTCCTTCTCTATGTCCATCCTTTCTGTCCCCTGCCCAGTCCTGTCGCCCAGTACTTTTAGAGGTGTCAGCACCCCAGCGCCTAGACTCGGGAACCCTTAAAGCCTCCTTTTATGCTCGTTCCTCCTCCTTGCAGAACACGAAGGACCACGACCAGCAGATCCGGCACCTCGTGTACGTCCTCGAGAACGCGGTCGACGCCGCGACGATGGCCGGCAGCGAGAAGATCGTGTGGCTCATCGACTTCCACAAGTGGAGCCTCCGCAGCAGTCCGCCCATGAAGACGTCGCGCCAGACGCTGGACATTCTGCAGAACCACTTTCCGGAGCGCCTCGGGCTCGCGGTCTGCTACAACCCGCCCAAGATGTTTGGGATGTTCTGGAACGTGAGTTGGGACCTTTTTGATCTCCTTTTCTTTCTTCGTTACTAGATTCGTTTCTGTACAGACGCTCGACATCCTGCAAAACCAGTTTCCGGAGCGCCTCGGGCTCGCGGTCTGCTACAACCCGCCCAAGATGTTTGGGATGTTCTGGAACGTAAGTTGGCAACTTTCCTGATCTCCCCTTCTTTCTTCATTACTTTCCCCACCACTTCCTTTTGTTTCAACAGATTCACTTTTTGCTGAACCACTTTCCGGAGCGCCTTGCGCTTGCCATTTGCTACAACCCGCCCAATATGTTTGGGATGTTCTGGAACGTAAGTTGGGACCTTTTTGATTTCCTTTTCTTTCTTCGTTACTGGATCGGGGTCCTAGTTTTTATACAGATGCTCGACATTCTGCAGAACCACTTCCCAGAGCGCCTCGGGCTCGCGATCTGCCACAGAAACGTAAGTAATACCATTTCTGAAATGTTCTTTCTTTTCTCTTTACTTCCCCGATCCAATTTTCTGTATTCAGACGTTTGACATTTCACAGAATCCCTTCCCCGAACGCCTCGCGCTCGCGATCTGCTACAATCCACCAATTTTGAGATGTTCTGGAACGTGCGTGGGGTTTCCTTCTTTCTTGACTTCCCTTAAGAATGCCTGGTTTTATCCTTGTTTCGGGATGCATTCGAGACATAGATAGACATCCTTCAAAACCACTATTGGAGCGCCTCGTGCTCGCTGTCTGCTACAGTCCGCCCTAGATGTTCGGGACGTTGTGAACGGAAGTGTGGCGTTCTTCTCTCCTGCCGATTGAGTTCTCCCGGTCCTCTCGTTATTTCATCGTATTTGCGACGTCCGTGCAAACTTTTCCGGACTGGCTTGCACTTATCATCTGCTACAGCCCGCCCAAGATGTTTGGAACATTCTGGAACGTAAGTCGGCCTTCTTCTGTTGTCGTCGCTCGTCAAATCCCCGCTGGCTTTCTCCTTTCTTCTCAAGGTCAGCGTTGTGCAGTACCGCGTTCGGCGCAAAGTAAAGCCGGCAAAGTCGTCAGCAGCATTTGGAATGTGGCAGGCGGCTTCTTCGTTGTTTCATCATTTCTTTATCTTTCTTACTTTCTCTCTCCTGTTTTCACGGTTCCTTTTTGTTACGCTTAACGCTCGACGTCTTGCAGAACCACGATTTACCAAGTGATCCACGCTGGCCCGCGTTTGCAATTTCTCAATTTTTTGACGGAACGCAGGGGAAGGCGGCACGGGTGTTGCTTCATCCCTTTCCTTTTCTGCCTTACGCCGTTGCTTTCCCGCATGAGTCGCCCAGAAATGGACGTCCTGCACAAGCAATCCCTAAAAAGCTTGGTGCAGGCCGTCTGGCTTACAGCGCGGAACGAATGAGGTCTTCAAGTCGGTCTGTGGCGTGCTGATTTGGCCTTTACTAGTGGTAGGACATCGGAGTTAGTGTTGAAATAGTCACTGGGATCGAGCAGCGGTGATAACTAAAAGGGGTTTGAGACGGGTTCATCTCCAACGAGTGGGGCCAAGAAGCCAATATAAGAGCCCCAGCTGCGTGCTGCGGATTTTCAAAAACCAAGCTTTGACAGGAAACATCCAAGTTAGTCTGGGCGAAGCCAGTCGTGAGACCCCCGGCAACAATGCCTCCATGAAAAGTTCCAAGACGCCACTTTTCTTGGCGCTTACCGCAGGTAATTGCGCGCTAACCGCAGTGAATCGGGCGCTAACCGCGGCGAATTGGGCGCTAACCACATTGAATTGGGGCTAATAGCAATCGATCGGGCGCTAACCGCAGCTCCGGTGCGTCTGCAGTTGATCCAGCCGTTCGTTGACCCCGTGACCCACAAGAAGGTGCGCTTCGTGCAAGGCAAGTCGAAGGATTGCAAGGCGCTCATGGAAGAAACGTTTGAGCTGGAGCACCTAGAGGAGGCGTTCGGTGGGCAGAGCAAGGCGACCTTCGATTTCGCCGCGTATACGCAAATGATGGAGGAGGACGAGCGGCGGATAGCGCAGTACTGGGACCAGCCGGTCTCGTCGTCGAGTCGCGCAATCGCGGTGGAGTCGAAACGGCCCGAGGACGTGTTGGTGAACGGCGTTGCCGCGATGAAGGTCGTGGAATAGCAAACGGTGGGTTTGGGGCTCAGGGATTGGTGTAAGCTGGCTGGGTTAGCGTCTGGGTAACCTGGCAGGATGAAATTGTTTTTGGGCGATGATTTCTCCCAAAGAAAGGGGGTTAAGAGGAAGGTTTTTACGAGGGCTCGGAAGGAGGTCGTCGTGATTACGAGACTCTGTCGTGTTAGTCCCGTAGGCGAGCGTCCAATCCGCATAAGTGGGTTCAGTTTAGGTCGTAGCCAGGTCTTTGCCAGTCCGTTGTGCATAGCCTATTGAAGGTTTTTGACGAGTTGGTTTTGGCGCGCAGACCGGAAGCACAAAGGTGACTGACACCGCATTGGTGGGATGGGTGTAGGATGCTGTTCTGATGGCGCTCAGTCGGCGTTAGCTAGTATCATTGAACTATCTTTGTAGGTGATCGGCTACGTTTTGAGCTGCAAATGCTCTTTGAATACCAGCGTGTCACTAACCGGGTCGAGCTTGCCTGGACGCCGCAACTATGAAATGACAGTATCGTATGTTTCCTTTTCATGCAACGACCCTCAATGATCCGACTCTAGTTTCGTATCTATATCTCAGCTTTGACAGCGGGTTGCCTTAATTCGTGGGACACAGTCGAGAGTCGAAGTGACTTGAAGTTCGCTAAGCCAGCCGCATTCCGGACCTACTATATAGTATCTAGGTTGTTGCATAAGCTTTAGTGCAGATATGCCATGATGCCAAGATGTATACGCACATGGGTACGCTGTCAGCATGACTCGTCAATGGCCGGGCAGCTTGTGACCGTTATGAGGCGCAGTACTTGAAGGGTCACCATCAAGCCTGCTAGGCTCAGTGAGTCCCGCGGCGCTCCACAATTGTTGGATCCATGATCATCTCGTCGATCAAGTTTTTCAGATTACGATCCATCATCAGCTGGCACAATGCCTATATACAATTATAAGTTTGCGCGTCCACATGCTGTTTTCCGACTGGCCGCGCCCGCGCATGATTTTGCACTGGCCTTATAATGATACGCGTACTATCCCAATGATCATGCTAGATTGAATCAATTCGATCCGACAGGGCGCTAAATAACTTGGATTGCTCCGCGGCGCGCCCGAATGATCGTACAGCCTGCACATGCATGTACAATTGTGCCAATTATACCACGTACTAACATGCCGCATGCAGTTCCGGCGCTAGCTGATCTGGGCTGAATTGCCGATCAGCCGCGTGCCACGGTGGGTCCCGGCTCATAGATTGAAAGTGTGCGCACGTACAGCGCTGATACATTATATTACCATGATGGAGAAGATACCTCCACGTGGGATAATACGTAGTATGAGCCACATACACGAAATGAAGATGTACCGCATATCAGCTGCTCCCCAACAGGCTCAGCCTGCGGAGCTGCATGCCAGGCCCATCATTCAAGCGTGCACGGACAAATTCGACTTTGACTAAGCCTGATCAGAATCTAGTGCAACTTGAACCGCGCCTCAATTGCGCTTTACTTCGAGCCTGCTGATAACTATGAGTCTGGAACGCTGATTTGTCCCTGACGAAAACCAAAATCAACTCTATCGTACGTGACAAGCTTTTGACAAGTCTGAAACTTTCAGGCTCACTCTGCTAGTCGCTACTAGGCTAGTCTTCGCTGATATGCTGCTTGCTAGCATTACCTATGAAACAAAACAATCACACACAAACAAAACTCAAGTTCTTTGTACACTGTCTCGATCAGACTGTCTTGTTTGTACAAAGCAACGTCCAGCCCTTCCTAGAGATACTTACAATCTACACAGTGCGCTTGCCTGTATGTTGCACCTGCAATCAAGCCCAGCGAGATGAACCGTGCAGTCGCGTACGCTGCATGTGGCTCACTTTCGGCTCGTCCCTAAAAGCCTATCGGACCTCCCTGTACAATTTCGGGTCCACCTTTCACGAGCTCGACGGTCACGAGCAAAGCGAAGGCCACCATCGCTGCAGAAAGAAACAAATACCGTTTTTAAGGCCGGCGTAATGGTTGATGAACCGGTGGTTTAGCTGTACATCAGAAATCCTTATCCTATCGAAGTGCACTGTCCATCAACCCGTCGAGCATTTCCACAATAGGAAAAGACAAGAAGAGGATGTTGTTGACAGCAACGGCAGAAACAGCTTTCCGCGTCGAAGCTGCCATCGGTTTCCGAATGTTCCGAGCATGATTTTTGATATTCACCCGTCGATCGGCACTGAGGAAGGCATCAGAAGACTTGATTCGAGGAACCATGCTCGGAGGAGTTGGAACCCGGTGGCATATTCTGACGCAAACAGCTCTAGATGCGAGGACGAGAGGACCGGGAAACGTGATCCGTACAGTTAACTATGAATAGAACATGAGTAAACACAGTCGTCGCTGCCGGTCTTACAAGTAGCCGTGTCTGCTTGGCCATCAAATTTCGGCCAGAGACGTCAAAAGTTAACGAGAGAAGAGTTTGCGATGCTGTAAGATACATCTAGTTCCCTAGCACCTACAAACAGTTGGTGTACGAGATACATAGGGCAGAGGACAGAACGTCAGGCCACAGCTGCTTGTAAACACGCTCATACACAAGCAAGTCGCGATTCACAACGAATAGTTAACAGGAACGAGAATCAAAAGACGCCGAGAAGGCACGTGGCGTTCTCACCCGCACGCGAGTTCCACCGCTCTGCCTTAGCTGTGAACGGTCCGATTCCTGCGATTGGCCAGGCGTGACAGTCAGACACAAGAGCGATTGGAGCTCAGGTATGACTTGCAATGACGTCAGGGCTTGGAAAACTTTCTCGTTGTGTGCAAAATATGTAGGCATGGCCCGTGCTTTTAAGGTGAGGAGCCGAGAAAAGGAGAAATAAATGAGTTATGAACGAAGCCTATAGTGTAACCACAGTAGTACCTCCTCGGGTTCAAAGAATCTTATTAAGGAAACGCCTTTTCAAAAACAGACACTCTTGTCAGGCAGAATAGAGCCGTTTCAAAGGCTAAAACGTGAGTTCGATGTTTCAAAAGGACCTCTCCACGGGAAAAGTGCGCAGAACGAATTGATTAGCGCATTCTAGAGTACACGGACCTGCAGTAAGGCATCTGCAGCCTTGCTAGCTGAGAAAAGCCTGGATTCCAACAGAAATGAACTGGAGCCTATGGGACTTCGGGAAGTGCATCAAGAACCTCACGATTCCAAACAGGCTAGACGGTGCCGAACGGTAGAAGAAGACGGAAAACAGTGCGAGGTGCCAATGGATTTGTCTTCCATGTTTTGCTGACAGCAGGCTGCAAAACCGTCGTGCGAAGTGACCTGATCCCCGTGATCTTATGGGCTACATACCTTGTAGCGTATATACTAAGATTCAGATTTTGAGCGGTTTTGGAGGCCAAAAATGAAAACGGGAAAGAAGTACGCGACTCGCCTGGCCAGTCGTCGTTGGTGTATCCTCTGAAGAGCGGAACCACTGAGCCGATGCCAATGAGCGTTGAAAGGGCGACAGCTGGCACCCAGCCTCCGGTGCTAAGCTGTTCGACGATGCCCTTGCCGGTAATGTATTCGAGGGTAATTACAGACAAATACGACTGGGAAGGAGAAGGCGCAACGACAATCGTCTTGGTTTGTTCAACCTTTTGCAGAAGAAGTGTCCCTAAGTTGATATGGGTGACGCCTTCGAGGTGATTCTTGATAAGAACGATGCGGGAAAGACCATAAAACCATCTGTCTCTTTTGTTTGGCCGAACACGGACGAAAGTTCTTCGTTTCACCTCTCCGTTCGTAGTCTGATGACGGCACTGGAAATGTCTTTCAGGTAGCTACCTCGTAGCTACTGACTGATTATTTATTCGGGAGGAAGGTTGCGCGTCGACCGAAAACCTACTCGGTCTCCACTGTTGCCTTTGCAGTACCGACAGGAAAGAGGTACGGTACTTTTCAAGCTATAATGCTTCTTCGGCATGTACCTTGGTTTACCACGTGGTTTTGACCCGCCATCCGATTGGTTAAAATATCTGGAAAGCTTTTTGCAGCTTTTCGGTCGATGCGCCCCGAATGACATATTTTCGGTCTACTCCTTTCCGTCCATCTTCGCTGGACATATACTTGCTTGTATTGCTAGCTTTCAGAGTCGAACTGTTTTCCAGAATCAACCTAACCGTTCAGATGACTTTCGGGTTGACAATAGATGGACGGCAAATCCGATGTCGCTTGCTGTTGCATCAGAAGCCGTTGCAATTCATCTTTCTTCTAAGCGTGCCCTTTCTCCCTCGGAAAGTGGAGGAGCCAATTGGAAAAGAGAGAATGAACGCAGACCTTTCCTACACTTTCCGTTGATCACCTTGGGCACCAGATTACGATTCGAGCAGCGTATGTTTAGCAGCCACTTTTGTTTCCTTGGTGAGCTCGAAGAAGACAACTTCGCACAATGATCTTTAAGCTCTTCCCATTTGAAAGTGCGACATTGTTAGGACAGCCAGAACTAGGCACTGGAAAGCAAATACCGAAAGAGAAGACTTACCAGCATGGCAATACGTCCATTTGTGATCTGCACAAGAACAAAGAAGCTCCTTAGACAGGAAACCGTGCAAGAGTTTGCTTCCTGAAGTCATGCTTCATGCCAGCTTTAAACCGCAAGAGATAAGAGTCTCGCGTAGGTTTTGGCAGGAAAGACAGTTCATTAAGCACCAGCCTCTTCAACACACATAGCATCTGCACTGAAATGATTAGGTATCAACCACCCAAACTTGTGAAGACACAACGTGGTCTTAGCAAGTCTCACCCAATCCTTCAAATAGCACGCTTTTTCTCTGTACTTTTCAACTTCTGAGGACTGTCACTAGCTCCAAGGCTGTGAGACTTTAGTTGGTCAGACTGAGGCAGCCTTCTCTCCCAACAGCATTGAGTTTAGTAAGACTCTCGGCCGACGCCTGACCGACAAGACTTCCATTACGAGTGTGACAAGCTTCTTATCGAAGAATCAAATCAGAAGAACCTACCTCTGGCGCCAATCCGTTGAAGCTGAACACTTCCCGGAAGCTGTATGGTCCTGAGGGCACCTTATCTGGTCCCAAACCCACTGACTCGAGCTCAGGTGGAACCTCTGGAGTGGATAGCGAGGCTTGCTTGAGGTCTTCAGTGCTCTTTGAAACGCCCTTCGAGATCTCGTCTGCTTTCTCAGTCACCTTGTCGGCCATGTCCTGGAGCTCTTTCTTGGCCTTGTCAGCCCCCTGTCAAAGTGGAAGAAGCATCTGGTCACTACAGAGGAACTGCTTGACATTTTGCTCCTTGGGTCAAGTCTGCGTTCTGGCAGGTCCTGTCGAAGCGCTTCTGGAGGGGACTCCTGTGTCTCGGGTGCACGGAAGTTTCAAAGCTCCAGCCTTTGAACGAAGTGGCTGGTTGAGCACCTTTAGAACACAACTCATCATTTGAGCCTTGTGCTCTTAGTCCAGAGTGACCTGCACTGATCTTACTTTTTTGAGAAATACTGGAACTAGTAGTATAGTTTGTAAGATGATGTATTAGCCTATCTGTTAGCCAAATTTACCTAGGCAACTCATGAACACCTTCAAAGGTCAGGATGACAGCACTCCACCCCCAGGTGGTGCCAATTGCGTACATCATGGAGGTCAAAGCAGCAACTGACAATCGTAATCCTGGAAACCAAAAAAGCTTCAAGATGTCAAGAATGTAATGCCTTAAGGGAAGCGCTTCGATTCATGAGAATGTTCACAATAAAGCTTCTGCTCTAGTACACAAAAGTTATCTTGGATAGCTTGTCACATTTGATGAAGCAGCACCACCCACAGGTTGTAATCCAGAAATGCAGAATGCAGGAAGTGTTTTAGTGCCCAGACCTTACCTGAGACAAGCATGCAACAAGAAAGCATTTTCAATTGAAAATCTTTGAAGTGACTTCTCGCCACCGTCATCAGGGACCAAGAAGACTGTCGCTGCACTGAAGTAGACCTCAAGTCTGCAGCTTGAGGTTGACATTTTGCGGTCAAAAATCATCATGTATTACTTAAGAATCAATAGGCAGAGCTGCTCGCTTCAATGATGATATCCACTCTTTTGCATGCACAAGTGCTCTAAGCAACTGTATACTTTCTATTTTCGCCTTCACCTGAGCTTCACAAAGGATGGAGCCCCGCTTGACACGTCGTGAGCTGCGTCCAAATCCAGCAACATTCTTCACAACCATCACATGGGCCGACAGGACAGAGCTCCTCTGGCCAAACAACGTTGTTGGAAAAGTAGCGGAGGCGCCATGCCCGACGAGCTGTGCAGATGCGGCAGCCATGTTGGATGGAAGCAACAGCAGCAGAGCTTCAGCGCTCTTTGGAAAGTGCGGCAGCACCCAATCAATAAATAAACAAGTAGAAATGAAATGAAAAGAATTTCAATTTGGAAAGATGGACCGCCATGCTGTGGGAAATTTGTTGCTGTGCTGGCTGGCGCCTGAGCTGAGCTGGGCACCGCGAAACCCTAATCGGGTTAAAAGTGGTTTCCACCTAACCCGACTAGGGGTAGTAGCTGTGGCCGGGCCGGGGTTTCGAGCCGGGGACCGAATCCATACCAGAGTGCAGTCTGTAATTTCCCCAGGAGTTACATATCACCTCCCACTTTAGCTCGGAAACGTTAACCTTAACATTTTCACTCATGATCCACGTGCCTTGCGCTGTTCCTTCCTTCCTCCTTCTCGAGCTGGTCCGCCATGATGACACATGATGCAGCCATGGTGCAACTTTGTGAATGGGGCGGAGCATTTGAGGGAGACTCTAGGAAGTGGAGGACCTAGGGCGTTAAAAAATGCGCCGATGCTTTTTCCAGCGGGGGAGTTCGAGATTCTCGCGGGGAATGCTTGATGAAAGCCTCGCAGAGTGCGGATAGGTTATCCACCGATCTCAAACGGAGCTCAGTGGTGGTACTTAGGCGCGGCTCAGGGGCCGCTTGCGGGTGTGATCATTCAGCATTCCAACCAGGGACTAATGCAAGTTTTGAAGTCGCCGCAGGGCGCTCTCGCTTCCACCTCACAAAAGTGGCCACCATCCCATTATGTGATTGCAAGATCAGGTTCACTTCGCCTTTCGTCACCCCTGCCTGCGAAATGTGCACATGTTTCCGCACCTAGTGTCAACGAGCACTGAAAGTAGCAGAGTCTCCTTCAATGTGGGACAGCATTTGAGCTCCCAAAGATGAAGAGCCACAGGAGCGTGCCTTTTGAGGGGATCCCCTTAGACACCATGGAGCTTTCTGAGGATGAGGACTCCGGCCTTCTCAGGCCCCAAAGCGGAGCAATGCCGCCGACAAAAGCGGAGAAGCGGAGAGGGTGTTTTTGGGCAAGTCTGTGCACGAGTCTCGGGCACGTGCTTCTGGGAACACGGCTGAACGTGCTGCTGATCTTTGTTCCGGTAGCGGTGGTCGCGGACGTGCTCAGACTGGGCAAGGTATGTCGCATCTTTTGAAAGAAGATGGTGGTACGTCTAAGATTTCTGTTGCTCGGCATTGAGTTGGCGCCCCTGTGCGGGTAGCCACCTCAAAGCCTCAGTGGATGAACTGAGAAAGGTGGCTCTCAGAGTGCTTGCTAACAGGAACTAACAAAGACTGGGGATAACTGAGGAGTGTTTTGGTGTTCTTGTAATGTTCTGCCTGTTCGGCACCCAGCCAACCTGTGTACCTACCTATCCAGGTTGAAGCGATCCCAGTGGGGTCTCCAATCAGACCTTGGTAGAACTCAACCTGAAGAGTGAATCAGTGTCCATGGAAAGAGAAGTCTCTAGGCGGGGAAACATGGACAAGCAGTCCGGTTTACTCCAAACTGAATGTTAATTAAGGAATTGTACAGGAACACCAATTTCACATCTGATTGAAAGGAGGGTTTTAAAAGGTTCTCGCCGTTGCAACCATGAAAGCTTACCTAGAACTACTTTCTACAGCACTCTACTTTTTGCCCTGTGTTCACTTCTCTTTCTGCCATCAGCTTGACAGAGACAGCCTGAAATTATAGTATTCATGTTGCCAGGCATGGGCGTTCTCCTTCACTCTCCTAGCCATCGTACCGCTGGCGGAGCGCCTGGGCTTTCTCACCGAGTGAGAACACTCCCCTTTCAAACCCCTTTTCCTGGTCACAAATACTTGTTCCTTCAGCTAACCGTCTTCTTGACCCAGGGAGTTTTGCCCACCTTAGCAAAGCCTTTGCAAAGTCTCTAAAACTTCTGTACGAGAGAGTAAAGTTTAGCCGACTGTCTTTCATTCCAGTTACTGAGGGTAGCTGCTTCTTTATTCTCCAAGACTGCCATTGCTCACAGTCAAAGGAGGGTTTCCTACATTCCAGGGGGGGCTCGAGCCCTTTGTGGCCTCGAGCGATTGCTGTTTGCTCAATGGTGACATATAGGGTTGCCTTCTTGCTATGATTCGACACAACAGTGCTTTGCTATTGCAAGTAATGTCGTTGGATAATTGGTCAACCCTCAGAGCGAAAAACGGCTTCGCAGGAAATGCTGGCCGACGTGTCTAACGTCTTTCTCTGGAGGCTCTACAACCAATGTGTTGCAGCTGTTGCCAGAAGCGAGCAAGAGTCCAGGCGACACAAAATCAGATCGCAGAGAGGAAAACGACCTGTTTCAGCGCTTGACACACCCTCATTCTTTTTGGCTTGGCAGGCAGCTGGCGATGCACACGAACTCAACTGGTAAGCTCTGTCAAGTGGACTTTCTAAAATGCCTGGGCCCATTGTCTTCGTAAATCTGGCTTTGATTCCTGGGGGCACTTCATTGGTTGCTTGCTTGGGAAATAGTTAGATGAGTCAATTGTCCGAAGCTTGCTGGGAATGTCGAATGCGGGAACTCATGGGATCTCCATGCAAACTGCCCCACAATGGGCCTGAGAAAAGTTTGAAAACTGACTATTACTCCAGATTTGAAATTCTGTGTCCGTTGCTTGACTTTCTCGTCAAGCCCGACGATATAAAGCTGTCAGCGGCGGAATGGATCCATACAGACTGTCAGGTTTCTGACAAACAAACACACGGCGCCGAGCACCCAATCTGAGTAGGCCTACCCACTACTAAATGTCTTTCCAACAGTGACCCCAGACTGCTGGTCATGAGGAGAGACAATTCAGTTGTTGGTCGCAGTAGATCAGGAGACTTCTTTGTGGTGTAAACGGGTCAAGAGACTGGGTACATGCCTCCAGCCAAGTTGAAATATGGAGATCCTAGTCACTCTTTCCAACCCTTGTTACCGAACCGTGAACCCCAAAACCCCCTTTACTTTTCTAAATCTGCGTCTTTGTGATATTCCTCTGCCCTCTGCAGTTGGGGGCCTGATGAACGCCACCTTTGGCAACGCCACCGAAGTGATCGTCGCCGTTTTCGCGCTGAGGGGGGGTCTCCTAAGAGTGGTCCAACTGTCCCTCCTTGGGTCCATCTTATCCAACATGCTGCTGGTTCTGGGAACGTCCTTCTTCCTGGGGGGTTGCCTCATTAAAGTGCAACGCTTCAACCAGGTCAGACTGGCCTGTTTCCCCGGTTCGTTTGTCATTCAGTACCCTTTTTCCTCTGCTTCTTTCGGCCTTCCATGTTTTTGGTTTTCTATTTCGCCAAGTCGTTGTCCGAAGGCGTGCACTCCCGTTGAACGGTCACGTTTCGAGTTCCTGTTCTGCTTACGGCACAAGCAACAATCTCGTGAGAGGATAAACTCCACAAGTAAAAAAGAATACATCGGAACACGTGATCAGCGTCGCATATTACGGTGCCTTTCTCTGGTAGCTTGTTGGTTGTTGTTGTGCGTTCAGCCCCTTGTGGCTTTGACAAGCGCTTCTTTATGCACGCCGCACAACAAACTGAAGAATCCGAGGTTTCAGCATATGCTGTAATCACGGGCTCTTTTACATGCACCGCCAAGTGTTTCTGTTGTGCAAGTACTAGAGAGCTCTAACTCTGCTTTCTTGCTCTGCAAACTGTCGCTCTGATCAACACAAGCCTCCTGCTTTATTGGCCGTGATGAGCCCATAGTCGTACACACGACCTGCGCTTTACGTATCTTACCCTCTAATCCTTTTAAAGACTCAGCCCAGGATAGGTTGAGTTCGTTCCAGTTTGAAGTATAATGCTTCCTAGCTTTACTTCCCAAACCTGATGCGTACGAAGTTACAGGCAAGTCGGACATGTCGACGCGACCCGAGCTCGGCTCAACTGACAAGCCCACTTTCTAAATCTTGTAACCTTATAATTGCAGACGGCGCTCTGATCAATTCGGGGCTCCCGCTTATGGCCGTGATCCTCTTGGGAGATCCTCGAATCTGAGGCGAATGTTTATATCCTACAAGGAGCCCCTTGCAGCCTCGCAAGATATTTTCTTTAGACCCCTCACAAATCTCGCCTGTTTTCCTGAAGACCGCGGCTCTGGTTAACTCCGGCCTCCTGCTTATGGCCGTGATGGGGATGCTTTTGCCCGCCGTCTTATACGCCACCCAAAGCGACCTTGTCTAATCTTGCTTTCGCACACAACCCGTTGGCTGGGAAGCTTTTTACGTTTTCCGCCAAGTGTTCCGCTAAGTGTTCGTATCTTGCATCAGTTCTATAAATTCTATAAAGCCCCTCAACCCCCACAAAACCCCTTGGAACCCTCTAAAAAGTATTGCCGGCTTTTGTGCAGACTGCCGCTCTGGTCAACTCGGGCCTCCTGCTTATGGCCGTGATGGGGATGCTATTGCCTGCCGTCTTATACGCCACGCACACCGAGCTGCGCGACGGCACCTCCGAGCTGTTCCTCTCCCGCTTCACCAGCCTGCTTATGCTCATAGCCTATGGCGCGTACTTATACTTTCAGCTCAAAAGCCACAGCGACCTATACTTGGACGCCTCCGAGTGTGGCGGTCAAGCGGCGCAAATCGAACTTTCGGAGGGGCGCCTTTTCAACGGGCACGAAAATGGACACGTGGCATTCCCCCAGCCGTCGGTCGAAGAATCACCTTCGAGTGGACACGTGACGGCACTGGGGTCACCGGAAGGCCACGAGCGAACGGATCCCTACCGAGATAACCCACCGAAACCCGCCGATAACCCGGCCGTTGACCCGAACCCTAACCCGGGTTGCGCCCTCTGCTGCCCTCACGGAAAACCTCTCCCCGCCCTGAGTAACGTCATCAGCCTGGCAGCGGCCACTGATGACGTCAGCAAAGAGGAGGAGGAGGGGGAGGAGTCGGTTTTAGGTTTCTGGAACTCGGTCGCGTGGTTAGCGGCGGTAACCGTGCTGATCGCGATTCTGTCGGACCGGTTAGTGGCGACCCTGCAAGGGGCGGCGCAGGCGTGGAATGTGTCGGTCGCGTTTATCAGCGTGATCGTGTTGCCGATCGTGGGGAACGCGGCGGAGCATGCGTCGGCCGTCATGTTTGCGTGGCAGAACCGGTTGGTAAGTGTTTTATCTGGCGAGGACATGCCGAAATCTGTTTTTCTTTGCGATTATATTTGGGAGTTTTCTGAGGTCGTGTTCGCCGATTGTGGGGAACGCGGCGGAGCACGCGTCGGCCGTCATGTTTGCGTAGCGAAACCGGTTGGTAAGTACTCCTTCCAGCACATTTCCCGGGTACCTATATTAGTCTTCTGACGAATGCTTTCGTTTCTTGGAGAATCCTTCTGCAAAAGATTTGCCTATCATTTGGGGAACGCGGCGGAGCATGCGTTGGCGGTCATATCTGCATGGCGGAACTGCTTGGTAAGGTCTCCTAAGCATTCTTTGCGGGTACTTGTATCTACCTGCTGACGAATGCTTCGCTTTCTCGAAAATCTCATCTGCGAATTGGTTGGGGAGCGCGCCGGAGCATGCGTCTGCGGTGTTGCGGAACGAATTTGTCAATTCCTGCTTTTTGCTTACTTCATACGGGAAGTCAAAAACTGTTTCTCAGAGTTGCACAGCGGCGTTGGTCAGAAAAGCCCACCGGGAACGATACTTGGGTGATAAAGCCTGCGATTATTCCCAAGAATGCAGGATGATGGACACCTGGACTCCTTGTAAGAGCAAGACTGGGAAGCAGGCAAAGATCTTGCGAGCGTCCTACTCAGCTTCCGTTTGCTGGCTGGTTGTATCGTATCTAGTTACTGATACACAGCGACAAATCAGAGACGTTAGTCAGCCCTTCGCCCCAACATCGGACGTATTCGCTCAGTCACCTGTTGTTCTCTTCAGACGTACATCTCGTGGGATCGAAGTTGACGGTCGGACGTACGTTTCTAGATGATTATGTCAACTACGGCCTAAGCCCATCGTCGATGTGGAATATGCTGACGTCATCACAACTTTGCAGGACATAACGCTGGGTGTCGCGATTGGGTCGTCCACTCAGATCGCCATGTTTGTGGTGAGCTCTTGCGCTGCGTTTGCTCCCCTTTCTAGTTTCCACCTGTTGCAGCGGCTGTTTGGAAGTCTCAAGATTTATCTTGAATAAATCAGACTCTTTTGGAGTTTCTGCCTCCGCATTTTGGTCGTTTACCTGTGCAACTTCTGTCCAGGGCTTCAAGCGGTACGAGGCTAGTGATTGGTTGTCGGAGAAAGTGAAAAAGTGGTTTTGAAGGCTGACTATCTATGCATAAGCGCGAAGTACTTACAAGTCCTGCCGATCTAACAGTTTACATTGCCTTTGGCAAACAAGTACGGAGAAAGATCAGATCGTTCGCGGAGTCGGCGAGCTATGAAGCACAGTTTTTGAGACAGAACAAGAAAATAAGTCGCTGCTCTCGTCCGTTGCTTGGATTCCGGATCCGACTCTCGGACTTAGGACCCTGCGTACCTTCTTTTGTTATCGGTGATCGAGTCACAGAGAATTTGTTTCCCGTCGAGAGGATGGATTGAACCTCTTGCCGTGTACGCACCAGACGAGAGCACATGCGAGAGGACGAACGTCTTTTTAATTGGATAAGGATTGACATAAGCAGGTAGAAAGCCGACATAAGCAGGTAGAAAGTCGACAGAAGCGGGTAGAATTTCGAGAAAACTTTAAAAAGCAAGGACCGGGCCCCTGCGGGTTTTCAATTGTGGAGGATTGTGAATTAGAAACGCGATAGCGGCGATGACTCTCGAAACTGCTCGTTTTGCAGACGCCTTTCTGCGTGGTGCTCGGCTGGATTCTGGGGAAGCCTTTGGACCTCAACTTCCACGTCTTCGAAACGGCGACGCTCTTCATCACGGTCTTAGTCGTCGTTTTCCTGCTCCAGGTTAGTATTCCAATCATCGTTAGGGTTCAAGGTTTTAGGGTCTTTAGCCTCAGAGGTTCAAAAGCTCCAAGACTTCTTACAACGCTCTTCATGACGGTGTTGTTCGTCATCGTCTTCTTGCTCGAGGAAAGCCTCTTGAGGTTTTTGTGACAAGAGTTCCAGGCATTCAGGATCTCCAAGCTTTTGGACGATACGGTTTTCTGTAAGCATGTAAAGTTAAATGGTTCGAGGGTTCGCTAAATACCCCAAAGTCCCCAGAATAACTCAGCACAGCTCTTCGTCACTCTGCTGGTCGCTGTGTTTTTGCTCCAGGTAACCCTCTCGGGGTTTCGCAAACCAGAAGTTCACCTATTCAGTGTTGTAGGATTCTTAGGATGCCACGGGGTTCAGATGTCATGAAAATCTGTATCTGCACAAACTTCGGACGTCGTACGTTCGACAACTTCGAAGGATTCGTTGCTTGGAGAGAGACTTCATGCTTCTGAGTAAACTGAGGGTAACGGAAGCAGAGAAAGCAGGATGGGTGCATTGCATGGGTGTGAAGCTTTACGCTCTCATTGCATGGACTGAAATCTGGTCACCTACCTGCGCGTCTGAAAGTTCTGTTGTTTTTGCCTCTGCTTTCACGCTCAAGCATTGGCATAGAAGCTGAAAAGTCTCGAGGCTTCCAAGCAACGCTTTAGTCATGCTGCTGGGCGTTCTCTCCCCGCTCTAGTTATTACCTCGTTTGCAGAGATCGTAAATCTAAGACTCTACTCATTCCAACTCCTGAAAGCTTCGAGGCTTTGGGCTCGAAAAGGGTAGTCTATGAGTCTGAGTGCTGGTCATCGTCTCTCGGCTCCAGATGAAGATACAGTACTTGCTTACATAGTCTGTAATCGAGCGAATTTGCTTGTGGATCTGAGCGGGCCAGGATTCCGTGCTTTAAACCGTCCGACGGGTAGTTTCGACCTGCTTCCGCGGTTGCGGGGTCTAGATACGGTGCTCTTGACTTCTGCTGTTCAAGTACGAGTGCTGCGAATCGAGGCTTCGTGCGGTTAGTGCAACAGCTTGCAGGTTAAGCGCTCAGCTCTCAGTCTGGACTGCATTCAAAGCCTGAACACACGCTTGAGCTAGGTCTATCGCCGAATCTGTCAAGTCATCAACCAATCACATGCAACGAAATAAAGGCCCAAAGAGGAAAAGTCGGGGGAAAATCGGGAGGGCGGCAGCCCCGCCGGTTTTAAAAGTTTTAAGGGGTCCGAAAGTGGGTACCGGGCAAGATCCGTCAAAACACTGTCCGCGCCCTTTTGCAGGATGGGACGTCGAACTGGCTCAAGGGGCTCTTGCTCGTCTTTTGCTACCTCATAATCGGTGCCAGCTTTTTCGTCCATCAAGACGAGATCGCGCCAATCCGGTCGACGGGCCCTGGCGGGGGCCCGCCGCCTCATACTTGAGGCTACTAAATCGTTGCAAGGAATTACGACGATGGGGTCAGCTGAAGTCATTAACGCACTGTGATATCAGATGTGCTTGTGTAGCATACTTCGCGAGCGAAAGCGGTTAAGAAGTGAAGGATTGGACACGGACAAGGACTAGATGTCCACCTATCCAAGAGACGATTCATGTACATTACAGGGATTCGAAGCAAGAAAGTAAGTTCGGACTGATAACTGTGTGGTAAATCAGCTTCGATGAATCGGGGGTTGCATGAAGGCGCAGACTATTAGGTATGCCGATTGATTGGAGTTGTCAGCCCATCACTAGTGTGCTTGGGCGCCGTGCGACGAACTATTGCGACACAATGAGCTAGCACCACATCCGCTTTGCAGCCACGTCAATCCAAGCAAATGATTCACAACAGGACGTGCCGCGACTGCACGCGTCGGTACCGCCACACCACCTTCAACATATGCCTGAACTATCATCACACAACTCCCTCACGCTATCCACATGATCGTCAAACCACCTATTATAGCCACCATCATTACCGCGACAACTATCTTCAAATCCCCTTGTATGTCAAACCTGCGCCATTCTAGCGCCATTCTCAAGCACAAGCATATTCAGTTGCGACATGTCGCTTCAACTTGACAGTGCATTCTCAAGTTGAAGCAGGAAAGTACCGGGCCGAGCTTGTGGCCCGGCAACTGCCTAGAGTCGATCCAACATAATATACAAAAGCAGTCGCCGGCCCATCAACCGGGCACAATTCAGCCCTAAATTGAGGCCCGGTTCGCCCGACTTCCATTTTCCAAGCGCCCGGGGAATAGTCCCTTGGGCCCTCTTTCCGGAGCCTATTCACATATCCCCAGGCAAATGCGTTGTCACGGCCATTTCTGCACAAATTTTCGAACAGATTGCCCCTGAAATCGCAAAGACGCAAACGTGTCCATGAGCCGGTCCTGCATCAGGCAGCATCCCCGGTCTCCGCCAGTCGGTATGTACTACCTATGCATGGTACCGTTCTGTGACCTGTCGCCCGGCCCTGCCATCACAATGATCACATGTTGTCGTTGTTGAAGTCCAGATGACGATAGCCTATATTACTTAGGTACTCCTATAAACAGTATCTAGGTATAACTGGTGCCACACTCTGGAGTCTGGAGTCTGCCCTGCATGATGCACTGATGCCAATGGCTCTCGTTGGCCATCGCCAAGGTCTTTCTGCTTTGTGGAGTCCACTTTGCTGTCAATGACCCGGCCCTCTCGAACCGGAACAAGCTATGCTTGGTTCACAATAGCAGCAGCAAGGACGAACCGCTGCACGCCACCAGAGAGCCAGAGCTAGCAAAATTGCAACTTCAGCTCCCTCGCAATCACAAGGCTCCTTTCGTGTTTCTCCCTGCACAAGGCATCCTTTTTCAGCAGCTAGCTTTGTTGCAGCTGTTGGCGCGATGGCGGCTTTCAGGCCCAACGTGGTGTTTGTGCTGGTTGCATTGCTCGCACTGTATGGGGCCCAGCCTGCCCAGGGGCAGTCTTCTGGTTTGTCGCTGTCATGCCCTCCCGGGTATCTGGTGCAAGCTGCGCGTAATTCCCCGACGTAAGCGCTCATGGAAGCAAACGTGATTTTATCTGTCATTCAGCTGCAGGGTCTCAATTTCACTCTTCTTCTGCACAATTGACCTGGTGCATTTGAATGGAATTGCAAGATTTCACCCTCCGGTGTCTCCAGGATATTTCCATGGGCTTTGAAGTACTTTCAAGCGCAATGAGTCTAGCTTGTTTTGAGCAACTGGCCTCACCCCCAGGCCCCTGATTCAAGACATTTTCATAAATGCTTTTGACTGGCTAGCCTCTGAGCAAACTTCTAATCACTCTCCAAGAAAAGCAAACTCCGAACTTGTCAAACGCACCACCACTATCAGCTTGAGATGATGCCATGCAATGTGTGCAGGTCTGAACAACCTACTAACTTTTTCTCTTTGCCCTTTCAAAGGTACACTTGCACAACCGACCCCTGTTACATTAACCCTTGTGGTTATGGTGAGTGGATATTAATGGTTCACTTCATTGCCTTAGCGAAATGAGGAAGCCAACCTTAACCCGCTTGTGTCATACCAGCATATCTCCAAACTGAGGTATGAAGTTTTAGCTGGTGAAGGTATTGCAGGGATGGAACTTCGCAGACACAAATGCCTATACTCAGCACCATGCAGACCTTTGACTCTATCTATTTTGGCCCTCACAAGGCCGTGTTTGTCTAAGCTGCAAAAATAGTTACATTAATCTGCGACTGCTTCTTGGTAAGGCTAGATGTGGAGGTGGTCTGAGGTGCCTTTGCCATCGCACTTGAAAAGCAGTCAAACTTGCTTTACCTTGTTTCTTCCTGTATTCTGCAAATAGTCTCGTTGAAACACAATCATCAGTCTTCCTTCGCATTCTCTAACAAGCAATGCCTGCTCTTGGCTTGCAGGTAACACCTGCGGAATCTTCCAAAATGATTTTGGAAGGATTTCTGATTGTACTACCTGTAATCCTCCCTACAAACGGGGTACCGTGGTTATCGGCTTCCCATACATAGAGCCCGTTGGGGTCTGCTACTTGCCTGGTAAGTGGCAGGAAATTGTGGTTATCGCGCTCTCTAGTAACCTGTCAGGCTTGCCAAGAAATTTCTGCTCAAAAGGGCACCCATTTTTGCAGATAACCAGGCTGACTTGGCAGCAATCTTTATTTTGTGTCAACTCACACATGTGCGCGCTTGATGTGTCCCTGCGCAGGCTCAGACGCATGCAACCCCAACCCTTGCCAGAACGGTGGCGTTTGCTCCTATAGACTGGACCCCAATACGAATCAGCCTCTGACTGACGACCAAGGGACCAAGTATGCTTTCCAGTGCGATTGTGGCCCCACTGGGCGCACTGGGCCAGTCTGCTCTGAAACGTGAGCCCCTCGACCACAATCAAATAATCTGGCAGCCTTAAATTGGAAAATTCTGCAGGCCCTCCAGAAGTGAGAGGCCGATCAACTTTCTGACGTTCCTTTGAGAGTTCTCCATAAATACAACAACTTCAGCTCACTGAACCTGCATCTGGCAGCAAGGTGAAACGGCCCTAAGCTTGAAACGGCTCTGGACCTTGAATGCCAAGATCTCCACCCAAAGTTCTGCCAAATGACCTTCAACAGGGAAATGGTGGTGCTGCAAAGAGAAGTGAGGAGTGGAGTGCTCAATTGAAGAGCGATGGCAGCCAAGTAGATTCTGAAAGTGTCAGGGCATCCTAGTCTTAGTCTTCTGTTACTAGTCCACTTTCGGTGGCATATAAGACATCAATGTCCAGAAAGAGCAGGCACCAACTGGACTGGTTTCTCAAACCTGCACTGCTTGGCATTCGTTGTGTTTGAACAGACAACGTCTAGAATGACCCCTTACTCATAAATAGTGACGGATCCTGATCCCTCGGAGGAACCGTGCAAACCATTTCCACTTCCAGCCACCTTCCATAGAAACCCTCGGACGTCCGGTTGAGCTTCTTGGCTGTGGACTGTGTCTCCTGACTACAATTTCTCCCTCTCTCTAGTTTCGAGGAGGCCCCAAGAGTGACTGCCACCCTCAACGGCGTGACGGGCCCGCTTGCGATCCTCCTAAGTAAGGCACTCTGAAAACACCCAGCTCTAGTTGTTTAACTCATCCTCAATGACAGGGAAACGTTTACCAGCCAAGTTGTGAATAAGCACTATCCGGCACTTGGTTCTGGGACCGCTTGGCTGCTATTGACAGAGTTTTACGGCTTGTTCGCCCCAGTCAAACCGTCGGGTAACCACTTCTTTCCAACACGGCTTCAGACAGTTCGCTTTTTACGTCCAATTGCTGGCTTTGCATGTCTCGTTCCGTAAACGCTTTCAAGAGGAGATGAGTGCCAGGCGCTCGCTTGATTTGAGTGGCACCCCCTAAAAGTATGGCCCCACGACTGGTTCCCGTTCTGAGCAAAAAATTGACAAGGTTCTATAATCAAAGAATTGGGCCGAAAACCGGATTCTGTTCGTTCCACGAAGGGACGGGATCTCGATTCTACACTGTGAATATCAACGAACTCGCATTGATTGTCTCGTGATCATGAAAGGCAGAATGCACAGGGTGGTTCTAGGCGAAGCAGACAACCCAAACCAGAAAACCGCGCCGTGAATTATGATTAATAGAGTCACGTCCAGGGGACGGGTAGGGTTAGCTTGCGAGTAGCTAGGGGTGGGTTAGGGTGGGTACAAGTGCGGTTTTGGATAAAGGTTCGCAGTTCCTTTCGGCCCAGAGCCTAGAGGAATGACCTCTTTTTTCATGCAGCTTATTGATCATAGATTCCGGAATAATCATTGCTGACGATCAAAGCTTCGACTCCATGCAGCCGGGGTCTGCGGCTTGTATGGTCGTGGTCTCTCGACGCCCGGCTGCCTTTACAATAGCGGAAAGCAGTTCATCTGCTGCACCGGGGTATCCGGGTGCGGGCCCGTTGGCCCGGACGGAGTACCCGTCTGCCAGGCAGGGAGTTTTACGCCGATCCCCAATGACTGGCCGGTACAGCCTCTGCCGCCTACTCCGCCGAATCCCACCGGCGATCAGGGTAAGCGAAGATCTGGACGTTCGTGCGGTTGTTTGAAGCCAACCGTTAGGGCGTGAACTTCGTACGTCGCACGGGTGCTGTCTGAGCGGGGTCAAGGAGAATTTGTAATTTCAGGACCGGGACCGGGGACGCTGTTGGAAGGGGTGACGTGGCTTAGGTCTAGGTGCAAAACCCTGCGCGAGGCTCCATTCGGCCAATCAGG